ATGAGAAGGGGGGAGAAGGTACAGAAAATAAGTAGCATAGACAGTAGATAGAAAATAGATGGGGGGGCAAGAATAGTATGGGAAATATAGAATCTAAAGAACTTGAGACACATGGTCATAAACTTAAAGGGGGGGTAATGGTGGGGATGGGGGGTAGGGTGGAGGTGAATGAAGGGTGAATAGAACAACTATAATGGCATAATCAATAAAAATAAATTAATTAAAATAAAAAATACATAGAGCAAAAAAAAGAAAGTTGCAACTAAATTTTAAAAATAAATGAATAAATGAATAAAAAAAGAAAGTTGCAACTAAGCCTCCTCCAAGCCAAAAGCTGAAACTGAGTTAATTTTTATATATAGTGTGAGATATGGTTCAGCTTCATTCTTTTGCATGTAAATATTTAGTTGACTCAGAACCATTTATTGAAGAGACTATCAATTGACCATATCAATTGATAGTTAGAAATCAATTGACCATATATTTGTGGGTTTTTTTCTGGACTCTCAATTTTATTCCATTGATTTGTTTATCCTTATGTCAGTAGCTCTGTTTTGATTACTATAGCTTTATAGTAAGTTTTCTTTCTAATTTGAATGCCTTTTCTTGCCCAGTTGCTATGTCTATAACTTCTAGTACAGTGTTGAATAGAAGAGGTGCAAGTGAATGTCCTTGTCTTGTTCTTTGTCTTAGAGGGGAAAGCTTTTAGTTTTTCACCATTGAATATTATGTTAGCTGTGGCTTTTTCATAACACCCTCTATTATGTGGAGGAAATTTCCTTTTATTCCTAGTTCGTTGAATTTTTTTTATCATGAAAGAGGTCTTTTTTTTTAATCAAATGCTTTTTCTACATCAATTGAGATCATGAGTGGTTCTCCCCTCATTCTATCAGTATTACACTGATGGATTCTCACATGAGAATCACTCTTTCATTCTTGGGATAAATCCCATTTGTCTCTTGGATATAATCTCTTTAATATGGTGTTGGATTTGGTTTGACTGTATTTTGTTGAAGACTTTAAACCTTTGTCTATAAAGAATATTGCTCTGTAGTGTTCATTTGTTGTGTTCATCTGGCTTTGGAATCAGGATAATGCTTACCTACCTCACAGAACGTGTTAAAAAGTGCTCCCTCAGTCTGTGTCCTTTGGAAGGGTTTGAGAAGGCTTGGTGTCAAGTCTTTTGGAAATGTTTCATAGAATTTAGCATTGAAGCCATCTAGCCCCAGGCTTTTCTCCTATAGGAGGTTTTTAATGACCGATTCAATCTCATTACTTGTTTTGTGTCTCTTCAGCTTGTCTACATATTCCCAAGTCAGTTCACTCACTTTAGATCCAAAAATACAAATATATTGGAAGTGAAAGAATTGAAAAATATACTTAATGAAATAGTAACCAGAAGAAAACTGGATGGCTACAATAAAATCACAAAAACAGACTTTAAGTTAAAAATTATCGTAAGAGACAAATGAAGACTTCAAATATTGATAAAAGGGCCAGTATGTCAAGACTATATGACCATTATAAGCATATATGTACCTATCAAGAGACCTCCAAAATGCATAAAGAAAAAAACTGAACTGAAGAAAGAAATAGACAATTCTAGTCCTACAATAACACGTGGAGACTTCAATAAGTCATTTACACTAGTTAAAGAAATTAAATGATAGGACAACTAGATCAAAGATCAATAGTGAAATAGGACTTGAAGAACACTGTGAAGCAACTGGACGTAATAGACATATACACAATGCTCAACTCAACAGCAGCAGAATATGCATTTTTCTCAAGTGGACATGGAATATCCTCCAGTTGGATCATATGTTAAACCACAAAACAAATTTCAATACATTTAAAAATGTTGAAATTCCACAAAGTGCCTTATCTCACCACAATGGAATGAAACTAGAAGTCAGTTACAGAAGGAAAACTGAAAAAAATTCATGAATATGTAGAAATCAAACAACACAGACTTACACAACAGGTGGGTCAAAGAAAAAAATGAAACGGAAGTTAGAAAGTACTTTGAAACAAATGCAAATGAAAACTCGATAAACTAGCCCTTCAGGTCTTGTGGGCCATGTGGGGACAGTCACATCCCCAGTGTCTCTTGCTGTGCTCTGCGGTTCTGGGTCCAGGAGTCTGTTCTAGGAGTCTTTGGTCAGCCATGAGTGAACCTGCATCTGAGCATATCCACACACGTTGTTCACATGTGTCTCCCACTCCACAGTCTGGACTCATTCTCCCATGTTCTGGGCTTTCTGCACCACAGCTCCCTGGGATCTTTCCTTTGCCACCTGCTCTCCCTCAGCCCGCCCAGCAGGTGAAGCTAGCCATGTGCTGGTCTCTGCCCTCTGCATCCCAGCAGCTGGCTCAGTGCTGGGCCACCAGGTGTTCCAGTGTCTGCGTCTCTGTGTGTGAGTTCAGGGTGCCCGAGCATCTCAAGAGGACAGTCAGTGCCAGGCCAGGCAGGGCCCATAGGACTTGTCCTAGAACAGTGCTTCTATTACCCTGCAGGACCTGTGATGGTGGTGAAACAGCAAACGACAGTATGAAGAAGACTGAGCTTCCCGCTGTCATGTGCAGGAGCCCCACAAATTTCCCAAGACTGGCAATAGCAAGGCATCCAAGGGGCCCAGGTCTCACAGCTGCCCCTCCCACCCCCAGATATGTGCAGTCAGCATGAAGGGCTGGTGGGGGAAGGAGAGTTTTGATTGGTGCTCAGAGGATGGGCAGGACTGGGGTCAGACAGCGCCCATTCTTGACCAAAGGAGAGATGCGGCCTGGAGCAGAGAAGCATGCTGTGGTGCAGCCAGAGCACCCATGGGTCCTGGTCAGGAGAAGAGCTCCGTGAACATTTCAGGCTTCCAGACCGGGGCTGGGCTGGAGGAAGTCAGGTCTGAGCTCTACCTGGATGGGGGAGGCCAAGGAAGGTGGGAAGTCAGGGGCTTCCAGGGGCTGACGGGTAGGGAGAATCCTTGGGGCCTGTGGCCCTACGGGGATGTGCCCGTCAGCAGCAGGACTTCTGTGCTGAGGCAGGGACGCAGCAGGTGAAGAGGGAGCACATGGGGCGGCAGAGTAGAAATATGCATACCTTATATGTTCAGTTAAGCGTACACTGACCAACAAGTTTCTAAATTAATTTACGTTCCCGTTAGACAATTCCAGTCACTGCACAGTCTCTGTGAAATGAGGTATTGTCAGTCGTTCAGGATCTTCTCCGTTTTGGAAAGTGTGCAAAGGCGTGGTGTTGTTGCATTAATTTGCCTTCCCTGATGAGTAAAGCTGCTCACAGAACATCTGAGTATCTCTTGCATTTGACCATTTTCATTAACTAGTGTTATTTGTATTTCTTCTGGATTTGTAGAAAATTATTATATATCCCCAATATGAGTTCTTTGTCATATATGTGCAACAGTGCACCGGTAAATGCTTAATGACTGGATGCCTGTGAAACAAAACCAAAACAAGTCCTGATTTGTGGTGTTTGCCAATCACCCTGGTGTAACTATTCCCCCAGCCACCACCAACATGGTGTCACTGAACACGGAGCCAGGAAGCAAAGGGCCCGGTCGGCTCTCAGGGGCTGGGCCGGTCGGCTTCAGCACAGCACCTGGGGTGGATGCACGGCAAACCTCTCATCCAAGTCTGGGGCTAGCGGTTTTCATCCTCTTGACTGTATTCTTTTAAAAAGTCAACATTATTTAGGTGAGACTTGCAGACTGTGAAATGTGCCTGTTCTCACTCTTGGCCCTGTTTATTATGAACAGACTTGAACATTTTGTTCATTCTGATGGCTGTTGGGGTCCCCAGCACTCCCGAGTTTTGATGACTCTGTACAGCTCCTGGGAGTCAGTATGCAGAGCTAAATCACCGCAGGGAAAAGCCACGTGGGTGGGAGTCAGGGACACCAGGCACAGCCACCATTCAGAGCCTTCCCTTGTGGATCCTGCAGGACTCACTTAACTGCTCAGCCAGGAATGGGAGGTGCCCACCAGGGAGCTCATCGGAGACCAGAGCCCAGGGCTCTTACTGGGGCTGGTCACGTGGCACTTCTGCCCTGCATGTGCCCCAAACTCCAGACCCCCAGAGGGAGAGAGGTGTCAGCACGACCATCGTGTCTGTGCGGACGGTTTAGGCCCAGTGCGGCACTCCCGTCACACGTACTGAGAGCCCTCCCGCAGTCCCTGTTCCCAGGTGCCAGCCCAGGGACAGCCTTATGAGCAGGCCTAAGGTTGGCCGCCCCAGGTCTGTCATGCTTCTTCCTGAACGGGCCCTTCTGGAGTGGGGATGCTGTAGAGAGTCCGAGTCACCCCTCAAGGGTGGCCCCTCTCAGGGCAGGCACTGCTGTCAGATTATCCACCCTTTGTGTCCAGAAGGTGGGTTCATCTCTTGGACATTCTTATGGCCTGAGTGATGGGGGACTTCCTGGACACCACTGAAGGGGCAGAAACATGGTGGCCCTGGGGAACCACCTGGGACCAACCTTACCTGGGGGATGTCAGGTAGGGGTCATTGTTAAAGAACAAAAATGAATGCTGGTTAAAGGCATCAGGAGAGGAATTTATTGGATGGGAAGGATAGCACACAGGACAGGGGCTGGGGTGGGGAAGGATGAAGACACCAGCAAAGGATGCAGTAGAGATGCTAGGGCCACATGGGGGTTGGGGGGCAGTGAGGAGAGACCAGCTTCTCTCCCTTCACTCTGTTTAAGGTTCCAAGGCCTGGGGAGAGTCCAGCTGGCCTTGCTGGGGTCACTGCCAGCCTGGGCTGGATGGCAGGGCACGTGGATTTGAGGAAGTCTCTACTTGGAAAAATGGGCAAGCATTTCCTCTAGGAAAAGCTAGGGAGAGATGCGCAGTGGTGGCCAGATGACCACAAATACCCAGTGCAGGGTCTTATGAAGGGGACTTGACAGCTGTCTTCGCTCTTAGTAAAGAATTCTGGGGGTGCAGATGGCAGTGAGCTGTTGAGTTTTGGGGTGCCTGTAAGAAGACCACTTAGTAGCAGGACTTCTGGGCTGAAGTAGGGACACAGCAGGCCGGGCGAGAGCACCCAGGGCGGCAGATGAGGGACACGCAGGAGGCCGGGCGGCAGCAGCTGGGCCGGCAGCAGGAGGAGGAGGGGGCACAGCAGGAGGAGACAGGCACGCAGCAGGAGGGTCTGCACACAGGGCGGCAGATGACGGACACGCAGGAGGAGGGTCTGCAGCAGGATGAGGCGCAGGGGGTGCAGCAGACGGGCTTGCAGCAGACAGGTGTGCAGCAGATGGGTGTGCAGCAAACAGGTTTGCAACAGAGAGGGACACAGCACGCCTGCTGGCAGGGGGAGGAGGTGCAGCAGGAGGGCTGGCAGCTAGACTGCTGGCAGCATGAAGGTATGCAGGAGCTGGTGCAGGCTGATTGGCAAGAACTGGACACACAGCTCACTGGGGCACAGACGAGAGTCAGGCAGGGGGTTGGGGCACAGCAGCTGGGGGCACAGCAGGTTGGGGTGCAGCAGCTGGAGACACAGCAGCTGGGGACACAGCAGGTGGACTGACAACAGCTTGGGACACAGCAGAAGGGCTGGCAGCAGTTGGGGGCGCAGCAGGAGGGCTCACAGCAGCTCTCTGGACAGTCATCCACCTGGCAGGAGTCGGTGCAAGAGTCAATGGAACCGGGCAGGCAGACGCGGCTGCCATAGCTCAGGTCGCTGGAGCAGACAGACAGGGTGGAGGTGGCCATGGTGGGTGCTGGGGCTGGAGGTGAGCTGGGAGGAGGTGTGAGGGTTTGTGAGTGTGTGAGTGTGTGAGGTACCTGAGCTGTCAGCTTTTATATCCCGTGTGGCTTGTGTTTCCCCACAGGATGCTCATTCACCTTCTTCCTTGTTTCTGTTTGAGCCCAGAGAGCTCTCATTAGTGCCGGTGTTATGTTTCTGTTCTGCGAGCAGTCGCTCAGCTGCAAAGCTCTTGTATACTGTGTGCTCTGTGGGTGCATCCGTCTTAGGCTGCCTTTGGTTCCTAACACTGAGGTAGAAAGTCACGTTTGCCTGTAGATAGCAAGTCCTGGGGTCTGCGTTTGCTTTGCAAGAGAGACATCCCTTCATGTCCAACCTCCCTTCTCTTGACACCTGGGACGGGTCCTGTGACCACCTGGGGACCCTGTTTGTTGGGGTCCCAGGGCTTCCCAAGTGCTTGGCTGGAGAAGGCCGGGCCAAGGAGGGCCAGAGGCCGGACCATCTCTCACTGTGGTTCCCCGGCATGCCCTCTGGTGCAGGGGCTCCCCTGGTGTGGGTGGTGGGCAGGCGCAGGTGCATGGTCTGGCAGTGGCACCCCCATGTCCCCAAGTGGGCGGTGCACACCCTGGCGACCTACCCAACTGCTCAGTGAGGCACAGACCCCATGCCTGTCCACTGCCTTCCTGCACCATCCGCGTGTATCCGACACGGAAAGCTGTGTGTATGACCCAGAGGTCCCTGTACACCTCCCTGCAGAGGGCACAGCTCCTGCAACAAGGCTTCTGCATGGAAAACGAGGCTCACTTGTATTTCCCATTTTTTTCTTTTTTAATATTTTATTTATTTTTAGAGAGTGGGTGAGGGAGGGAGAAAGAGAGGGGGAGAAACATCAATGTGTCCTTGCCTCTCACATGACCCCTACTGGGGACCTGGCCCACAACCCAGGCACGTGCCCTGACTGGGAATCAAACAAGCAACTTTTGGTTTGCAGGCCTGTATTCAATCCACTGAGCCACACCAGCCAGGCCCCATTTTTTTCTTGATTGTTTACAGAAAAATAAAATGGAAAACAGCATTAACAGTAAGGGTGACAAAGGTAAATGGAGCTAAAGTATCCCGAGGTCTTAGCGTTGCTTTGAAAGCGGTAAGAGTGCCGGTGTGTGCCCGAGTCTCCGAGAGTGCACCCAGGGAGTCTTTAGGTCCCCGAGGAAAAGTCAATGCCTGCAGCGGGTCATTCACCATGAATTAAAACAGGGAGATGAATCCTAAAAGTACATGATTAACCCAAAGTGGTCGGGAAATAATCAAAGAGAGCATTCTGGGACAAATAGAAAACATAGCCAGAGAGTAGATCTAACACTGTGGCCATGTGAGATGGTCACAGAAGGTTGGAGGTGAAACCACTGATAAGAATATACCATGTAAACACCAACTCTGAAAGGCTGGTGCGGCTGGTTACTGCCAAGTAAAGTAGATCTTACTTTACTGCCAAGTAAAGTAAGAAGCGTTATTTGAGATAAAGACATTTCACAAAGCAAAAAGGGCCAGTCCGCCAGGAAGCTGTAACAATTCCATATGTGTATGTACCTAATTATATAGCCTAAAACGGAGAAATAGAAAACTGTCAGGACTAGAAGTAGGAATAGGGAAGAGTAACATCAGAGTTGGGGACATTAATACACCTCGCTCAATAGCTGAAGGAAAAGGGGACAAAAATAATCTCAGTGTGGGTGGGGCTCTTCTAAGTTTGGAGTAAAACACGGGCATCCTGTGTGCTGTGTGGCCCTTGCCCCCCCAGAGCAGTCAGGACCCTTGACTTGTTTTAGGTACCTTCCTTTACAGCCAAGGTGATGGGACGTGTGTGTTTATGTTACACATGTGAGACTGTAGACTAGTCTTGGGAGGAGACACTGTCCTGTGCTGGCTGTGAAGGAGCCAGCTGTCCCTTGTGAGCTGCCCGTGGAGGGGGCCACGTGGCAAGACAAGAAATTGGCCCTCAGTCGGACCACCTGCAAGGACCTGAATTCTGAGGAGAACAGGTGAGCTGGGAAGCAACTCCTCCCCCAGTCGAGCCTCCAGATGGGACCCCATGGTGCGAACCCATGGCGAACTCAGTGCAGCTCAACCCCCAGAGACTGTGTGTGACATGTGCATTTTTTTAACCCACTAAGCTTGTGGCAATTCATGACACAGCTACAGAAATCACGTGCACGGACCAATGTGGAATTCTACACAGTTATCCACGAGAAAGAGAAATCTTCATGTACTTACAGGAGAGGAGCTCCATGTTAAGATTAAAAAAAAACATAGTGGGTAAAATACGGTACAGTTTGTATTTAAAAAATTTGTATACAAAGACATTATCTATATGCACATGGTATATGTATCTAAGCCTAGACAGACAGCTCCTCATTATTCAGGGACCCCTTATTTGTGAACTCACTGGCTTGCTGCGATTTGTTTGTAGCCCTGTTAACCCTTGCAGTGCCTGTCTCGCACTGCGGGTTCGTGCAGGACAGCCGAGGCTCTGAGTCCCCCATGGCGCATGTTCCTGGCTGAGGTCGCACAGGCAACATGGCCTCTTGTTTCAGCTCACGGTCTGTAGATGGGTCCTTCCCTGGGTCTCTTCAGCGCTGTGTTTTTCACATTTTGGGGCCTTATACTTGTGACTTTGCTGGTGAGAATGGCCCACAGCATGGAGCTGAAGGTCTGTCTGGTGCTGTGAGCACAGGAAGGCTGCAGTGTGCCTCCCAGAGAAAACAGACGTCAGGTAACCCCATTCAGGAGAGAGTTACAGTGCAGGTGGCTATAACGCGATATTAACTAAGATGCTCATTAAATACATACATTAAATCAAACGTCCTCACACAGAAGCACATACCAAACAGGGCTACGTATTGATCGGTTATGAAAATACAGTGCCCAGAGGATCGCAGGGACCCGACCTTGCATTTCCCCAGGACCATCATGGTATTTGATAATTCAGGGCTTGCAGCAACTTTATAGAACGTAACGACTGTGAACAAAAATGGACTGAGGGTAAATGTGTGTGTGTGTGTGTGTGTGTGTGTGTGTGTGTGTAGAGAGAGACAGAGACAGAGACAGAGAAAATAAAGGGGTGCAGCTGCCGCTTCCTGAGTGGGTGCAGGCGCTGGCAGACAGTGAGGGAGGCGCTCTCCTCGGCCACGTTTTGCATCTTTTTTGTTGTGCCCAGTGGCCCTCTACTACCGAGTGACCCCTCCGGTGGTCTGAGTAGGCGGGCTGGGTGTCCAGCCATCAGAGGGCCGTTGGGGGCTGCCTTGAAGGAGAGGCGAGGCATCCCTGCGAAGAAGGCACCTGCGAGGGAGACGAGGGCTCAGACCCATTCACGGTCCAGCCGAGGTGCTCTGTGTGGGTCACACATGGGAATCGAGCACCCAGGAAGCTGTCACTGTTCTGCTTGGAAGGGAGCCGCATGATTCGCCCCAGAATGCAGAGTCCTGTGGCCTTCCAGTATGGTGGAAAGTGGACACACAGACAGTTGGCCACGGAGAGAGGTCTTTGGCAGTGAGAAATCCTCCTGAGCCCCGACTCAGGGGCCCAGGTCCTGCTGCACCCATGTGGCCCTGGGAAGTCACCAAACGCCCCTGGCTCTCGGTTCCTCCCACATAAGGTGGCAACAGTTCTGCATCCCCACCAGATGAGGTGTTGAACTGCAGGGAAACCTTCCCAAAGCCGGCTGCCTGCAAAGCGAGCCAGGCACAGAGGCTGTCCGGGTCTCTGAAGGGATGATGGCCTACACATCCAGGATGGCTTGAGGTGGGACCTTAGTCCCATTCCACCTGCACCTTCCCCTGCTCTGAGGACCCAGGCTGGGACCTGCCCACCCACTCCTGTTCCCTGGAGACACAGTGGGACAGGCTCCTGAGCTACACAATCTAGATTTACAAGCTGGACAACATCCCAGGCAAACAAACATCTCTGATGATTCTGGGAAGCGGAAATGGCAGCTGTGGGGCTTGGGACACCCAGCCAGGAGAATATAAAAGCCAATAGCCCAGGTACCACACACATTCACACACTCACACACTCACACCTCCTACCAGCTCACCTCCAGCCCCACCCTCACACCATGGCTGCCTCCACCCTGTCCATCTGCTCTAGCAACCTGAGCTATGGCAGCCGTGTCTGCCTGCCTGGTTCCAGTGACTCTTGCACCGACTCCTGCCAGGTGGATGACTGTCCAGAGAGCTGCTGTGAGCCCTCCTGCTGCATCCCTAGCTGCTGCCAGTCCACCTGCTGTGCCCCCAGCTGCTGCCAGTCCACCTGCTGTGTCCCCAGCTGCTGTGCTCCAGCCCCCTGCCAGACCCTTGTCTGTGCCCCAGTGAGCTGTGTGTCCAGCCCCTGCTGCCAGGTGGCCTGTGGGCCCAGCCCCTGCCAATCAGCCTGCACCATCTCCTGCACACCCTTGTGCTGCCAGCAGTCTAGCTGCCAGCCCTCCTGTTGCACCTCCTCCCCCTGCCAGCAGGCCTGCTGTGTGCCTGTCTGCTGCAAGCCTGTCTGCTGCACACCTGTCTGCTGCAAGCCTGTCTGCTGCACTCCTGTCTGCTGCAAGACTGTCTGTTGCACACCTGTCTGCTGCACACCCGTCTGCTGCAAGCCCGTCTGCTGCACACCTGTCTGCTGCAAGCCTGTCTGCTGCACCCCCTGACCCTCATCCTGCTGCAAACCCCCCTCCTGTGTGTCTGTCATCTGCTACCTTATGTGCAGACCCTCCTGCTGCCAGCCCAGCCTCCTGCGTGCCCCTCATCTGCCACCCTGTGTGCTCCCACCCTGCCTGATGTGTCCCTGCCTTAGCCCAGAAGTCCTGCTGCTGACCAGGCATGTCCCCCCAGGGCCAGATGGGTTCAGGTCTCACCTTGTGACTGTGGTCCTTCCAGCCACCCCTCAGTCTACCCCTGACCCATGTTATATGGCTGACCTCACCCAGGATGGGGTCCCCCAGGTCTCCACTGTCCTTATCTGACCTCTGCTCCCAGGAACCCCTGACCTTGCTGCTTCCCCAGTCTCTTGCCTCCCAGGAGGCACCTCCAATGTGCCTCAGTCCCCTGTCATTCCCTCCACATTTCTCTATCAAGTCACTTGACCTCCACTCTCGTCTTGTCAGCATCTCCTCGGGCAGCCCAATAAACTCACTTCATCACCTGATTGCTTCCTCCATCTGATTTCATGGTGAGGGCGGGGCGGAGGGACAGGTGGTTTTCACCAGATGTTGGTCTCCAGCCCCAAGTATTTCTGGGAATGAGTGGCTGACAGATCACAAAGCTCAGCGGCCTAACTGCTCTGGGCAAGATGACTGGGTAGGACTCTTGTCCTTGCTGAGGAAGGTTGGTGCCTACTAGGCCCATGCCCTGGCCTTCCCTGGGGCTGGTCACCTGCAGACACATCATGGTCCAGGGGTCCTCAGTCCCCTGGGACTGTTTCCACCCACTGTCCCATCTTGGCAAACCCACCCTCCAGAGTCACTCATCAGGAAGCTGGTGTGGGGGCTGCACGCAGCACAGCCTCTGTGGGCCTGGATCCACCTCCATCATCTACTTAGAGCCACACCAGTGGCAGAGGCCGGATGGAGTGAGGGGGGAGGGGCTGCTCCCAGCTTACAGAGTGAACAGCAAGTATAGAAATAGGACATGGAGAAGCAGGAGGCAGGACCTGCAGGTCCCCTGTCTGCGTGCCCTTGGAGCCTTCCTCTGGCTTCCTCTGGGCTTGGGAGTGTGAGGGACACCAAGTCATGACACAGGGCCTCCCCTGAGAGCTGAGTGTCCCTTCCGGGCCTCAGTGTGCCAAAGGGCCATGGACAACAGCCTCCTCTGACATCAGGATGACATCAGCCCCACGCAAGGGCACCGGTTGACAAAGGTGCAAGTACCCCAGCGAGATCACCCACTAGGAGCAGCGGCCAGAACTGCTGCAGGAAGTGGACCGCTGTCCCCGAGCTCTAAAGGATCACACAATGTTCGGCCCACCATGCGAACGAGGTGGCGGTCATGAGCCCCTCACTCTTCCTGTGGTCAGCATCCATGGCCTGCTGTCCCTGGAGGGTCTCGGCCTCCTTCCCTGAAATGCTGGCCACCTCCCAGCCGCCCCCACACGTCCCACCTGCTGCACACTCCTCACCTGAACTCCCTCTTCTCCCCCTGACCACTTCTGCTTAAAATCAGCTTTGTTGCGGTACGACTTTCCTGTATTCAAATGCACCCAATGTAATTGTGCAGTTTGGTGAGTTTTTTAAAAGGCCGCCATCCTGCCGCCACCACCATTGTCAAGATGTAGAATATTTCCTTCAGGCCAGAGGTTCCTTGCCTTCCTTTCCAGTGGCCACCCCCTGCCCAGGGCCGGGCCACCCCTGCCCGAGGTCTCGTTAAAAACAGGTCACGTGAAGGAACTGTGTAGTGTGTCCTCTCCGCATGTGGCTCTCTGTCTTGTCCCTGCTGCTGTGTGTTTCAGTAGTGCATTCATTCCCTTTCGTGGCGGAGCCGTGCGTTACCGGAAGGCTGCACCATGCTCTATCCACTCACCTGCTGACGTGAGGCTGCCTCCGGGTGTGGGCGATTCTGAATGGAGCCTCTGTAAATGCCGGCCCTCAGTGCGTAGTGTTTCCGTGTTGCCTGGGTAAATACCCCAGGGCGGCGTTGCCAGTCACCAGGTGGGTGTCCTTGGTAGTGAGGTGCTTATTTCCCTGGTGACTGGTGATGGTGACTGTCTCACGTACTCATTTGCCATTTGTGTGCCTTCCTCAGTGCAGTGTCTGTCCCAAACTCTGCCCGATTTGATAGGATCTGCTGGTCCATCCTTATCATTAAGTTGTAAGTGTTCTTCATATAGTGTGGGTACCACTCATGTGTCATCCATAGAAGTGGAAAAGCTCTCTGTGATGAGGCTTTTTATCTTCTTAACTGTGTTTTTTAAAGAGCTGACATTTTTAATTTTGATTAAATTCAATTGATTTTTTTCTTTAATGGTTCTATCTAAGAAATCTTTGTCTAAATCCAAGGTCACGTAGATTTTGCCCGATGCTTACTTTTAAGTATCTTGTGGTTGTTTTATGATCCGTTTCATGTTAATTTTTGAATGTACTGTGAGTTGTTCCAGCATCATTTGTTAAGATTGTCCTTTCTCCATTGAATTATCCTTGCCAAAAAAATCTATTGATGGTATATGTGAAGATCTGTCTCTGCGCTTTCTTACCTGTTCTATTCTTCTATTTTTTATGCCAGTAATAAATATGTTTATTATTTCACCAATTACACAGTCTTAATCAACACAATGTAGCTTTAAATTAAGTCCTGAAATCAAGCAATGTAAATCCTTCGATGTTGGTTTTCTTTTTCCGAATTAGTTGGCTAATCTAGATCCTTTACATTTTCATGTAACATTTAGAATATATTCTAGAATCAGCTCATTCATTTCTACAGAAAAGCATGCTGAAATTTTGATTGGAATTGCATTGAACTTGTAGATAAATTTGGGAAGAGTTGACATATTTACAGCATGGAGCCTTTTGACTTATAGACACAATATGTCTGTCCAGTCCTTCAGGGCTGCTTTGTCCAACAATGTGTTGCCATTTTCCGGACACAGGCCATGCACACATGCTGTTCACGTTGTGTGCTATTTCACGGTCAGTGCTTCAGTTGATGGTATATATTTTTTTCTTTTTGATTATTTAGTCTACTAGGTAGAAGTACTATTGGCTTCTCTATATTGAGCTGGTATCCTGTAACCTTGCTAAATGCACTGGAATTGAATAGATTTTTAAGGTATATTCTTTCCTTAGGATTTCCAGTGGTCAAGGCACTTGGGCTCCGTGTCTTGTTTGTGGGAAAGGTATTAACTATGAATTCGATTTCTTCACTTGGCAGAGGGCTATAGAGGTTTTCTATTTCATCTCATATGAGTTTTTATAATTTGTATCTTTCTGGTTAGTGGCCTATTTCATCTAAGTTATTAAATGTATCATCATGAAGTTGTTTGCTTTCACCCCTTTTAATTCTTTTAGCCTACAGATCTGTGCTCATTCATTTATGATGTTAGAAATTCATATCTTTTCTCTTTTTTCTTGACTAACAAGGCTAGCAATGAATCAACTTTATCGATTTTTTTCAAAAAAACAAATTTGGTTTATTGATTTTCTCCTCTGTGCATTTTCTATTCAGCAGATTTCTACACTTCTTGATTATTTCCTTTCTTCTGCTTATTTTTGGGTTCAACTTGTACTTCTTTTTATAGCTTCTTAAGGTAGAAACTTAGATAATAGATTTTAGTCCTGCCTTCTTTTAAGATATACGTCATTAAAGCTTTACATTCCCCCCCAGTGCATTGTGTTAGCTGTATCTTGCAGAGTTTACTTTCATTTTATTCAGAATATTTTCTAATTTTCACTGTGATTTCTTCTTTGACTCAGGATTATTTTGAAGCGTGTTGTTTAATTTCCTGATATTGGACCATTTTCCAGATATCTTTCAGGCAGCGATTGATTCCGATTCTGTTGTGGTCGCACAACATTCTCTGTATGATTTCAGTCCTGTTGAATATATTGAGACTCGCTTAATGGCCTAGCACATAATTTTTTCTGATGAGTGTCCCATATGCACTTAAAAATGTGCATTCTACTGTTTGGGGGGATGATATATTATATAACATCAATTAGTTCGGGTTAATTTATAGTGTTTTCCCAGTTTTCTATATATTTATCAGTTACATCAAATTATGAATATATTTGGCCATTATCTCTTAAAATACCTTTTGCCCTGTCCCTCACTTTTATTTATTATTTATTTATTCATTATTTATTTATTTATTTATTTAAGTGCTCCATTTGTACTTATATTAGAGCACTTAATTCTTTCCCAGGTCACTGAGGCTCCGTGAAGTTTTTACTTTTTTTTTCTCACTGCCCTCTGTTTTGGATAATTTCCATGGCTATGTCTTCAGGGTCACGGGGCTTTTCCTCGGCAGTGTCTAAAGAACTTTTAACACATCCTTATAACTTTTTACTATTGATGGTATACTTTTTAGTTTTGGGGGTTCTGTTTTGTTTTCTTTTCAGTTGTCCATTTCTCTCTTCATTATGTTTGTGGTTGCCTTTAAACTTCTGAACATATTCGCAGTGGCTGTTTTAACTACTTTGCGAGTTCTATCAACTCTGTGGGTTCGTTTTTATACACTGTCTTATCTCTCGGTTATGGGCGACATTTTCCTCTTTTGCATGTGTCTACTGATATTTTCTTGAGCGCTGGACTTCAATGAAATAAAACCGTTAGGCCGTTGAATGGTGTACTTCGTTTCCTTTTTTTTAAAGGGTGTTGAACTGTGTTCTGCCTGGTAGTTACCAACTGCGGGTCGGCCAACGCTCTCGGTGCTCTTGGGCTTGTTTCCAAGTTTCGTCAGGTCGGGCTGGAGAAGCTTTGCTCTTGGAGAGGTTCAACACTGCGGTTGAGATGCGACTCTTCTGCGATCCGTACTGAACGCCTCCGGTGTCCAGCGAGGTCCCTCCCCTCTGGTTGTTTGGAACCCTAGTGTCTCTTACTCTTGCGTATGCTCTGGTAGTTGTTCACTGTAACAGCTCTGTGGTTGTTCTTGTCCAGCTGCATGGGGTTCTGAGCTCTGACTAATGGATTAGGATTCTGCAGTGGACTCGCAGGAGGCTTTCTCTGCATATTTCTCCCCTCTTCTGTGTCTGCCCCATAGGTTCCAGCTGCCTCATTCTCTGTGAACTCTGGCTCCTACCTCTATAGCTCAGCAAAAACCCCACACTGTTTATCATCCCTCCATGTGCTGTGGCCTGGAGACTCTCAGCCAGCAAGCCAGGGCAATTAAACAAGTCTCAATACGTTTAGTAGGCTGGTAATCACACAGACAATGTTATTCTGACCACAACAGAACCAGAAATCATTCACAGAAAGTTACCCGGATAAGTGTCCAAAGTTAGGGAATTAAATGGCAGGGCTTGCCTCCTTTGTCTTCCTCCCCTGAGGGACCCCGGTACTGTAGTCTCGGTTGTCTAGTGTCCAAAACCTGGCTTTTTGTGTCTTTTGTCTCATTTTCTAATTTCATCTGGTGGGAGGATGTCAGGTCCGCCATGGCTCTAAGGAATGCCTGACTCCCTGTTTTCAAGAACTCTCTCGAAATCCCTTCCATCTAATCCCTTGCTTCACTCTGGCTCCACAGATTCTGTTCTGACTCTGAAGCTGCATGTGCCTGCTTCCACTCTGGGAAATGCTCTGGCTAACCTGGAGCTCAACCTGAGACTTACCTCCTTCCCCAAGGGCTGTACCATGCTGCCAACATATGTCGCCAACATACGCCGCCACGCTGCCAACATTCTCCCGGGAGGAACGGATCCTGGAGATCCTAACTGTGGGTCTTGTAGAGACATAAGGAATCTCAACCTAACTTTCTGGGGCCTCCGGGCTCCATAAAGAATGTCACTAATTCCCATTTCACCCAAGGTTCAGTGGTGTCCTGTTCACACAGCCCCCATGGTAATTATGTCTGTGGGGAAGGTACAGAGTCAAATCAAGAAAAATAACCATTCAGTGAATAATAAATAATACAGGAGGATGAAGGGCCAATCCATGATGGCCCCAAATGGCCAAAGACCTGTGAAACCTGTCCCTTGGAAACCTGGAGGTCACAGGAAACCACACGGGGCCCTGCTGGATGACAGTTTGATGTGCAAAGGGCAGAGGTAAATGTGTGGTCAAGCTGAGAAATGGCAACAAAGACACGTGGCCATGAGTGCAGTACTCTCAGTTTAGGGGTGTTTATTGGTCACTTGGCTCAAGTACATCCAGACCTGAGCCTGGGCGCAGTCAGAGACTGATGGAGGCTGATCTGGTTCTCTTGAGGGTGGGACATACGGACGGACCACTGCCATGAGGACTACCTAGGCACCACTCAGAAACTGTAGCATTGAGTATGATCATTTGGTTCTTCTACACCGTCCAGCTCAGGAAATTGTCCAAGTGCCAGAGCTTTGCAGGGCATGGCAGTCAGCTTCCAAGTGGGACCTGACCCTGACCCCAGTGAGGGCAACCTTCTGACATGGCTCAGGCCCAGACTGAGGGGTGGTGGGGAGACCCACAGTCACAGGGGTGAAGCCTGAGCCTGGCTGCCCTGGGAAGATGTGCCCAGTCAGCAGCAGGACTTTAGGGCCAAGGCAGGGACATAGCAGGCTGGATGGGGCAGCAGATAAAGGACAGGTAGGAGGCCAGGCAGCAGCACCTGGGCTAGCAGCAGGAGGGGGCACAGCAGGAGGAGATGGGCACACAGCAGGCAGGTCTGCACACAGGGCGGCAGATGAGGGACACAGAGGAGGAGGGTCTGCAGCAGGACGAGGGGCAGGGGGTGGGCTGGCAGCAGGAGGGGGCTGGGCAGGGGGCAGCCCCAGAGCAGATAGGCACACAGCACACGGGCTTGCAGCAGACAGGCTTACAGCAGACAGGTGTGCAGCAGACAGGCTTGCAGCAGACAGGAGTGCAGCAGACAGGTGTGCAGCAGACAGGCTTGCAGCAGACAGGCACACAGCAGTCCTGTTGGCAGGGGGAGGAGGTGCAGCAGGAGGGCTGGCAGCTAGATTGCTGGCAGCACAAGGGTGTGCAGGAGCTGGTGCAGGCTGATTGGCAGGGGCTGGGCCCACAGGCCACCTGGCAGCAGGGGCTGGACACACAGCTCACTGGGGTGCAGATGAGGGTCTGTGTGGGGATGAGGGCACAGCAGCTGGGGGTAGACTGGCAGCAGCTGGGGGCACAGCAGGTGGACTGGCAGCAGCTGGGGACACAGCAGGTGGACTGGCAGCAGCTGGGGACACAGCAGGTGGACTGGCAGCAGCTGGGGGCACAGCAGGTGGACTGGCAGCAGCTGGGGGCACAGCAGGAGGGCTCACAGCAGCTCTCTGGACAGTCGTCCACCTGGCAGGAGTCGATGCAAGAGTCACTGGAACCAGGCAGGCAGATGCGGCTGCCATAGCGCAGGTCGCTGGAGCAGACTGACAGGGTGGAGGCAGCCATGGTATAGGGGTGGGGCTGGAGGTGAGCTGGGTGTAGTGTGTGAGAGTGTGAGTGTGTGAGAATGAGTGAGTGTGTGAGAAGCTGGGGCTGTTCACCTTTTATACCCCTCCCTGGGTTTGTGTGTTGTCCCAGCCACGGGCTCACGTGCCTCTTCCTTGTTGCTGGTGAGGGCGGACCCTGGAGAGGAAGCAGCAGGTGTTTTAGCCCCAGGAGTCATTGCTCAGCTCACGAAATTCTTAGAATTGGCCTGGGTGTGCTTGCCCATTTTCAGTGCCAGAAGGAAACCTTGGGGTGGGGTGTAGGTTGCCTCGTTTCTTAGCAGGACCCCTGGGGACTAGGGCAGAACCCGGTCTGTGTTGTGCTAAGTTGAGGTCCCTGGTCCTGCAGCCCTGTGGTGGGTGCCCTGCTGGCGGCGCCAGGTCATGTGCCTGGTGGTTGGAAGCTTATTTGGTTAAGACAATGTGAGTCACGCTGTGTAGCCTGGGGCCGCCATAACAAAGCACCGCAGCCAGCTGGCCTCACACACAGAAGTGTGTTTTGTCATAGTCTGGGGTCCGGAAGTCGGAGGTCAGGGTGTCCGCAGAATTGGTTCCGCGGCTGAGAGGAGAATCTGCCCCGGCTCTGCCCAGCTCCGGGTGGCTGCAGGCCATCTGTGGGTTCCTTGGCTTATAGAAGCAGCGCCCAATCTCGACCTCCCTTTTCACAAGGCCCTCCCTCTGTGTGCCTCTCTGTGTCCAAATGTCCCCCTTTTATGAGGACCAAAGTCATACTGGATTAGGACCTGCCATAGTGACCTGATTTTCACTTGGTTGCACCTGAGAAGACCCTACTTCCAAACAAGGTCACATTCACAGGTCCCAGGGTGAGGGCCCCAGCAACATTTTGGGGACAGGATGCAGCCCATCACAAGCACCAGCTCTGAAGCAGACACAGTGTCAGAGCCAGGGATGGAAGGAGAGCTTGGGTGGGGCTCCTTTCTCGGGGCCGTGGGTCTGCAGCAGGTGCAGGGCGGGGCGCAGGCAGCATGTGGCGTGACGTGTTCAGCGGCATGCACACGACTTCTGCTTGTCCAGGAACAGCTTGATTTTTTAAACACAGTTTATTTGAGCAAATAATTATAAAAAAGTACAGGGAATTTACATACACCCCTTGCCTTCTTACATAACGGTAGATCAATTACCAAATTTCAGAAACCACTTCAGTACCTCACTACTCACTAGAGGATGGACTCTACCGGGTTCACCTTTTCTCATGAATGCCCGCCCCCTGCTCCCTGACCCGGCATGGCTGTGTTCAGGTCTTCCTCTCCCACCCAGGGCGTCGCTCATTTCCACGTGCTCCTCCACTTCCACACTGCTGGGGAGCACTGGTCAGGGATGCTGCTGAACGACTCTCAGTTTGGGTTTGTCTGATGTTCTTTTCACAGTTACCAGGGCTGCTCTGTTTGGGGGCAGAACCTCATAGAAGTCATGTGTCCAGCGAGGCAGGGGCACGGGCTGTCTGTGTGTGTTATCTCTGGGAACGTGACCATTCTCCTCTTTGCAATGAGTATACATTTGGGGGAGGTTGTGCAGGGCTTTGCAAACACCCTGTTTCTACCGAAATGTCTGCTCAATGGCTTCAGCACTGTCTGGGGACAGTGACTGCAGCCGCTGTCCCTGCAGCCACTGTCCCTGCGGTGTTTTTAGGGTGGTCCTTCTCCCTCCACAGGCTGTCATCACAGGCTACTAGTTACAATTCTTCTGTAAGAAGGAGTTGTCCCTTGTCCTCCATTTTTTAATTCGTTCTATTACTTATTTCAATATGGACTAGAGTGTCTATTTTGCCCTGGCTGGGGTGGCTCAATGGATTGAGCGCCAGCCTGAGAACCAAAGGGTCACCGGGAATTGGGGGCAGCCGCACCCTGATGTTTCTCTCCCTCTTTCTCCCTCCCTTCCCCTCTCTCAAAAAATAAATGAATAAAATATTTTTAAAAACATATTTTATTGAGTTCTATGACAATATTATCAGTTTCTAATTTAGTTATTCAGATCGTCCCAACTTGGACTGGTGGTAGCTCCTTCGTTCGTCTCCTGGGCCCCTTGGGCGCCCCGCCTCTCCCTGACGCCTCATTTCGGGTGCGAGCTCACCTCGAATTTCCTCCACACTCCCTGGAATCAGCCACTTCTGCCGGGAGCACTGGTCCCTTTTAGTGGATGACGGCATTCGGAGACCAAATCTGGAGCCAGGGTGCTCATGACTTCTAGGGTGTCATTTCTCCCAGGACCTCCTCGTGGGCAGATCCCTCACCTGTGCCTGAACTTGGGGACAGTTCAGTCTTGCCCTCACGAACCGTGTTAGCTGCAGTGTTTTCCGGAAGTTTCCTTTTATTGCTGAGGGACCAAGTACAGATGCTGGATTTCACAAAATGCGTTTTTGTATCATAGACTGTTCTTTTTCAAGTCCATTAATATGGTGAATTACATTAACTGATTTTTTTAATTATTCATTCTGAAATAGTTATAGATTTATGGAAAATTGTGAAGCTATTGTGCACACGTTCACTGATTTCTGAGTGTGGAAGCGGTCCTGAGTTCCGGAGTAAGCCCCCTGGGCGTGACGTGTCGTCCTTTTTGTATGTTGCTGGACTTGATTTGCTAGTATTTTACTCAAGATTTTCATGACAGTATTCATGAGGGAGCTGGCCTGCAGTTTTCCTCGGCTGTGACGCCGGTGGCTGTGATGTCATGGCTGTGATGTTGTGGCTGTGATGCCGGTGGCTGTGATGTCATGGCTGTGATGTCGGTGGCTGTGATGACCCTGCCCTCATGCAAGCAGCCAGCAAGCGGCCCCTCCTCCCCTCTTTGCTATCAGAAGTGGTGTCAAATTGGCACTTTGTCTTTGAACGTTTGGTAAAATTTTCTAAGAAACTGGAGTTTTCTTCCATAGATATCAGACCACCCAGGTATCTGATTCTTATTTAATGAGTTTTGATAGTTTGTGTCGGTGAGGAGTGGATTCATTTCCTTTAAGGTTCTGAATAATAAACCTAATGCTGTGTGTAGGCTTCCCTCATTGTCCTTTTAATTTCTGAAAAATGGTCAGTAATATCCACTATTTTTCATTGATATTGATAAATTAATCTTTCCAGTATTTTCCCTGGTCAGCCTGGCTGGAAGTTTATCAATTACATCGATCTTCTCAAAGAACCAGCTTTGATTTCACTGACTTTTCTCTTGTTTCTAGTGACCTTGACCTTGGTTTCTGCCCTTGTTCTTCTTTTGCTCCCCGGGTTTTCATTTGCTCTTCTTTTCCAAGTTTCTTCAGTGGAAGCTCAGATGGCTGACCTGGTACGTCCCTTTTCTGACAGAAGCTCTTACTACTGTAAATGCCCTCGTCCTTCCACGTGTCCCTAAGGCCGTCCTGAGGACAGTCCTGGGCTGGAGCCCGGGGCTTTGCGTGAGCCCATCTCTGGGCCGCTCGTGGCTCTGACCCTGTAATTCCTGGATTCGTACCGTGTTTTAAGGGTGATAGAGTGGATGAGATGGGAGTTCACATGCAGTGGGTTTGAAGGCAGGTAAGGCTGCAGGTGCTGAGCGTGTTGACTCCCACACCCCACAGCCTGAGGTCCTTGCAGCGGGAGTCACCTGCGGTTCTCACTTGCCAGGAGGACGGCAGATAAGGAAACACGGAGAGTTGGCTGGATGGCAGGTGATCGTGCCTGGCAGGAGGGAGCAGTGTTTTTATTGCAAAGGTCCTCAGGGACAGGGCTGCCCCTTCATCTTCACCTCTCCCACCCCTCAGCTCCTGGCAGAGGCGGGTCCGGGAGGAGACATGCTCTGTGGGTGGGACCCAGAGGGCCAGGGAGCATCCTGTCCTGAAGGGCCCCCATCATCCCCCTGCCCTGCAGCCTGAATTCCATCACTCTGTCTTTTGTCTCCAGAATGTCTGCGTGTCCCCAGGCCAGGGGGTCACTGGGCCTGAAGGACAGCATTTGACAAGGCTGGCGAGGAGGTTCAGGTTTTGAGCTGTGAAGTGCACGGCCAGCAGATGGACTCATTCCCCGTGCTCTGTGTGCAGACTTCTCTGTATCGCTGATCAAGGCACCCTGGCGCCCTATTTACATACGCGAACTTCGCATCAGCTGTACCAGCCATGTGGATCTTACTCAAGAGACCTGCTCGGCCAGCCTGGCAGCCTGCCTTCCTGCAGGCAAACTCGGGTGGGAAATTAACAATTCCCTCAAAAGTGGGCCAGTGCAGGGTTGGCTGTGTCATCAGGGATGGGGGGGGTCCCTTTCTAGTTCAGTTTCAGTGAGGCAGTCCATGTTTGGGGAGCAACCTCTGCCTGCCAGATAAGATTACCAGTCCCCCCATAGCCCTACACAAAAGGGGGGTACCGTCTTCTATGGCTGTCGAGAAGACCAAGCCCCTGAGAGGTCAGTGGGAGGCTGCAGGACACAGCGAGGCCCAGGAGAGCTGGATGCAAATGCCACCGCCCTCCCTGTGTCTCACCCTGTGGACCAGATCATGCACATTTCTGGGAGCCTTTGACGCTAAGATGCTGAGGCGGACTTCGGGGCAGGACTGAAGGAGCAGGTGTTTTGCACCGAAATTTATTGGTGTGTGCAGAGGACTTCATTCATGGAGCGCTCTGGGCCATGTTTGCTGGGTTATCGTGGGCATCACTGCTCTTTCGGGGCCTCCTTGCAGCTTCAGTGGCCAGATGACCACACTGCCTTTGTCTTTGCGGGCTGTGGACATATTTACCCCACATCCCCAGAGAGCCCAGGGGTCCCAGTGGTCCCACCCAGAGCCCAGGGCCAGCCTTATCTCCTGCCCTTGACTTCCTTTAAAACAAGTTAAGAAAAGCAGGTTTGAGCGCTCAGACAGGACACGACACATTTTCCCGTTTGTTTTCCATCTCTGCGTGTTTTTCCTTCCCTCCTTTAACGAGGATAATAGGAGAAAAGTAGCATCTCCCTACTGTTCTGATTTGCATCTCTCCGACTCTCACGACTTGAGTCTTCTTCCATATGCCCGTGAGCCCTCTGGGCTCCTCCTTTTGTGAGTTGCCTGCTGTTGTTCTTTTCCGAGGATGGATTGCTCTTCTGTTTTCCTCGTGGGTCCTCGGGTTCACCATTTGTTTGTACTCTTGTGGGTTCCAGGCATGACAGACCCCCTTCCTGGCTGCCCCAGTCATTGGCACTGCCCACGGTGTCCTTCCTGAGCAGAGATTCTTGTTCTGCTGTGACCTCTTCCTGATTGTTTGTGTTTATTGAGTTTGGGAATTCCATAACCCGAGGTCACGGAGGGTGACTCTTCTAACACCCTGACCTAAATGCTTGGAAAGAAACTGCTCCTGCTCTCCAGGCACACAATTTAAATCAACAATATCCACAGAGTGAAGAGGATTTTATTGGCCACTTAGTTCTTTCCCCCCTCCTGCCCCCAGTAGGGGACCCCTTCCCAGAGACTGTCGGACCTGGCCGAGGGCCTCACGCCTGTGCTTTCAGTGAGGGCAACTGGTCCCTCCTGAAAACCATGCTCATCACGGGCACTGGCACAGACAGCCTCCCCAGGGCACGAATCTGGGACCCAAGAGCCTAGCTCCTGGCCAGAGTCCCAGGAGGCTCCTGTCAGGCCTGGTCCTCACCATCACGAAGGCTTCACCCTCCTGCCACACAGCAGGTGTGGGGTACGGCCAGGGCGCTGCCTTCCCGCTGGCCGCACTGCCTTCGGAGCCTGGTGCCTGCATTTGGGGGTCTCCTTTTGGGGGCCGTGAGGCACTTTTCTGACTCTGACTTGGTACCCAGACCTTTCCACTCTCAGCCCTTCCTCCCCTCCCTTCCTGCAAGAGGCATGTGTCCCGATTCCCTCGCCATGTCCTTCCCTGGGGGTGCCAGCGGGGTGGGGTCAGGGCCTCCTCTGATTCAGCCTCCCGCTTACACTACCACAGTGACAATGGCCCTGGCTGTTCCTTCCGGTCCTTCCGGTGGGCTGCTCGGCTCGTCCAACAACAGGCGGCTCCGCTCTTTCTCCACCTCCTGATGTCGGGGGGTGGGGCTCCACCTGCCCATTTTTTAGAAATAAATAAATAAATTATTAATTGATGATGCTATTAAAATCGTCCCAGTTTTCCCTCTTTACCCCTCTCCACCCAGTATCCCCACTCCCTCTGGCAATTGCTGCTCCTTTGTTCACATCCCTGGGTCATGTGTATAAACTCTGGCTACTCCGTTTCCTGTATTTGCTCTTAACATGCCCCTGCCTATTCTGTAACTCCCAATTCGTGCTTCTTAATCCCTTCACCCTTCCCCCAGCCCCCCAGGCCCCCCTTCTCACTACCACAGTCCCAGTGTTCTCCAGGTCTATAATTCTGTTTCTGTTCTGCTTGTTTGCTTAGTTTGTTTATAGATTCAGTTGCTGATAGTTGTGAGTTTGTTGTCATTTTAATGTTCATAGTTTTGGTCTTCTTTTTCCTAAATAGGTCCCTTTAACATTTCATACATTAATGGTTTGGTGATGATGAACTCCTTTAGCCCTGCCTTTCCTTGTCTGGTAAGCATTTTATCTGCCCTTTGATTCTAAATGATAGCTTTGCTGGTGACCTACTTGAAAAAATAATACAAGAAAACTTCCCTATTTGGTGAAGAAAATAGACACACAAGCCCAGGAAGCACAGAGAGTCCCAAACAAGATGAATACAAAGAGGACCACACCAAGACACATCATAATTAAAATTCCAAAGGTTAAAGATAAGGAGAGAATCTTAAAAGCAGCAAGAGAAAAGCAGATAATTACCCACAAAGGAGTCCTGATAAAACTGTCAGCTGATTTCTCGATAGAAACTTTGCAGGCTAGAAGGAATTGACAAGGAGTATTCTAAATCATGAAAAGCAAGGACCTGCAACCTAGATTACTCTAACCACCCACCCATTTTAAAGGCAAGGAAACTGAGACTCAGAGAGCATCAGTGAGTGGTGGACCGTGAGACCTTGAGGTTCAGGACTTAGTGTAGTCAGCTTTGAGTCAGTGCATCTGTGGCCACCACCTCCCCTGCCAAACTGTAGGGACCTGAGGGCAACAACTATTTATTTCTGAAACTGCCGTTTTAAGAGGACCACCCAAACGGAAATAAGCCAAGGCCGCTCCCCCAGAGCTGGCTGCAGCAGGTCCTTCACCACCACTTGGGTTTGGTGGAGGCTCAGACAGGCAGGGCAGGGGAGAGTTTATAGTGAAAAGGGACGTTCCGAGTGCCCGAGGGAGGCTGAGGCGCAGGGCGGCTGGAGGCAGCACCGGAATCAGGGCTCCTGTGTGCGCGCTTGGTCAGGGGAGGAGGTGTGGCTTTTCTGATCGATCCTGAACTGGAGTGGGGACAAAAACTAGGGGAACCGGCGGTCACTGGTCACTCACATCCTGAATGTTCTGGGTGATGGATGCTCTGATGGCCTTCCCTGCTGCTCTGTGAGCGGCTGTTTTGCAGGGAACTACCCGCAGTCTCCTCACAGCCTGTTTTGTCTTCAGCGGCACAAATCATAACAGTGAGAGTTCTCCTACCGCAGGGCAGGCTTTTGACCTCTCTCCCCACAGCGCCCTCCCCAGAGGTCATTGGATGTGTGCCCTCCCAGACGGCACGCAGGCCTGCATGTCCTGTGTGTCCCCAGATGCTGCCCACTGCTACGTGTCCCACTGTCCGCCACACTGCACACAGTTCCTCCCTCCCAGCTGCGTGCCTTGGGTTGGCGTCCAGCTGGGCCCGAAGGCCGGGCTGCTCACCACCGCCCCGCCAGCCAGTCGACCGCCTTGGTCTTGGGCAGGGCCACACCCTCGAGTGCCACCCCGAGCCCTGTGCTTTTCCAGGCGAAGTCTTTGTGTGGTCCCTCTGCCCAGATAGTCACACTGTCCCGAAGGACACCAGTGCCCTTTGCTGTGCCCGAGGCTTCACCGCTCCACACTTTGCATGCTGTGGACCACTGGGGACTGAGCGAGTGTGATCACGTTCTAAGCATCCACATTCCTCCCTCTCAGCGGGCTGACCGGGCACACGGTGTCTGTACCTCTGCTGCCCACGGGCCCCTCTCCACGGGGCTCCCGTGCTGTCTCATCCAGCTGTCTACTGGGGGGGACGTTTCTCTATCGGCTGGAGTTTCATACGTTCTGGATGTGGACCACTTCATCGTGTCCCCCAGCCTGACAGCCTCCGGCGTGCCCCGCTTGTGCCTCCAGGGCAGCGTTGGCCCCTCTGATATCTGACCTTTCCTTCTGTCCCTGGCACTCTGACCGCCCAACCCACTTTAGCTGCTGGTTTGTCATCTCTCATTAGGACTCTGGTAGCTTTCCTGGCACCAGAGACACGGGGCCATCTTTCCTCCCCCCTCCCTCTGACTTGGTGGGGACAGCTGGGCTCCGTACCTTCTGCTCGACAAGCCGTCATCGCCCGCCCGCCGTGTGTGCCGTTCCTTGTCCCCCTGTGACAGCTCTTTCTGGTCACAGCTCATCTCTGCAGGGAGCTGGCCTTGCAGGGGCAGCCTGGACTGGGTGTGGGTCCGAGCGGGGCACAGGGCAGGCAGGGTCCCCCAGCTCAGCCCGCCAGCCCCCCACTCTGGGTTGGAGAATACTGTAGGGGTGAGGGACAAGGGTGACAGCATGGACCCCCAGGCCTCAAAGCCCCCTCTCTCCTGCATCAGTTGCCAGCCATTGTTCTCACTGGCACTGCTGCATGGCTCTGTGCTCCCCGAAAAACGGTGTGATGGCCCTTGTCCCCATGCGGCCCCTTCCCAGGCTGCGCGCGAACCTAAGACTCCCCACAGCCCACACGGGCCATAGCCTTTGTTGCTTCAAGAAAGATCACTGGTTCAACCCCTGAGGGAAGGTGTCCCTGGGATTTCTGGATCGCCCTGTGGGCTGTTGTGATTTGCAAGGACCTGCGTCTGCCATGCTCCTGAAGTCTGATCCAACGGGATGGCAGTGGGCAGCTGTGTGCCTCAGCCCCAGAGCAGGGGGACAGAGCTGTCCTTTCTGACACATCACATGTGCCCTGGTCCACATTGACAGAGGAGAGTTCTCAGGAGGATTTCACGGGGGCAGGAGTGCGATCACTTTCCCCGTGACACCAGCCTGCACTGAGCACAGGCGAGATGAACTCAGACCGCCTGCAGGGGGCCTGAGATGAACACCCAGAAACCTGCAAACAGTCCGTCATTGCCAGCAAGGAGTGGTGTCGGTCCCGGTGCACTCCAGGAGCATCCGCAAGGACAGGACCAGCCAATGTCCCCACACTGCCATGGCCGTGGCTCTTTGCTCTGTCAGTCTCAGCTGCAGTGACCACTGTCATGTCTGTGAGTCTGGCTGCTGATGGTGACACTGCTGAGCCCTCTGGGGACGCCATGCTGGACCCCCCAGTCCCCAGATGCTTTATGTGTGTGAGCCTTGGGGACCATGCACTCCCTGGGGCCAGGACCAGCTGGGACTTGTTCTCCTAGCCCCCCAGTGCAGCCAGCAGAGTGCCAGGTTGTAGGGGTGCACAGGGGTGGTCACGGGCAGGCCCAGGTGGGTGGTGAAGCTGGGACGACTGCCGCACCAGCCCTTGGAGCTCTGCGAGGATTCTGCACCATGCTGGGACCTGGCCTGCCACACGGGGCACCCCATTAATGTCCTGGCATAACCCACCTGTGATTTCCTTGACACAGATCTGCGCCCCCTGGACATCCTGGCAGAGGCGGTCCCTCCGAACGGCGCTGAGAGCGGCATCAGCGTCTCACGGGTCCAAGGTGCACTGGGACTCCAGCTTTCAGCCGCTGCCCTCCACGCCATGAGCTTCCCGGCATCGAGGATTTTCGTCAGATGTGACCTCTTTCCTGAAGAATTTTCCATCGTCGTAACCTTAAAAGCTCCCAGTCTCCCCCCGAAGGTCAGTCCCACTTCTCATTTTTGTGGTAGACAACCCGATGTCCTCGGTGCCAGAGTGTGCAAAGGGCATGACTGACTCGAGTCACAGAGAGGTATGGATCAGGGTCGCCTAGACCTGTGGGGGCAGCAGCGTGGGTCTTGGTGGGTAGTGAGGTTCCCGTCACTGCAAGTGAGCAGGCAGAGCCTGTGGTCATTTGCCTGGGGTTTGTACCAGCAGTTCTTGCAATTATAATGTTCCTGGTGTGCTAACCTGCCGAAGGCTAGGGATACTGCTCGTATTGGAGTTTTTATTTTGATGTTCTTTAGCAGGAAAGGTAAACAGTAAAATAACAAAACTTAACCTCTTGGAGCCCGATTACCTGTGTCTCGCTGCCCCATCCACCCCATCCACCCAGACCCAGCTGCTGTCGCGTCCTCCTTGCTGGGCTGGGCACCGCCAGGAGGGAGGACAGATGGCATCTACCCCTGTTCCCCATGGCTTCCAAGACAATACATTTCCTGGGCGCTCCACAAGCCCTTTCTGTTTACACGTCTGGGTCCTTGGGCCCCAGACCCCTGACCCTCCTTGTGGGATTTGGCTGTGGACTGTGATTGTGTCTGACCTTTCTCGGGAGCCTCTGCCCACTCGGCCTCTCCTTTTGCTCCCTCGAATTTGCTGTTGGGCCCAGCCATTGTGACTTTCAGTCCTATAACTTCCATTTTCTTTCTTTTTTTTTACATGAATTCCAGTTCCCAGGTTAAAGTCTTTGTCTGGTCAGCTGCTGTCTCGAATGTGATTCCAATGTTTGGAAGCAAGGACTCCATTCTGCCGACAACTCCAGCATGTGGGTCCCTCAGAGCATTTCCTGTCATGCCCCGCCATTTTTAACAGCCTCACTGAGACATGCTAAATACACCACGCAATCCACCCATTTCAGGTTGAAACTCAGTGATGTTTGGACAGTCAGCTGCCATGAGCGACCCTCTCCACAGTAGGTTTAGAGCCCCCCCCCCGCCCAGCAAGCCCTGCACACTCTCGCTCCCACCTGCCCCCAGCACTGAGCAACAACTGCTGCTGAACTTTCTGTGTCCGCACCTTTGCCTAGTCTGGACATTTCACATCAATGGAATCACAAATATACGGCTTCCTCCGTGCAGTCTGTGTTCGAGGTTCGTCCATGTTGTAGCGCACGTCACCGTGTATTCCTTTTTATGGCCAAATCTTATTCAACTGTGTAGATACACTGCAGTTTGTTTACCTCTTCATCGGTTGATGGATACTTGGGTTCTTTCCACCTGTTCACTGTTGTGAGCAAAGCTGCCGTGAACACTCAAGTACACTCTCTTGTGTATGGACGAATATTTTCATTTTGGCGGATACATACCTAAGAGCGGAGTTGCTGGGTCATGGTGCCTCTGTGATTAACTTCTGAAGAAATGCCAGACTGTTTCCCAAGGTAGCTGCACCATCTTACGTTCCCCCCAGCATCGGTCAAGCAGTGTGGTTTCTCCTCGTCAACACTTGTTATTATCTGACTTTTTAATTCTAGCCATCCTCACGGGCTTGAAACGGCATTGCATTGAGGCTTCGATTTGCATTTCCCTGATGAATAATTTTTTTTATGTGTGCATTCGTGTATATTTTGGAGGAGTATTTTTTCAAGCCTTTGGCCTAGTTTTTAATTGAATTATTTTCCTTTTTGAGTTATATGAATTCTTTATATATTCTAGATAAACTCACTTATCACATATATGATTTGCACATATTTTCTCCTGTTCTACTCGTTTTCTTTTCCCTTTCTTGACAGTGCCCTTAGAAATACAAAACCTTTGAATTTCAAATAAGTCAGATTTATCTTATTTGTCCTTTCTTGCTTAGATTTTTAGTGTTATATCTTAGTATCTAGTGCCAACTCTGAGGTCATGAAAATATACCCCAATATTTTCTTCTAAGAGTTTTATAGCTTTCACTCTTAATTTAGGTCTTTGATCCATTTATTTTTTTGTATTTGGTATCATGTAAGGTAGGGGGTCCCATTTCATCCTTTTGCATGGGGACTTCTAGTCGTCCCAGCCCCATTTATTGATGAGACTATTCTTTCCCCATTGTATGGTCTTAGCGCCTTGTTGAAATCAATTGACCACACCTGTATGGGTTTATTTCTGGACTCTCAATTCTATTCCATGGATAAATCAGTATTTTCTATCCTTATGCCATCCCCCCACTGTCTTGATTACTGTAGCTTTACAGTAAATTTTGATATCGGGAAGTGCAAGGCTTCCAAATTTGGGTTTTTGTTTTTCAAGATTGTTCTGGCTATTCTGTACTCCTCATTAATCCATATGAATTTTAAAGTCAACTTGTCAACCTCTCCTAGGAAGTCAGCTCGGATTCTGAGAGGAGTCGCATAAGTATGTAGACAGATTGGGGGAGGGTTGCCTTCTTAATAATATTAAGTCTTCTGATCCATGAACACAGGATGTTTCTCACTGATTTAGAACTTCTTTAACATACAAATGACATTTTGCACTTCTCAGGGTATTAGTTTTCAGTTCTTCTGTTTCTGAGTTCTTGTTCATTTCATCTAATTTACACAATTTATTGTTGTTATTCACAGTACTTTCCTATAGTTCTTTTTATTTCCATGGGTTGTTAGCAATGTCCCCTCCTTCATTTCTGCTCCTAAAATGTGAGTCTTCTCTCTTTCTTTCATGATCAAGGTACCTAAAACGTTGTCAGTTTTGTTGATTTTCTTTTTCCAAAGAATCAGCTTTTGGTTTTATCGATCTTTCTCTATTGTTTTTCTACTCTCTATTTCATGTCTTTCTGCCGTAATATGTGTTATTTCCTTTACTCTGCTTGCGTTAGGCTTGGTTTGCTCTTCTTCCTCCTTGTCTTAAAGTGGAAGCTTCAGTTACCGATTTGAGACCTACCGGTACTCACAGCTGTGCATGTCTGAGGACTGTTTTAGCTGCATCCCATGTGCTCTGCTCTTTCGGTCTCATTTTCATTCATCTCGAAGTATTTTATTATTTCTCTTTGGATTTCTCCTTTGACACATTGGTTATTTACGGGGCTGTTATTCAATTTCTACGTATTTGTGAGTTTCCTGATTTTTTTCTGTTATTAATTTCTAATTTCACTCCATTGCATTCAGGGAACATACGTTGTGTTATTTCTCTTTTTAACTTACTGAGGCTTGTTGTGTGTCCTAGCCTACTTTGTCCCAAGAATGTTTCCTGTGCACTTCTGAGAATTTGTATTCTGCTGTTGTCCGGTGGGGAGTTTGGTAGGCGTCTGGTTTATAATGTTGTTCAAGTCCCCTGTTTCCTTGTTGATCTTTGGCCTAGTTGTTATAACCATTATTGGTTTGGGATATCGAAGTCTTTAACTAATATGGTTAAATTATTTTTGTTTTATTTCTATCTGTTTTAGCTTCATGTATTTTGGTGCTTTGTTATTGTTTACATATAAATGTTTATATTTGTATATTCTTGATGGATTGACCTTTTTATTATTAGAAAGTGTCCTTATTGACCTCTAGGAATAATTTTTGTTTAAAGTCTATTTTACATGCTATTAGTGTAACCACTCCAGCTTTCCTGTGATAATTGTTTGCATAATAAATCCCATTCTGTCCTTTAACTTTTAACCAATCTGTATACTTGAACATGAAATGTTCAGCATATGGTTGAATCTTTTTTTCCAGTCCGACAATCTCTGCTTTATGATTGGATTTATTCACACTTAAATTATGATTGCTATATCACTAATCTTCATTATTTAGCTATTTTGTATTTTCAAATTCAGCTACTTGATAAAATCAATGTGTAACCTGGAAGATCAATACGCATGATGCTGTCGTAGCTGTTCACGGGCACACACAGAGCCGCAGAGCAGTCGGTGTTCCGACATGTGCCTTCTTGTTGCTGCTCTGACTGTGGACGATGGTCCTTTATCCGTCTACTTAGTGCCACATTTTTTACCTTTCTGTGCTCTTCTTGGTGATTTGCTGTTTAAAATGGACTCCTCAGTGCAGGAAGGCTGCGATGTGCCTCACAGAGAGAACATGTGTTGGATAAGCTTCATCCAGAAGGTTCCACTGCTGTGGGAAGTGAGTCCAGTGTTAATGAATCAACAGTAAGTATTAGACACATGTCCTGAGCTAATGTGTATGCCTCTGCCCCCAGTTCTTGCTCGTATTTGTCTCTGACCCTGGTTCCTGGCACAGAGCTCCTAAAAACCGTGTAATTTCCTAAGTGGTAAGCCCACTGAAGGCATCTTTTGTTCTAATATTAGGTCTTTGATTCTGGTTCCTGACACAGAGCTCCTAAATTCACTAGGATTTCATGAGTGATAGGAGTGTCTTTTGTTCTAATGAGGGGACTCGGGTGGCTCCTGGATGGGGCGGGGGGCTGGTCACCAGATGGAGCATGCCAGTATTAGAACCTTGGAACTTCCAGACCTACCCCTTACTCCATACAGGGGAGAGGGGCTGAAAGCTGAGTTATTAATTGACAATACCTACATGGTGAAAATTCCATAAAATCCCAATGAATTGGGGTTTGGAGAGCTTCCAGGTTGGCGAACACATCCCCACACTGGGAGACTGAGCACCCCAACTCCATGGGGACAGGAACTTCTGTTCTCAGGATTCTTCCAGACCTTGTCCTATGTATATCTTCAACTGGTTGTTTATGTGTTTCCTTTAAAATGTCCTCTGTAACAAATCAGCAATAGCAAGTAAACTATTTTCCAGAGCCCTGCCAGCCACTCTAGCAAATTACTGAACCAAGGAGGGGGTTGTGGGAACCTCTGATTTGTAACCATGTCAGACAGATGTTGGAGGTCACCTGGATACCTGCTACGTGCAATTGGCATCTGGAATGGGGGCCACCTTTGGGACTGAGCTCTTCACCTGTGGGGTCCATGATAACTCTGGGTGGTTTTGGAATTGAATTGAATTGTAGGACACCAGCTTGTGTCAGAGAATTGGTCAGTGGGGGAAAAAACCTACACATCTGGTGTCAGAAGCATTATGTGTGCGAGTAAAGGAAAATACGTGGCATTTTCCCTAGACATACTTCAAACAAGGTTATATATTGAGCAGCTGATGGAAAGGAGACCAGAAGCTCACAGGCACTGACCCTGCATTTCCCCAGGACCAATGGTTCGGTGGTTGCTAATACAGTGTTTGCAGTGACTTTGCAGAGCACGATCATCACTGACAACGAGAATCAGTGGGGGCTATGTTTCTACCTGCCGTGTTACTTATTGTTTCCTCTGTCTCTTGTGTCTTTTTTTGGTGTGGTCCTTTAGTCCTTTGTTTGATTTTTTAGTGCTGTCTTTGCATGTTGTGAATACTTTCTAGTGTGGCACTTTCATTCTCTAATAATGTTTCACTATAGTTTTTAATTTTTCCTTAGTGTTTGCTCCAGGGCCAACCATACATTTGCTTTGAATGATCAGAATCAACTTCTGATGAATACTAACCCTTTTCCATATAAAAATGTTGCCCCTTTTTATATATAACTGTGTTCATTCTTGTCCTTTTTATGGGCTTGCTGTTTTATATACTGTATCTATAAATGTTCAACCCAACCGTATATTGTTGTAATTATTACTTACTATACTTTTATGAATTTTAAGAAGCTTAGAGAAGAAAGAAAAACAAGTACATACTTAGAGCTTTTGCTATCCTAACCTTTTTATCATTTCTGATTTTCCTCACTTTTTTCTGTGTATTTCAGTTATGATCTGGAGTAATTTCCTTTGCTTAATACAGCTTGGCTCCCATGTACCTCCTTTGTGCTGATATTCCCCAATACATTACATTATTATATACTATAGGCCCAGCAACACATCACATATACATAATTATAGAAAATCATATATGTCTGCCTGAGGAGGGAGAGTTCTTGAGGGAGGAGATCCTGCTTTGACTTTCACACGGGGGCTGCAGGTGGCCCTGGGTGTATGGAGCAGGTGATCATCTGAGCTATGAAGAGAGGAGGAATGTATGAGCATTTAGCACTCTATTGGGGAGGGTTCTATGAAAGTTCAAGGTGCAATAAGCCAAGACATTTGCCTCTCATGGTTGATGGGGGTCTCTGCCTGCAGATCTCCCTTGGTCATTGTGGATGAAAATAAAAATGCCCAATGCATGATTTGTGTGGGGAGAAAAGGTGACAAGTCCCTCAAAGGACAAAGGTCCTGAACACCTCCTTCCCTGTGTTTTTATTGAGTTCAGCTCACACAGGGATACATAATATGCACATAAAGCCCATCAACCAGTGCTGAAAATGCCACTGACCTCATTTACAGATAATAGTTGAAGAAGCACAGGGATTGTCTCTGGTTAGGGTTGGCTTTAGCTCAAGTGTCTGTTTCACAGCAACAGGGCACGGCAAACCTCAAAGGACACAATGTACATTCTTTCTCTGGCCAGATTTGCCCCCAGGAACCATCTGTTCCAGTACAAGGTCGCAGATGTTTCTTGGCATAGTTCCCAGGCTGAGTCAGGCAGGGAAAGCAAAGCAGCCAAGAGACTAGGAGACTTTTGCAGAAAGACTGAGGATTCAGACTATGACAAAGCCAAGGGGTGAGGGTTTTTCTGCCCCTTCTCTGAAGACCCCTAAGTCCTTCCCTGATGGCCCTTTGTTACAATGCCTGTCTTAGGTTGTCCCTCTTCCTCTGAGGGATCTTACCCATCACTGGCTAACCAGTCATCCACCAGGCCAAGCAGGGGGAAGTGAGGGAGGCAGGGCTGTGCTCTTGCCAGGAGGTAATGTTCTGTCTCCTTAGTGGCTTATGTCCCCAAGGCCTTTTCACTCAGCTCTAGCCATGGGACAAAAGGCTACAGTCCCTGAAACCAGGTGGGACAGCTCCCAACATGTGGTCATTTCTACTGTGCTAGCTTGGGTCTGCATCTTTATCACTCTCTGTGACCCAGTCTCTGCCCCCAGAGGAAAAATTTTTTTCACGCATGCCTACCCCAGGACTCACTCCCAGTAGACACATACCCCCTCAACTCCCATTACAAGTGGCTTCATCAGCCCACAAAGTGCATCCCCCTGTGTCCAGGCTGGCTGAGCATCACAGACCATCCACAGCTGACCACGTTTCCCTTTTTTCAAAGATTCTGGGATTGTCCCATCCTCCTCCCTCCATGGGAGAAGTTATGTTTATGAGAGCAAACCCCTCAAGGGATGGAGAAGAGGGCTGTCACTTTCTGAATTGCCTGATCGCTACCGTTCCTGCAAAAACAGCACAAACAGCACTTCTACTGCCTTTCCTCTGGGGACAAGCACTGGCCAGGAGAGACCAAGTCCCACTAAGGAGCCTCACAGGCAGTGGCACTCAGTGAACCCACAATGTGGAATCACAGAACAACGCTCAACACCAACAAGGAAGGGAAGGCTTCACCAAGCCTGCTGCTGGGGCAACACACACATACCCAGGAGGGTATAAAAGATGACAGTCCAGGCATCATGCACACACTCACACTCACACACTCACACACTCCTCCAGCTCCACCACCCACCATGGCCGCCTCCACCCTGTCCATCTGCTCCAGTGACCTGAGCTATGGCAACCATGTCTGCCTGCCCAGTTCCACTGACTCTTGCACTGAGTCCTGCCAGGTGGATGACTGTCCAGAGAGCTGCTGTGAGCCCTCCTGCTGCATCCCCAGCTGCTGTCAGCCTTCCTGCTGTGTCCCCAGCTGCTGCCAGTCCACCTGCTGTGTCCCCAGCTGCTGTGCCCCAGCCCCCTGCCAGACACTCATCTGTACCCCAGTGAGCTGTGTGTCCAGTCCCTGCTGCCAGGCAACCTGCGGGCCCAGCCCCTGCCAATCAGCCTGCACCATCTCCTGCACACCCTTGTGCTGCCAGCAGTCTAGCTGCCAGCCCTCCTGCTGCACCTCCTCCCTCTGCCAGCAGGCCTGCTGTGTCCCTCTCTGTTGCAAGCCTGTCTGCTGCACACCTGTCTGCTGCACACCTGTCTGTTGCACCCCCTGCCCCTCATCCTGCTGCAGACCCTCCTCCTGCGTGTCCGTCATCTGCCGCCCTGTGTGCAGACCCGCCTGCTGTGTGCCTGTCTCCTCCTGCTGTGCCCCCTCCTCCTCCTGCTGCCAGCCCAGCTGCTGCCGCCCAGCCTCCTGCGTGTCCCTCATCTGCCGCCCTGTGTGCTCCCGCCTGGCCTGCCGTGTCCCCGTCTCGGCCCAGAAGTCCTACTGCTGACCAAACATGTCCCACAAGGGCCAGCCTGGCTCTAGCCTGTGACTGTGGTCCTCTGAACCACCCCTCAGCCTGGTACTGAGCTGTGTTAGGTAGCTGCCCCCACCCAGAATGGGGTCTCCAAGTCTCCACTGTCTGGACCTGACCTCTGATCCCTGGAACCCTGGACCTTGCTGCTTCCCAGGTTCTTGCCTTCACATGCCTCTTGGTCACTTATTCTTCCCTCCTAGTTTCTCTTTTGAGTCACTTGACCTCAACTCTCAGCCTGTCAACACCCCATTGGGTGTCGCAATAAACTCACTTCATCATCTGACTGCTTCCGTCATCTGACTTTGTGGGGTACTGAGGGGACACATGATTGTCACCGACATTGGTCCCCTCTAGCCACAAGTATGAGTAATGAAGTCCCAAAAGGCAGCAGCCTAACTCCTTTTGGTGGGGTACCAGGTGGAACTTTTGCCCTGGCCTGGAAGGTCTGTGCCTGGGGCTTCCCCAAGAGTGGTCACCTTCAAAAAAGTCCTGGTCTAGGGAGTTCTCAGGCCCCAGGGACCATTTCCACCCACTGTCCCAACTGGAAAAATCCATGCCTCCAGATTTGCCTGTCAGGAAACATCTGGGCGGTCCATGCAGCACAGACTCTGTGGGCCTGGGGCCACCCCTTGTCTTTCACCCACAGGTCCACACCGTTAGCAGAGACCTGATGGGGCAAGGGCAGGAGGGGCTGCTCCCACCCTGAAGGAGTGAGAGAGACTGGATGACCTTCCCACTAAGGCTGAACCAAAAAACTAGCAAAGCTGTGAAGCAGTAGTGTTCAGGTATCAGATTTGTGGATCACAGAACAGGAACCCCTGAGAGGGGGAATCAAGCTACAAGGGTGTCACAACGGGTCCCACTCACCACCTTGTAAACATGTCCAGGCCTCAGTGCAAAAGTGGGGAGTCCAAGTAGAGCTCCATGCACCCCGGAGTCAGGGATGACCTTGGAAGTTGAGGGGGGCCCAGGGAGATAGTGTTTGGGGCGAGAAGAGGGGAGCACTGCCCTGAGAAACCCTTGGTCCTCACAGGGTCTCCCTCAAGTGTCAGTGAAGGAACGATCAGCAAACCCACCTGAGACTCAGACTGGGGCAAGCAACAAAGTTAGATGGCGTCATCCCAGAAATCAAACATGCCCGAAGTAGCGCCTGTTCCTACCTGCCAGCCGAAACATGATCTTAATTCTCAGGGCTCCAGGGAGACCACTCAGAGCAATTGCTTTTATTGTGGGTAAAATTAACCCCAACATAACTGGTGGTTCAGTCCTACCTGACAAAGCTGATACACAAACTTTAAAGAGTGAGCCATTTCCAAGGAACTTAATTGCATCTAGGTCAAAGGTCAAGAATATTCATCTCAATACTCCATGAGGTAAAATTCACAATTTTAGACATTCCTTCAAAATTATCAGGCATGCAAAGAGGCAGAACAACATAACCCATAGTAAGAATAAAATCAAGCCATCGAAACCAAACCAGAAATGTCTCAGCTGATAGAGTTGGTAAGAGTTATGACTATGTCCCATATGTTCTAGAGAAAAGGCTAAGCAAACATATTAAATAAAGTTGCAGAAGACTTAAAATGGCACAGGGCCTCTAGAGAGGAAAACCATTACGTCTGAGTGACTATTACACTAAATGAGGTTAACAGCAGAATAAATGCCGCAAAAGAAAAGACAAGTGAACTGGAAGGTGGAGCAATAGCAAGCAAATGAAGCACAGAGAGGAAAAGAACCAGACAGAGAGCTGGTGAGCTGGAGGATGACGCCAAGTGACCTCAGGTGTTGCGTGTCACTGGAGTCCCCAAAGACGAGAGAGAAGGAGGAAAAGAAGAGGGCCTGTCAGGCCGGAAGAGAAGAGAAACTCCACTCTCCTGCCTGCGGGAAGTGCACTTTAGTTACAAAGAAACGAAGAAGGTAAAATTTTTTCATGAAAATAAAGAGTAAGTTAAATCTCAAACAAGCCTGAAGTATGAAGTGATAAAGATTAAAGCATGAGTCAGTGAAATGGAAAATAGTAAAACAGTAGTGATAATCAATGAACTGAAAGCTAGTTTTTTGAAATGGTAAATAAATGGACAAATTCTACACTGGATAAGGAAAAGATAAAGAAGATGCAAATCACCAATATCAGGGATAGAAAAGGAGGAATTACTACAGGCCCCATAGATATTAAAGAATTAAAGGGGACTACAGCAAGCAATACTCTCCTCCAAAAACAGAAAACTCAGATACTAGGGACTCATTCTTTAAAGACACAGACTACCAAAACTCACTCACTCAAAGGAAAGCAGATAACCCTAATTATCCTGGTCAATTTAATAGACTTGGTTTCTTGAAGCAGTTTTGGGTTCCCACATAATTTGCATGCTCACCCACGTACAGGCTCTCCCACAATGAACACCTTGCAATGTTGATCCATTTGTTAGTAATGTGGTTCATTAGTTATGATCAATAAGCCTATATTGACACATCAGTATCACCCAAAGTCCACAGTTTCTATTAGGGTTTACTCTTGATGTCTGTTCTATGGGTTTTTGTAAAGATGTAGTGACACATAAGGACCATTATAGTTCATGCAGAACAGTTTCCCTGCTCCCCCAAGTCCTCTGCACCCCACCTGTTCGTCCGTATCTCCCTGCTAATGCCTGGCATCCATGGATCTTTGCCCCATCTCCATAGTTTTACCTTTTCCAGAATGTCACATGCTGGGACTCAAATAGCAGGAAGACTCTCAGACTGGTTCTTTCACTCAGTGATGTGCATTGTGCGGTTGGTGCTTCTCGATGTCTTTTCATGGCTTGATGGCTCATTCCTTTTTCACCCTAGATATTTTTACTGAGGTAAAATATAAATAATATAAAAGTTACTGCCCTAACACTGTCTAAGTGCACAGTTTGATGGTAGTGGGTACATTCGTCATGCCGTACAGCCATCACTACCATCCACAACCAGAACTCCTTCACCCTGCAAAGACGGAAACTCTGCACACATTAAACAGCAGCTTCCTATTCTCTCCTCCCTCCAGCCCCTGGGAAACCCCACCCTACTTTCTGTTGCTAAAGTACCTCCTGTAAGTGGAATCATGTAGCATTTGTCTTTCTGTGGCTGGCTTATTTCACTCACCGTAATGTCCCCATGGGGCGTCCCTTTTTCTGTTTCCTTTTTACGGGTGAGTAATATTCCACTGTGTGTCTGTATATTTTGCTCACCCATCCATTCATCCATTCATCCATCAATTGTCACTGGGTCACTTCCACACTTTAGCTATTGTGAATAAAGCCACTAGAAACATAGGTTAACAACTATTTCTATGAGTCCCCACTTGTAATTCTTTTGGGCATATATCCAGTAGAATTACTAGATCATATGGTAATTCCACTTCTAACTTTTGGGAGGGACCATCATGCTTATTCCCACAGCAGCAGCACCGAAACAGTGCTCAGAAACAGTTCACATGGGCTCCAGGTTCTCCACGCTCTCACCAACGCTTGTTATTTTCTCTTTGTTTCCTTCGTATGTAGTAGTTATCCTAATGGGTATAAGGTGGCATCTCACAGTTTGGGTTTGCATTTCTCTGATGATTAGTGGTGTTGAGCACCTTTTCACATGCTTATTGTCCATTTGTGTATCTTCTTTTTTTTTTTAAGATTTTTTTATTTATTTATCTTTAGAGGGGGAAGGAGGGAAGAAACATCATCCCCTAATAAACGTATCCTGTGTTCGCAGGCCCACCTCATCCACTGAGCTACACCAGCCAGGGCCATTTGTGTATCTTCTTTGGAAAGATGTCCACTCAAATCCTTGGCCCATTTTTGGATTATGTCGTTTGGGGGCTTTTTATTATTCATTTTTAGGAGTTCTCAATACATTCTACATATTAATCCATTATCAGATACATGATTTCCAAATGTTTTTCCCATTTCCTCGAGTTGTCTTTTATCTCTGTTGATATTGTCTTCTGATGCAAAAATATCTGAAACTTTAAAAGTCCAATTTGTGCATTTTTCTCATGTTGCTTGTGCCTTTGGTATCACACCCAGGAAAGCCCTGCCAAGTTCAATGCTGTAAACCTTTTGTCCAGTTTTCTTCTAAGAGTTGTATAGCTTCAGGTCTTGCACTTAGGCTGTAGATCCATTTTGACTTAATTCTTGCATATGGTGTTAGTTATGGGTTAACTTCCTTCTGTTGCATGGGGATATCCAGTTTACCCAGAATCATTTGTTAAAATGACTGTCTTTTTTCCATTAAATGGACTTGGTGCCCTTGTCAAAACTGACTCGGCCTATTGAGTGAGGGTCTGTTTCTGGACTCTGTATTGTATTGAGCAGTCTACATGTCTTTATGTCAGTGCCACACTCTTTTGATTACTGTAGCTTTGTAGTAACTTTTGAAATCAGGAGGTGTGAGCCCTTCAGCAGTGGTGTTTTTGAGGACTGTTTGGGCTCGTCAAGGTCCCTTAAGGTTCCATGTGAATTTTAGGATGGGTTTACATATTTCTGCAATAAATATTGAGAATTTGATAGTGATTGCATTAAAACTATAGAGTACTTTGGGTAGTATTAAATTCCAATCCATGAACAGGGGCTGTCATTCTATTTATTTATGTTTTCTTTGATTTCTTTCAACAATGTTTTGTAGTTTGCATTGTGAAGGCTTTTTACCTCCTTGTTTAAGTTCATTCCTAAGCACTTTATTCCTTTCGATACTGTTACACATGGGATTATTTTCACAATATTCATTTTGAGCTGTTCGCTATTACTGTACAAAAATGCAACTGGGTTTTGTTGGTCTGTTTCCTGCTGTTCCGCTGAATTCATTTGTTAGAGCTCGCAGGCTGTTCTGTGGAACCTTCCAGATTTTCTACATTTCATATCACATCTGTGAGCAGAGATGATTTCGCCCCCTTCCAACCTGGATACCGTTTACTTCTCCCACTGTCTGTCTTCTCTCCTGGAGCTTTCAGTTCTGTGGGGACCAGAGGTGGTGAAAGTGGGCGTCCTTGCCTTGTTCTTGATCTTCACAGGGAAGCTTTTAGTCTTCCAAAACTGAGTGTGATGTTTCCTGTGGTATTTTGTATTTACTCATTTATATATTTATCTGTATTCATATATATTCATTTATATGTCATTTTCTTCTATTCCTAGTTTGTTGAGTGTTTTTTTAATCATGAAAGGGTGTTGAATGTTGTCAAATGCTTTTTTGCATCAATTGAGATGATTGTGTATTTTTTTCCTTCAGTCTATTAATGTCATTGTTACACTAAATGATTTTTGTATGTAGAACCATCCTTGCATTTCAGCAACGGAGCCCTCATGGTCGTGGTGTATAAACCTTTTCATGTGCTGCTGAATTGGGTTTGCTAGTATCTTGTTGAGGGTTCTTCATCAGTGTTCATAAAGAGTGTTGGTGTGCGGTTCTCATTTCTTGTGGTGTCTCTGTCTGGCTTTGATGTGAGGGTAATGCCGGCCTTATAAAATGAGTTAGGGAGTGTTCCCTCCTCCTTGATTTTTAAAAGAAGTTTACAGTGACATCAGAATAAACAAACAAAAAATACTTAACCTGACATAAGGCATCTATGAAAACCTCACAGGCGACACCATATTCAATTGTCAAAGACACTGCTGTTCCCTGACACCAGGAGTGAGACAGGGCTGCCTTTCCCCACCACACCTGTTCCATCTTACTGAGGGTCTCGCCAGCACAGTGAAACAAGAAAAAGAAAACAAGGCGTATGGATTGGAAATAAAGAAATAAAATTGTCTCTATTCACAGAAGACATGATGGTCCACAGAGAAAACCCTCAAGAAGCTATTGAAAGGCTCCTAGAAACGTAAGGGAGCTTAGCAAGGTTGAGGAACACAAATGCAAAGTAATAAAAAGTCACTGTAGTTCCATACAGGAGTGGGCAAAAGTGGCTTTACAGTTGTGAGTACACAAAACACGAAATTTATTCTTGTATTATTTGTTACCATATTATTTATTTGTATTATTTGTCTTTTTCTCATTATTATTTTGTACCTTTACTTACATTCTAAACGTTAGGTAATGATGGCTGATAATTTAACCTACTTTTGCCCACCCCTGTATAATAACAATAAATGATTAGATTAAATTTTTTTTGTTTAAAAGCAGACAACAAAACAGAAAATGAAAACCAGTATAAATCTGACAGAATGTTCCATAAGGAGAACTATAAAACCACTAAGGGGTAAATCAAAGACAACGTGAGCAAGTGAAGAATTAGAGCATGTTCATGGGTTGAGACCCCATGACGCCGGTCCCCTCCAACTTGACCTATAGATTCAAGGTCATCCCTATCAAATTACAGCAGGACTTTACTTATCTTTTATTTAATTTTAATTTTTTTTATTTTTGCTACAAACAAGCTGATTCTAAAATTATTTGGAAAGGAAAAGGAACTCAAATAGCCCAAACTACTTGTCGTCCTGTGCTGAGGTGGACACCTGTCTTTGTCTATCTTCCCATTCACTGCTTCTCCCCTTGGCTGGTCTGTGTGCTCTTCGGCCTTCTGTGTGCAGAGATGTCCTGCAGCGGATGAGCAGCGGTGTCCCAGGGTCAGCCCCCTGCTGCCCTCTCACTGACTTGGTCACGGATCAGTGGCAAGTTTACAGATAACACCTGCGGAGTGGAGCGGGGCAAGTACAGGCTGCTGGGGCTCCAGGACTCCAGACTTTTCCAATGCTGTTTGCTTAGAAAACCAAAGGCAGGTCAGGGGGTCAACCCAGACTTCTACCATGACAGGCATTTTACAAGCAGCAAACTCTTTCCTGTAAATAAACCAGAGGTCATAAGGGCTCTCCAAACATCAACACGGAAAGGAGGGCGTGGGGGCCTCCTGCTTGGACAACACTCAGGAGAGTATAAAAGCTGACAGCCCTGGGCACCTCATACACACATACACACACTCACACTCGCACCCCATCTTCCAGCTCACCTCCAGCCCCACCGCCCCACCATGGCCGCCTCCACCCTGTCCATCTGCTCCAGCGACCTGAGCTATGGCAACCGCGTCTGCCTGCCTGGTTCCGGTGACTCTTGCACCGACTCCTGCCAGGCGGATGACTGTCCAGAGAGCTGCTGCCAGCCCTCCTGCTGTGTCCCCAGCTGCTGCCAGCCCTCCTGCTGTGTCCCCAGCTGCTGTCAGCCTTCCTGCTGTGTCCCCAGCTGCTGCCAGTCCACCTGCTGTGTCCCCAGCTGCTGTGCCCCAGTCCCCTGCCAGACACTCATCTGTACCCCAGTGAGCTGTGTGTCCAGCCCCTGCTGCCAGGCAAGCTGCGGGCCCAGCCCCTGCCAATCAGCCTGCACCATCTCCTGCACACCCTTGTGCTGCCAGCAGTCTAGCTGCCAGCCCTCCTGCTGCACCTCCTCCCCCTGCCAGCAGGCCTGCTGTGTCCCTCTCTGTTGCAAGCCTGTCTGCTGCACACCTGTCTGCTGCACACCTGTCTGCTGCAAGCCCGTCTGCTGCACCCCCTGCGCCTCATCCTGCTGCAAACCCTCCTCCTGCATGTCCGTCATCTGCCGCCCTGTGTGCAGACCCTCCTGCTGTGTGCCTGTCTCCTCCTGCTGTGCCCCCACCTCCTCCTGCTGCCGGCCCAGCTGCTGCCGCCCGGCCTCCTGCGTGTCCCTCATCTGCCGCCCCGTGTGCTCCCGCCCGGTCTGCTGTGTCCCTGCCTCGGCCCAGAAGTCCTGCTGCTGACCAGGCATGTCTCCCAGGGCCAGCTGGGTTCAGGTCACATCTTGTGACTGTGGTCCTTCCAGCCACCCCTCAGTCTACCCCTGACCCATGTTATATGGCTGACCTCACCCAGGACGGGGTCCCCCAGGTCCCCATTGTCCTCATCTGACCTCTGCTCCCAGGAACCCCTGATCTTGCTGCTTCCCCAGCCTCTTGCCTGCCGGGAGGCACCTCACCTGCCCCTGGGTCCCCTGTCTTTCCCTCCACATTTCTCTATCAAGTCACTTGACCTCCACTCTCATGTTGTCAGCATCTCCTCTGGCACCCCAATAAACTCACTTCATCACCTGATTGCTTCCTCCATCTGATTTCACAGTGAGGGCGGGGCGGAGGGACAGGTGGTTTTCACCAGATGTTGGTCTCCAGCCCCAAGTATTTCTGGGAGTGAGTGACGGCGTGATCACAAAGGGTAGTGGCCTCAGTCCTTTAAGTGAGGCACCGGGTGGGACTCACCCCCAAAACGGGAAGTTCAGTGAAGGAGTGGCCAGAGACCATGTGACCCACTCTGAGCCAAGTGGGTTTTACTGAATCCATCATTAAATTAACTATGAGGAACATGGTGCCTTTTAATTTCCTCAGAATAACAGTTGCATGGAATTTGGGTCACAGTGTTACATGGACAAAGACTTGCTGAAAAAAATTATGCTCTGTAATTGTTATAGATCTCCTTTAGCATTAGGTTTCATCACTTCCAATTCATTACTCTTTTAATTGTGTTAGGCTAGAAATTCATAGTCTCCACACCACATTTGCTTATAATCAAGTGTGCATTGCATCTGTAGTCGGTGTGGCAGGGGCTGCGGGGTTTGGAGGTCACACTGTGCGCGAGGTTGCCATAGTGGCGGGAGGTGTGTGGTTTGTAAATTGTGGTAAAATACACGTAATGTGAAGTTTACCATTTTAATCATTTAAAAAAAGATTTTATTTGTTTATTTGTCTGTTTATTTATTATAGCTGGGGGAAGGGAGGGAGAAAGAGGGGGAGAGAAACACCGATTGATTTTCTCTCACATACGTGCCAGCTGGGGACCAGCCCGCAACTGAGGCACGTGCCCTGACTGGGAATGGAATTGGCCACCTTTCACTTGGCCGGACGATGCTCAGCCAACTGAGCCCCACCAGCCAGGGCCCATTCCAACAACTTCTGAGTGCACGGCTCAGTGACATGACGCGTGCTCACACTGGTGTGCAGCCATCTCCACTGTCCATCTGCAGAATGTTCTTCATCTTCTTGGAAGGGAACTCTGCCCCCTTTAAACGCTCACTCCCCAACCCCCAACCCCAGCCCCTGGCACCCACTCTTCTGTGTTCTGTCTCTGAGAATGTGACTGGTTCAGGGACCTCCGGTGAGTGAAATCACACCGTGTTTGTCCTTTTGTGACTGGCTTACTTCACCCAGAGCAGTGTCCCTGACGCTCGTTCATGAGGATGCAGAAACTTCCTTTTCAGGCTGCAGACGTTCCGTGGTGCGGATGGGCCACACCACTTGGCTTCTCCCTCCCTCCATGACGGACAGCCGCTGTGCACTGTGCTTCAACACTTGTGAGCAGTGTGGCAGTGAGCGTGGGCGCGTGAGCGCCTCTCTGAGCTCCTGCTGCTAATCTGCTTGGATTTATGGCAAATGGGGGGGCGCTGCTGGATCATGGGGGACTTCCATTCCTAATTTTTTTGAGGAAACATTGTACTGTTTTTTTATCGAGGCCGCCCCATTTATCATTCCTGCCCACAGGGCATGAGGTTTTATATTTTCCCACATTCTCACCAACGCTGGCTATTTTCTGTTTTCCTAGTGCCAGCCGCGGTCATGGGTGTGAGCAGTGTGCACGTGCTTTTATCTCGGACGGGGTCACAGCAGCAGGCCCTCTGCAGGGGCCTGCCCCGCCCTCGCCAGCCTCCCCTTCCCTGCGGCGCTCACCTGCCTGCCCTCTCTTGCAGAAGAACCAGTACTTGTTCACGGTGGTGGCGGAGGGGCCCGATGCGCTGCTGCTGGGCCTGCGGTACTCGCCCACCCGGCTGCACTTCCTCTTCCTCAGTGAGGACAGGGCAGGTGCCTGGCAGACCCGTGTGTCCTTCCACAGCCCAGCCCTGATGGACAGCCAGTGGCACACGCTGGTCCTGGCTGTGTCTGAAGACTCCTTTTCACTCACCACGGACTGTGGCGTCCCCGTGGACATGTAGGTACCAGGATGCTGGGGAGGGTCGCGTGATGCTATGTGGTGCCCTGCAGTCCGAGTCCAGAGTGGACACCGGGGGCCGCTCCAGCCATGCAGTGCGGGCCCTGGTGGGGTCAGGCTTGTGCAGGGACCACTGTTAGAAACATGCTTTTTGGCAGGACTGCCCGGGGCCACCAGCAGGCGGATGGCCAACCTGTCCCCAGAAAGGCTGTGGTGGTGTAACCAAGTGCAGGCCAGCTGCCTGCTGCTGCAAAAGACAGTGCTCACGAGACAGGTGCTGATGGAAAGGAAAGTGGTTTATCTGCAGATGCTGGCCACCTGGAAAGGGGGGCACTCACATCTCAAAGCCACCTCCACCTCTCAGTGGAGGGAGAGGTTTTATAAGGAGGGAAGGGGGAACAGAACAGAGAGATCAAGGGAGGGGGTTGAAAGGTTCTCTACGTGAAGACGGGCTCAGTCCATCCCAATAGGGCAAGTGACGGTCTGGCGTACGTCGCCCTGGTTTAGTCGTCCTGGCTTCACATCATCCTGGCTCCACGGTTGAAGGTCAGCAAACCTCCCGGAGCCGGGATGCCTGAGGGTCGGAGTTGTATCTTTTGAAAGTAGTTCCTAGGATACTCACACAAACAAGCTGTTTATCTGCAAGCCGCATATTAGTCAGAGTCGGCACTTACAGAAACAGTGTCAGAAGACTGGAGAGGCGGGTTACAACTCCCCCGTTACCGTGGGGCCAGGACCAGGACAGTCACCAGTCGGAGGGCAGAGGGTGGCAGGCCGGGGAGCCGACACCTGGCTCAGGATTTGGGCTGAAGTATGAGTCCAGGTCTGGCTTGACCAGGGGGACGTGCCCTGCGGCGTGCTGGGACCATGACATTAGGGCACAGAGGAAGAGCATGAGGAACCCAGACCCCAGAGCCAAACAGAAGCTGTGGCTGAGCTTGAGGCCCAAGTCTCGCTGTGTGACTTCCAACCTGCCATTTAACCTCTCTGACTCAGTCTCCTCATCTAAGATGAGGGAGTAAACACTTATTAAAACCCCACGCAAAGTAAACCTTGGTGACATCGACACAACCCTGGGCACGTGGAAGCCTGAGCTCGTTTCTCGTCCTTGCCATCACCAGTTTCTGCGAACTGTCAGTCAGTAAACGGCCAGGAACCGAGAATCCCCGTGGCCTGGCCGGCCGAGGCGCCGCATGGGTCCCCAGCACCGACCCTTGCTGAGCAGGGCCAGCGAGGGTCTGGTTCTCTTCATACCAAACACGGTTTTCAAAGGCAGAATCTCACTCTGCTTTGTTGTTAATGAAAGTTTTTCCACAATAAAAAGAAACCATAACATTTATACACTTGGTTTAAACATGCCTTATTCACCACCCCTCCCCCACCGCACCCACAGACATATCAGGGACTTCATTGGACGACGGCCCCTCAGGTGCTGAGAGCAAGGAGTGGGACAGCTCTGGGAGGGACAGGGGTGGGGGAGGCTGTGGGGACTGACGTGATGGTGACCGAGGAGGAATTCAGGCCCTGCACACAAATTCAGAATCAGGGGACCTAGAAACTGCACGGACACTGGGCATCTGAGACTGTGGTCCGGAGCTGACCTCGCCGTGGCCATCTGCAGCCAGACGGCAAAGACTGGCAGGAGCTGCTGCTTTCACGAGAGGACGAGGCATCGTGGCCCAGCAGACACTGGGCAGTGAGGAGAAAGCATGTGCCTGGCTTTTCTGCCCCAAGAGCTCCAGCCACACTGTCGTCTACAATAGGGTGCCACCTTCTCAACTGTCCCCAGAGTCTGGCCCCACTTGCACATGAAGAACCAACTCTGGCCCTGGCTGGTGTGGCTCAGTGGATTGAACACCGGCCTAAGAACCAAAGGGTCACAGGTTCAATTCCCTGTGAGGGCACATGTCTGCGTTGTTGGCCAGGTCCCAGTAGGGGGTGTGCAAGAGGCAACCACATATTGATGTCTCTCTCTCTCTCTTTCTCCTTCCCTTCCCCTTTCTCTTAAATAAAATCTTTAAAAAAAGATCCAACTCCAGTCACACTTTCCAGCCACCCTCAAGTCATCAGGGAGGGAAGCCCCTCCTGCCCTGAGGCCATCTGTCCCCCGTGGTCAGGAAGCCTGGGCCGGGAGAAGCCACAGGAGGTTCCTGTGAGGTGGCAAAGACACAGGACCCCATGGCAGCATGCACTTTTGCAGATGACCCTTGTTCTGGGACAAAGGGTGTGCCCTAAATTCACATGCCCTAGGACCTGGGAAAGGGAGCTGTTTAGAGACAGCACCTTTGCAGGCGTTATCTAGCTAAGTTGAGGTCATGCTGGATAGGGTGGTGACCCAGTAGTGACCGGCGTCCTTCCAGGAAGAGGAGCCGAGGCTCAGAGGGGAAGCCGTGTGATGATGGGGCAGAGGGTGGAGCGATGCCACTACAAGCCAGGCAGTGCCGGGGGCCCCCTGGGGCCCCCAGGAGTCCCTAGGACAGGAAGAGGCCGAGAGGTCCCTCCCCAAAGCCTTCAGTGGGAGTGAGGTCCTGTCAACCCCCCAGTGTTGGACTCCTGGCCCCCAGAACTGAGAGGTGATGAATGTCTCTGGTTTAAGCCCCCCCACCCACCCACAGTACTTTGCCCCGGCTGCCCCAGGACACTGACACGCCCCTTAGGTGGCACTGCCCTGTCCTCTTCCCGGAAATGGCTCGCACTGCTGCTCTCCATGGCCCTCACACCCACACCCGCTGTTTGCAGAATGTCTGACGTGCCCTTTCCCGCCACCCTGTCAGTGCAAGGAGCCCGGTTCTTCGTTGGCAGCCGGAGGAGGACCAAAGGCCTGTTCACAGTAAGCTCGGCAGGGCTGCCTGCGCGGCCCCCCATGCACCGGTCCTCACATAGGGGCTGTCACCGGAGGTCTGCCGTCCTCCTGCTCTGGCTCCACAGATTGTCGTGTGTGTCAGACGGAAGGAGGAACACAAGGCCCTGCCCACACGAGCCAGGCACACCTGACACAGGGGCTCTGCCCTTGCTGTTCCCTCCTCCTGGCACGCATGTCGCCCCTGCTGCCACGGCTCACAGCCCACCCTCAGGGCCCCACCCGATGTCCTCTTACCATGGAGGCCTTTCCCAGCACTGAGAAGACAACCCTCACCCAGCCCTCCCACACCCCACCCCTGGTGGTCTCTTCACAGAAGCCCAGGCCACCCTCAGACTGGCTGTGTGGGCTCACCATCTGTCTCTCCCCTGGAGTGTGGGCGGGGCACCTTATTCCATGGGGGGAGGGGCTTTAGTTCTCTGGGTGCCCTGTGACTAGAACCATGCCTGGTGCATAGCAGAGGTGCTCTGGGAGTATTTACTGATGGTGTGCTAGGATGGACAGATGGACGGATGGATGGATGGATGGATGGACAGATGAGGGATGGATGGATGATGGGTAAATGGGTGGACAGATGGATGCATAAGCAATGTTGATCGGTCACCCCAGGTTAGTCCACAGAAAAAACCCTCTGTGATTTAATGACCTCCGAAGGGTGTGCAGCGCTCCACTGATGCCCCCAGGGTCCCCCCATAACCAATATGCAGACTCTTCTTTCCTGGCTGTAGAGACGGTCAGGCCCCCACTGCACTTCCACCTGTCCCCCAGGGTCCCGACACACTGTCCCTCTCTCGGCAGGGCCTGGTGAGGCAGCTGGTCCTGCTGCCCGGCTCGGACGCCAGGGCGAGGCTGTGTCCCTGCAGGAACACCGACATCGTGCTGTCTATCCCCCCCATCCTGCAGGGTCTCACCGGGGGGCCGGAAGACAACGAGGTGCTGAAATACCCCTACGGTTAGTGAGCCAAAGCCGCCTGCTCCCACACACAAGGCCTCTGCCTCCCTCCTGCTGCGGGTTCTGCCCCTGAGCAGCGTTTGGGGCCCTTTCTCCTCGTCCCTCCCCGATATACATCTGAACCTCAGCCCCTGCCTCAGCGGGGACCTCACCTCTGCAAGCCACATTTCTATTTACCGTGAACCCCCTGCCCAGAGGGTCCCCAGCTTTGCTTTTTTAGTTTCTGTTTTCACATTCCCCATGGAAAAGCACAATGCTGACTGGTTAAACCACAGCCCCTGCTGGGGAGACTCCGAGCCCCCACCCACCCCTTACCCCACCACTCAGCAAGGTGGGGAGACAACCTGACCCTCTCCCCAGCTTCACGAGTCCAGGGAACACCCCTGACCCTGACCAGGGCGACACTGGTACCCAGGGCTGGAACTGTGTTTCCAAGTCCCTGAGAGGCCTCAGAGGCGTCTTCCTGGGACGCCTGGGCCACTGTGACCGGAAGGGGCCTTGGGCCCGGGATCAGGCCCCCAGACCTCTGCCCTGACCCTGGGCTACAGGGCAGACGCCGCTCTGAAGTGGCCAAGGAGCACCACTGGGACAGGTGAGCTTGACCTGAGATGGCGGCGTCATTCCGAGAGGCGATGGATGAATATGTCAGGGAACTAACCCAAATGGAAGTTCTGATAAATCCAACCCATGGATCACAGATGTGGGAGGCAAGCAAGGAATGCCGTCATCACTAAAGATTTTCAGAAGAGCTTCGGGTCTGAGGAAAGGTGGACGCGCTGTCCTCTGACGCTCTCGGGCCTCGCCTGCCTCCAGAGATCCATCTGAGACCCCCGAGTGGGTCCTCGAAGCCCAGCTTCACAGGCAGAGGCAGGGTCACTTCTTCCAGGGGGCAGGTTTCCACCGGACACTCATCCTCCCTGTCTCCCCCCAGAAACCGACATGAAGGTGACGCTGGGATCCCGGCCTCCGTGCACCAAAGAGGAGGACGCCCAGTTCTGGTTTGATGCCGGGCGGAAGGGGCTGTACCTGTGCGTGGGCAGCGAGTGGGTGTCCGTACTGGCAGGTGAGGGGGATAGGGAGGTTGTGGCTGGGGGCTCTGGGGGCCGGCGTCTCTGCTCTGGGCCAGTGCTACGTAAGAGCAGGAAACACAGTAGCCCGCCCTCCGTGGGCAGGCAGAGCTTGTCCTCTCCCCCTGTCCAGGGAAGAGCACAGGGTTCCTCCCTCACAGGGGGCTCTGCCCACTCTCCTCACCCCGTGTCAGCTCTCCGATCATAGATGCAATGGAACGATGCTGGAGGGGTGAGTGAGGTGGCCCCAGGCGTCAGCAGCAAAGGGGAACCGGCTCCTGCTGGGCTGCTCCCGACTCCTGACTCTACCCTCTAGTTCACACCAGGGCACAGTCTTTTGTAACGTCAGTGAGAGTGGGAAGTAGCTGGTAAGGATCCGACATAACAGTTCCACCCAATGAGTACCACCCGGCATCTATGGACCCTGAGACCCACGCGGCCCGAATGGGCTTCTTGATGGGCTTCTGAGCGTGGACAGGCACTCCCAGAGAATTGCCCTTGCCCCACACTAATGCCCCTGGATCACGGCTCAGGGCCCGGGGGTCGTGCTCCCAACACGGTCCCTCCAGGCTTCCGTTCTGGGGAGCATTAACCAGGCCTTGATGTCTCTCTCACAAGCCAAAGAGAAACTGGACTACGTGGAGGAGCACCAGAGCCTGTTCACGAACTCGGAGACCCTGGGCATCGAGGTCTTCGTCATCCCCGAGGCCGGGCTCTTCGTAGCGACCGCCAATCGGAGGGCCACGTCCGCCATCTACAAGTGGACCGACGGGAGGTTCGCCTCGTACCAGCGCATCCGCACGCACCAGGCCCAGTCCTGGAGGCACTTCACCATCGGGAAGAAGGCAAGTCGGCGGCGGGGCCTCCTCTGTCCTCTTGAAGTGGTTCGTACCTGGGCATTCGGGCTTCCCACCCCACACACACGCCTGGTGCACCTGTCACAATGACATAAGTGGGCCTTCGTGCCTGCTGGTCACGTCACACACAGGGGGTTTCTGTGCTGTGCTTGGCTTCGTGACAAATACACGTTCACCATAAGAGAGTAGGGCATGGAGACTTCCTACTCAGGCAGGTGATGAACGCTTTTGTGCATGAAGCTTTTCCTGGTTTGGGAAATAGAAATGGCAGTAATGACTGGGAAGTACAGATGCATTTAAGGGTTTTAAATGTAATGAACAAATCTGGAGACAGACAGTCAGGGCTCCCAGACTGCTGAGGCTGCTGGCAGACAGAGGGGGACTCGGCCTCCACCCCCGCACTATTCGGGCAGAGCCGCCGACATCCAGAAACCTCCCTCGCCAGACCCTGGCTGTGAGCATGAGACCGAGTGTCCGGGCCTGTCTTGCAGATCTTCCTGGCTGTGGCGAACTTCGACCCGAACGAGAAGGGCCAGGAGTTCTCTGTCATCTACAAGTGGAGCCAGAGGAAGCTGCGGTTCACGCCCTACCAGAGGGTGGCCACCCACAGCGCCCGAGACTGGGAGGCCTTCGAGGTGGCTGGGGAGCACTTCCTGGCCGTGGCCAACCACAGGGAAGGTGGGGGCTGTGACCTTCGACCTGGAAGGGAACCATCCCAGGGGCGGGCAGGACTCACCCACGAGGCTCATTTTCATCTCATTAAAAATGATAATAAAGCACACTGGCCCGATTTCCCGGGATTGGTCATCGTGCGGTGGCCTAAGGGTGAACACACCTGAGTATCCTCACCTGTCGGGGTAGGAAGATGGGTGGTCTGTACCTGCCCTTAGAATGGCCACAGAAGTGTGGGTCACCTGACTACATAGATGGCCTCATCTGAAACTAACTTAACAAGTAATTAATTAACTCACTAACTAACTCACCTCCCCGTGGGAATGGTCTGGCTGGCACAGGTGGGCGGGTGAGCCCTCTGACCAGCCGGCCCAGGGCCAGGCAGGGGGACGCCGGCGCGGACGGGCTGGGAGAGAGGTTAGAGAGATGCAGACCCTGTTTCCGAGACCAGGCCGTCCCTCTGCACACGGACCGTGTGTGACATGTGGGCACAGTGGGAAGACAGGCAGGGAGCGGCTGGCAAGCCAGGGACGGCCCTCAGTGACCTGGGCGAGCCCTTCTCCGTCCTGTGACTCGGGGGATGGACAGGGTCCAGGTGGCGACCAGCCCTACAGGTGTCTGTAGCTCAGGCCTTGGTGGGCCGAGTGGCTCTGTGTTTACCTGAGTTCGAGACCCACTGGGGAGCTCTGTGGGGGCCTGAGGAGGAGCCCCCCTGAGGCTGATGGGCAGCGTGACCCCAGGAGCCCACTCACTAGGGCTGTCTGCGGAAGTGAGTGTCTCAGGGCAGGCTGGCCTGGAGGGGTCCAGGGAGCACAGTGCCTGACCTGTGGGAGAGCGTGGGAGCCAAGGGGACACTGCGCAGTGTGACAGGTGGGGCTGGGGACATGCGGTCGGGGGTCCACCTGCAAGACCCTGGGAGGCCATGGTGGGGGTCCAGAGCCATACAAAGGGGGAGCCCCTGAGAGTTCTCATCTGGACAGAGGCTGGAGGTGCGGCCACATGCAGGGCATCTTCGCTGGGGGGTGAGAGGGCGCAGGGGGGCGTGGGGTGAGCAGGGCTGTGTCCAGAGTGGCCCCAGGCCTGGCTGGACTGCACAGCCTGCAGGGACCCTCAGGCGCAGTCCCAGCCAAGGCCACCGTTGGGCCACGGAAATTTGTCCTCCCTCCCTCAACGCAGCTGCTTGGGTTCTAGGTGACAACCACAACATCGACAGTGTCATCTACAAGTGGAACCCGAGGACACGCCTGTTCGAGGCCAACCAGACCATCGCCACCTCCGGCGCCTACGACTGGGAGTTCTTCACCGTGGGTCCCTACTCATTCCTGGTGGTGGCCAATGCCTTCAACGGCACGTCCACGAAGGTGCTCTCCCACCTGTACATCTGGCTGGTGGGCTCCTTCCAGCTCTTCCAGTCCTTCCCGGTAAGGAACCCCCCGTGTGCCCTGTGCTCCCACCGTGCCTCACCTGGGACCCCAAGCCAGCGCCTGGCGGTGCAGGACTGGGGGCCCCCAGCCAGGACCAGTTCCCTGGGTCTGGCCTTCACCCTTGAGTTTCCGCCCCAGGTGCCTCCCCCCATATAAGGCTCAGGCTGAGCCACGATGCCTGCAGCTGCCTCTGCTACCCCCCAAAGAGCCTGGGGAGCCCTAACATGAGAGTGGTGGGGAGATGCACTGGGGGAAGCGGGGCTGGGATGAGGCGTTATTCTTGAGTTAGGGCGACAGCGGCTCAGTTTGGCTGAGCAGGAACCTCGTGAAGCTGCCCTGCCAAGATCTTGACCCCCTTCTTCCCGCTCCATCCTTGCGGCCACCTTGTGAGGTAACCGCTGCCACTAGTCCCCTCTCCACACGGGAAGCTGCAGCACAGAGGTGACGGGCTTCCCCGTGATGGAGCTGGGACTGGGACCCAGACAGTGTGGCGCACGGCTTTGTTCAGCACCGGACTGGTTCTTTCTGAAAGGCAAGCCCCTGCGTGACATGGGTCGTCCGCTGGTCGTGGCTGTGGTGCATGATGGGCGCCAGGACAGCCCAGACATGCTGGGTCAGAGGAGACTGTGCCGGTGTGGGTGGCCGATCTGAAAGCGTTCAGCAGTGGGCTGCGGTGGGGCGCGCCTGCTGGGTGACAGGGTCTGCCTTGTGATTAGAGTCCAGGACCAGGAGACTGGAGGTGCAAGAATGTCTGGGTCTGGGCCAGGGCAGTGCTGCAGGTGGGGAGACAGGCTCCCAAGGACACCTGGACTGGCAGGGACCGAATGGCCTCGAGCAGCAGGGCAGGGGCCGCGTGGGTCCCTGTCCTAGAGGCTGTGCAGGTGGCCTCTGCGGCTCAGCACACGGTGGCAGGGGGATGGGTCAGAATCTGGAAGGGATCGAATCATATTGAAGGAGGGACGATCATAGGAGCCGAAGACTTTGTTCCAAAAGAAGACTCAGGGCATTGTTTCCAAGACTCTAGCAGATGAGTGAGTCAGGGAGTGGAGTTCTGGGGTGTTAGATCAGGGCCTGGCAGCCTGGCACAGAAGGGCGGCCGCCAAGCCAGGCCCCGCAGGACCCTCAGACCCTGCATGTGGTGTGAGAGGTCCCTGCGGTGGGCGGGGAGTACATTTTGGAGATTGTCATTCTACAGCTACCAACACTGTGATCCCAAGTCGCCTGCATTCGAACAGAAAGGTGCAATTGGACAGAAGTCCAGTTGAACATGGTCTTCATTTCAGCGCTTCGCCGAGGGCCACAACCTGCAGGCTGGGCCCCGGGTCCCCAGAGCACAGCTGCCAGTGACAGGTGCAGCCACTGCCACCCGCTAAACAGACTCAGATGACGAAGGGCCTCCCGCCGTGAGAAGGCCTGAAACGTGGAGGCTAAAATCCACACACTCGCCCGCCCACACCGGGAGGCAATGAGCGGGTTCTAGAAGCAAGAGAATTTTCAGAAACTGTAATTACCTTCCGAAGTCCAGACGATACCGCATTTGTGAGATGAATACGGAATGCCATTAACAGGAAAGAGTGCTTGGATTTTAAAAATACCATTGCTGGCGTGCCAAGAAGACACTCATCAAACTTGATTGGAAAATAAAGGTGGGCAAATCTCCCAGAATGAGGGATAAAAAGAAAAGATAGAACCAACCAGGAATCTGAGTGCCAGGAACCAGAGTTCTAGAAAGAGTGAAGCCAGAAAAGGGGCGATGGAATTAGCAAAGAAAAAGCCCAAGGTTCTCCCTGAACCAGGAACGTGAACCTTCGGATCGAAAGGGCCGAGACCGAGGGGATGAGAGCTGCAGGGACTCGGCTGTGCGGAAACCGTGGGCACTGAGCAGGAGATCCGCCCTCAGTCCCCAGCCCAGGGAGGGGTGCCTGCGAACTCCTGCTGATGCCCATTGGCCGGCGCTGGTCACATGACCCAGCCCAGCTGCATGGGGTGCTGAGAGACGTGGGGGAGCACCCAGAAGGTGGTGTCCTTGTGCACCTGCAAACACAGGTGTCAGCCTGACACAGGAGATCAGAGTCAGAGGTGGTGGCTCCCACCGTGGTTGGTGGTAGTTCCGGAACCACTGCTGTTTGTCCTAGAGGCTGTCAGCCCGGGCGGGAGGGCCCCATGGACACATGTGGGCTGCACAACTTAAAGACACGATGGCAGCGTGGACAGCAAGTGGGAAGACTCGCGGGTGGAAGCCCCGGGCTCGCACTGCAGATGCCACGTTCCCAGGGGCACTGGCTTCACGGAAGCAGGAGAGCGCAGGCTCCTGGGGAGAGGAAGGGCCGGGGAGGAGCTGGGAGACGTGCTTGTGGGCAGAGATGGCGATTTTTCCCCCCCCCCGCAGAAAGGAAAGAAGAGGGAAGGAGGGAGAGAGGGGTTCGGGAAGAACTTGTGGACGAGCAGCGGTGTGCAGCACACAGGGTCCACGTGTGACTGCAGCACAAAGGAGGGTCCGTCTGACCCGCGTGCAGGGACTGTTCCCAGCAGTGACACAGAGGCTGTGCACCATCGACGTGACCACAGCTGCGCCCTCGGCCCTGGGCAGCGTGAACGCCGACAGTGCATCTCAGTTTTAGAATCTTCGGTGGACAAAGCCGGGGGCGTGTCTGGGAGCCACGCTGATTGTATGTGCAGCGGGGCAGCCCTGGCAGCTTGGAGGGAGGGGGCGCAGGAGGTGTGGGGAGGCGAGGGGCCCAGGCCTTTGTCCTGGATGCTGCAGCAGGGCCTGAAGAGAGGATGCTCACGCCGCCCACTGGAATCAGAGGGCTCCCCGGGGCCCCCTGAGAGGGAGGTTACCCAGTCCCTAGGCAGGGGCAGTTCTCTCTCAGGCACCCAGGGCAGGTGAGAGCAGGTGGGAGCACCCAAGGAAGCAAGACCCCCTGGTACTGGGCCCCGCTCCTCGCTCTGGGCACGGTGTTTTCCATTCCTGCCAGCCTCATCCCGAACCCCTAGAATGTCCACCTTTTTGGCCGAGATGGCCACCTTTTTGTTCCTCTTTTGGAGAAGCCATTCTGCCAATTACAGAGATTTTTGGAGGGAGGTCTGTGGCTGCTTGTGCTCAGCTGGCTCATGATTTCATCTCAGACCCATTTCACAGATGGTGAAGCCAAGGCTGGGAAGGGAGGGGACCTGGCTGGGGACATACGGTGGTGAGTGGAAGAGCCAGTTGTCCACAGGTGTCCTTGTGTCCACACAAGTCCCCTCCTCCAGGCCTGCACCATCCGGGTGGAGCCTGGCTCGTAGTTTGCGCAGCGAGCTGTCTCCTTTCCTCCCGGGTGTGCGGCCCACCCTCCCGGCTCCTTATCACAAAGGGTCAGGACGAGGCACTGGGTCCTGCTGGGCAGACTCCGCTAGGTCTTCGCCTGCTCCGGGAGGCAGGTGGGGAGAGTCCCGGAAGGTGGCCACAGGACTCCATCCTGGGCGATGTCGGGTGGTAACTCCACCTGCGAGGGCGGAGCTGTTCTAGGAGCCAGGACCCTGAGGCTGCTCAGGCGGGCACTCGGGCCCTGTGGTCGCCCGAGCTCTGCAGGCTCCCACGGGGGCCCCGGGCGTGTGGCAGCTCTGCCCCCTGCCTGAAGGCGGCCTTCTCTCACAAGCCGCATCTGTTCACAGCTCAGTAATTCCTCAAAACCCACGAAACCCCACTTTCATGTTTTGCCAGCATTTTCCGGGGTGTGTTTAAGTCCTTTCAGGCCTTGAAGATCCCGCGCTGTGTTTACTGTTTGGTTGGGAGTTTTGCAACGCCTTTCCTGACCGTGAGCTTTGAAGCAGGAGAGGCTGGGTGCTTGGAGATCTCGCGTGCGGGGAGATGTCGGGGGAGGTGAGGGGTGTGGGCCATGTCTGCAACGCCGCGGGCACTGTCCTGGCTAGGGGTGGGGGGCTTCTGCTCCCGGGGAGTCCAGGCCGTGCAGGGCTTTCGCCCACCTGTGACTGGAGGCTGGCTCCCACCCTCCTGCCAGGAATTCTAGGACTGTCCTCCGGGTGACAGAGACCCAGGCTTCAACCTCTTGTCCTCGGCATCTTGGACCAAAGGAGGGCTGAGCTGGGCGCCTCCAGGAGGGAATGACTCTGCAAGTGTAGAAACCTGGCCTCCCGCTGCCGGGGTTTCCGCTCCCTGAGTGACCGGCTGTGGGGCTGTGGTCACATTTGATAATGTAAGCACAGATGTGAGGGTAGGGGTTGAGGATCAGAAGTGGTGGGGGGCAGAGGGGTAAGACTGACCAAGGTTCGGGGTTCAGAGTTTGCTGCCCGGGAGCCAAGGCTCATGGACATGCCCATGGTGGACAGACACGAGGACCAGGGCAGGGTGTGGGCGGGAGGCTTGGGGTAGGGGTGGCTGCATGCCCAGGGCCCCAGGGAGAGGGTCGGTGATGGAGGGGACCGTGAGCTGGGCAGGTGGGTGGGACATGCAGAGGTGTGGCGGACTGGCCAGCGGGTGTGCAGGTGGCAGAAAAATGGCCCAGAAACAGTCCTCACCAAGGATGCCCACGTCCAGCAACAAATGAAAAGGAAGAGGCAAGAAAGTTGGGTTAAGACCCACCTCTGTGAGGAGGGGGTGAAAGAGCAGCCCCTTTCTGGGCCAGTACCACCCAGAATAACTGGCCAGGTGCTCACGAGGGGAGGGTGCTCCCTCCTGAGACCTCCATTGTCCCTGTGAGGCAGGAGCTGGCAGCAGCCCGGGCAGCATGGCTTGGAGGGGCTACTGGGCCTGGGGGCAGCTCAGGGAAGCACCTAGAATTTGGGTGAGGAGTGTGCTACTCTCCCCCACCTCCCGGGATGGGACCCTTGCCCACATTAGCCACCTGCCTGCAGTGAGGATGGCAGCATCCCCCCAGGGTCCTTTGGAGGCCACCTGTCTTCCCCCGGCAGTGCCTCCGACTCCTTCACCCTCTGCTCTGGCACTCCCGGGCCCCGATTCTTGGCTGCATCAAAGCTGGAACCCAAGAGCCTCCTTGCCCGCACTGGCGTGCTGCCCACCCTCGAGGGAGCCTGTCAGGGCTCCAAACCCCCAGGCACTGTGCCAGGGCTGGCGGGGCCGGGCTCCAGGGGAATTCCGTTCAGAAGGAGGGAAGGAAGGGGCCCACCCAGCCCAGCAGGTGCCTGGCCACCTGCGGGCTGGTGCCAGGCAGGGTCTGGCAGGGCCATTTGATGTGGGGATTTCTTCCCTCTGCACCTCATGTGGTTAGAGGCCAGGAGTGGCCTGACAGCGGCCCGAGCCCCTGCACGCGCTGCTCAGGCTGGTGCAGCCCCAGGCCGGCGCAGACTCACTTCCTGGCGTGGGGAGCCCAGCCTCCGGCAGGGGATGCAGATGTCGGCTCCGCTCGGTGGGGGCTTCAGGCAGCTACGGTGTGATGAGGGGTCACTGACAGTCAGTAACCGTGACCCAGCCAGGCCCCATGCGGGTCCCAGCCAGCCTGTGGCCGGATAAAATGCAGACTGCCCATTCAATTTACAGTCCAGAGAAACAGTGACTAATTTTTTAGTAAAAGCATTGCCCTGCGTATTGCATGGAATACGCACAGACTGAAAAATAAAGTTATGTTTTGCTGAAGTTCACAAGGAACGAGGCACCTCGTATTTGCCGTATCGTGCCCCACCCCGCTGGGTGCGTGGGGCAGAGGCTGGGTGACAGTCCCTCTGAGCCACACTCACCTGCCACTCCCCCTGCTTCCCTGCTGCCAACCACACCTTCCTCCTCACCTGGGGATGCTTCTCCCTGTGCTGCTGAAGCCCCAGCACCCGCCGAGGCCCCCTCACCCCGCATGTCCTCCGAGCTGGGGCTCAGGGCAGGCGAGAGGTCAGCGGGTCATGTAACTCAGAGCTCAAGGAAGCCCTGGTGATTGGGGTTGAACCGGGAGGCAGAGAGCCTGGCCCCTTGCACTGTGGGGCATGCCCGCCTGCACGTGTGTCTACAGGTGTGTGTGTGTGTGCAAACAGGTGTGCGCATTTGCACGTGCGTGTTCCCATCAACATTGTTTTCCCAGCACGGGTTCCAGAGGCCAGGGACCTGACATCACCTGTGTGGTCTCTGCAAAGCCACAGCCGGTGTGTGTGTGTGACTCTCCACCCCGTGTGGGTCCTTAACAGACCCCCCGCTTCGACACAGCCCTACGGTGGGTGGTGCTGAAAGCCCCTCTGGGCCCCTCATGCCCAAGCCGGCTCAGAAGGCTTGGGGCAGCCCTGGAAAGAGAATGTAGCCACCTCACAGAGTGGAACCTAGTTTAGGAGAGGACAGGGTACTTGAGAAAGGCCCCAGTAAGGGATTGGCGACAGCCAGGTGTCCTGGTTCCCTGTCCTTGTCCTAGTGAGTCATCCTTTTGGCTTAAACGTACTTGGTTCTGCTCCTCAGGACGGACCCAGACCTGTTTCCAGAGCTCCTGGGTCTGAGCCCAGCTTTGGCCCCAGGAGGGTTCTTAGCGAGCAGGCAGGCCGGCTGGACCGAGGCGGGCAACGTCGCCCTCTGCTGGGCACAGGGAAAACACCGTCCTGTCGGCGGGGAGCGTTTACAAAGTGCTCGCCACACTTGGCCAGGCAGGCACGAGACCCGTGGGGAGGAGAAGACAGGCCGGGCAGCCTGTCCTGAATTTACGAGCGGGGAAGTGACGAGGTAACTAACGTGGCCAGGAAGGGAGGTCAGGGCAAAGAGAAACGGAGCCGCTTCCCACCGTGGAGGCCGCTGGGGATGTCCCCTGTGCACGGGCCTTGCTGGGCAGGGGGACGGGGTCGGCCCCTCCCCTCCAGGCTGAGAACCCCCAGCTCGACCTGGGACAGAGCAGGGATGGTCTGCCCTACCCCCACTTTCTGCTGGGAAGTTTGGTCTGAAAATGAGTTCATTTTGCCTTCATTTTTGAAGGATATTTTCACTGGTTGGAGAATGCTGCTTTCCATTACTTTAAACGGGTTTTCTGGTCGAGGCTGCGCCTCCGTGGGGGGGAGGTCGGGCTGCCTTGTGTCCGAGGTGCCCTGGCGGCTGCTGTTAAAATGTTCTTTGTCGTCGGTTTTCAGCTACTTGAAGAGGCTGTGTCTACATGTGGTTTTCAATACTCGTTTTCCACTTTGGGTCTCTGATCCTCTTGCCTCAATGTTTTCAATCAAATTTGGAGAAATTTTGGCCTGTGTTTATTTGAACGCTCTTTCTGCCTCATTCCCCTTTCCTTTCCTCTGTGGCTCCAGTTGCCGATAGGTGGCGCTGCATTCGGTTGCCCCACGGGTCACGGAGGCGCTGTTTGCTTTAACTATAATCTATTTTTGCCTTTGAATGCTTCAATTAGGATAACTTCTGTTGGTCTGTCTTCTAGTTCACTGATGATTGGCTCTGCATCCAACGAATCAACGAATACAGATGTTATGCTTCCTATTACAGGATTTCTGTTTGACTCCTTTTAGAGTTTTCCTGGCTCTCCGAATTTTCTCCCCGCTGCTCACTACATTCACACTTCTCTGGGGGCGGCCACCATCGTTACAGCCTTTGCCTGCTAACTCCTGTGTCTGCACAGGGTCAGCCTATTTCCATCTGCTGTGCCTTCTTCCACTTATAGGCCCCATGGCTGCCGTGCTCCCTGCTGGTCGGGTCTCTGGCCGGTCCTTTCAGCCCCTTGGCTACGGTATGTCTCAGGGACCCTGCACTTTTCCCTACGTGCAACTCAGGAACCAGGCGAGGACTTGAGAGAAGTTTGTATGGAGATATTGGTCCCTTCTGTGGCTCCCTCCCTCCTGGGGCTGCTGGCCTCTGTTTCCGGACCCTCTGGAAGCTCCCATGGGCTCCCCTGGACTCCCTCGCCTGACTGGCCTGCCATGCCCATTTGAACACCAGGAGCACCCTCAGAAGAGATGTCAGATAAACCTGTGTTCAAGGGGCGCACTCCTCCAGGCTCTGCCTGTCCTTGGCCCTTCTCCTTTGAACGGTTGTGTGTTCTGTGTAAGTGCCGTGTCCGGAGTGACAGTTGTGACCGGCATCAGGGTCAGTCTGATGCAAGTCTCTCCGTTTGTGTCAGAAGCTGAGGGCCTGGAGGAGAAACACTTAAGGGCCACGTCCATGCAGAGTCTACCACCTGCGCCTTTGCGGCCCTCGACCCCCTTCTGCTCACACGGGAGCTGAGACCCCTGAAGCCTGCACAGGCCATGGTTTGGGGCCTCCAAGAGCATTTACACGCTCTTGCATCTGCCACAGACCCCTGCAGGGCGCTGCCACAGTCTCCCTCTCTCCCCCAAGACTGTCATCGGTGTGGTCGCCCTCCGGGGCTGGCCCTGCCCCTTGCTCCCCAGGAAAGTGTCTCCCTTCATTTCCTGCCCCTGTCCTCTCTCTTCAGGGCTCAGGCTGGGCCCTGGATCTGGGTTTCTCTGGTCCTCTCCTCCCTGAGCACAGGTGTCACCATTCCCCCAAGACGCTGGCTGTAAACTGGACACATGCTTCCTGCTCATGGGCCCCACCTGCCAATCAGCTCATGCCACTCGAGGCCTGGGGCAAATGCTCCATAGCTGGCCACTCATGCAAAAGTCCAGACCTATTGACCCTGCACACCTCATCCTCGAGGGTGACAAGTGATCTATGGAGCAATGGCGTGCAAGGGAATCCGGAGATGGGGCTGTGAATGGAACCAAAAGAGACCCCCCAGGCAGGAGCAGCTCATAATAAGAAACACAAGAGGAACCTAGTGGTTGCTTCAGAGGTCATGGCCAGATTGGAGGAAGCAGGGAGGGCTCCCTGGAAGAGGTGTTACTCCAGCTATGTAACCAAAAGCAAGTTCGGCAATCTGTCACTACAAAAGCCAGTACCCATGAGGCAGGTGCTGATGTAAAGGAACATTTATTTTCAGGTGCCGGCCACCTGGAAGATGGGGACTCACATCTCAAAGCCCACCTCCACCTCTCCGTGGAGGGAGAGGTTTTTATAAGGAGGGAGAGGGGAACAGAACAAAGAGATCAAGGGAGGGGGTTGAAAGGTTCTTTACATGCAGATGAGCTCGGTCCCTTCCAATAAGGCAGGCGATGGGCGGGTGTGCATCATCCTGGTTTAGTCGTCCTGGCTTCACGATCCTGGCTCCATGGTTGAAGGTCAGCAAATCTCCCAGAGCCAGGAGGCCTGAAGGTTGGAGTCTATGTATTTTGAAGTTAGTTCTTAGGATTCTTACACAAGCGTGCTGTTCATCTACAAGCCGCATGTTAGTCAGAGTCAGCCCTTATGGAAACAATGACAAGAGAATGGAGGGGGGGGGGTCACAATTCCCTGCTGTTGCAATTCTCCACTGTTACAGCTAGACCTTGAAGGAAGGGCGGCACAGATGGCTAAGAAGCAGGCGCCTCAGATGGTGCAGCTCACAGCTGATGTGCCTGGGAAATCAAGCAAAGCCAGGCCAGGGAGGGAGACCCAGCCCCAATTGCTCTGCTGTGTGTGTGTCTGGGGGGATGTTGCCCCCTGGTGGCGCTTGGCTGTTCCTGCAGCCTCTCTGTTCACCGGTGCTCTCTGCCTCCTCTCGCTGCCCCCAGACCTTTGGCGCCGCGGACTGGGAAGTTTTCCATATTGGAGACAGGATCTTTCTTGCTGTTGCCAACAGTCACAGTTATGACGTGGAGATGCAAGTGCAAAATGATTCCTACGTCATCAACTCCGTCATCTATGAGCTGAATGTCACCGCACAGACGTTCGTCAAGTTCCAGGAAATCCCGACCTGCAGGTATGGCTAAGCTGGCAACTGGCGGGGAGCAAACGGAGCCCATGCACAGACCGAATAGCATTCAGCCTTAAACAGGAGTGAGATCCTGGTGCACACTGTGCCGTGGAGAAACCTGGGGGCACCATGCTGAGCAAAATAAGCCAGACACGAAAGGACAAGACGCTGAGTGGGCCCACCCAGGAATCAAATCCATAGAGACAGAAAGTAGATGGTGGTGCCGAGGCTGGGGGGTGGGGGAGGGGGGAGGGGGAGGGGGGTTTGTGTTTAGTGAGGACAGGTTCTGCAGGGGAAGGCGAAAAGTTCTGGAGATGGATGGTACTAGTGAGCCATGCGCTTAAAAATGGTTAAAATGATAAATTTCATGTTATGTATATTTTAGCAAAATTATTGTTTTTTAATTTTAAGTGAATGACTAAACTCCCCTGTGTCTGATAAGGTCGCCCGCCTCACGCCCAGCCCCTCCTCTGTGGGTCTGGGGTGGGACCTGGGCCCTGAGTTCTGGGATTAGGAACCAAAACTAGAAACCATCTCCGGAGCCCGGGCAGCACCTCAGGTTCTGTGTCCTAACGTCTGTGCCCTAACATTGGCCCCCTGACATCTGTCCCCTTGCTCCCACAGCGCTCTGGACTGGGAGTTCTTCTCGGTGGGAGAAGATTACTTCTTGGTGGTTGCCAATTCCTTTGATGGAAATACCTTCTCCGTAAACAGTATTATTTACAGGTAAAGAGCTGCTGAAGGCCACACCCTGCGTCCCCACCTGGTTCTCTGGGGGTAGACCCCACTCCCTGCCAGTGACCAGGCTCAGAGCCAGTGGGCCGCTTGGGGCTGCCCCCCCCGAGCGCGGCTGGGTCTGGGTCCTGTCCCCGGGGTTACTAGCCAGGTGATCCATGTCACTAATGCTCACGACTTCGGAGTCTGGCTCGGATGGAGTGTGCAGGCTCAGTAATCGGAGAGCTACTGATAGTTTATTTTAGTAAATGTTCCCTCCGGGACTGCGGTGTGTCTCTCCACTCATCACCTGTCCTTCGGTGAGAGTTTACGCCCTGGCGTAGGCACTGGGGCATCCCTGTTAAAGTCGCTTCTGGGTGTTGGCCACGTATCGTATGCATAACACCTGCGGCTTGTCCATTTCCAGCTGCTTTTCGGGACACATTTTTTCCCCAGTCCCCGGACCAAATGGTCAGTCTCTGGAGCAGCGTGCCACGGGGGTTCGAAGAGCAAAGCTGCCTCTGAATAAAAGCAACTTTGCCTCTTTCCTTCTCCTGTGTTCACTGCTCACTTAGTGTCCTCAATGAGCTGGAACTTCCCGAATGATCTTGAACAGCTTCGCCAGCAGCCCCGTCTTGCTGATTTGACAAGAGCAGGCTCAGTGTCGCGGGGCGTGACCAGAACGCGAGCGGCCGCGTGGGGCCCTTGGCCGTTCCTCAGCCGAGGCGGTGGCTCCTCTCCCATAATCCGCTGGCGTAATGACTTATGAGAGGTTTCCTCGAATTCCTGGGATGAATGCCACTAGACAATGTGTAATTACTTACTATGCCACCGGCTACCAACTGTTCATGAATGATTTAAGAGTTTTGCGTCTTTAATAGGAAACGAAATTGCTCTGTGGTTTTCTCTGGGGGCCGTACCTTTACCCAGTTGGGAGTGGAGCCTCTGTTAATAGGTACGCGCAGTACAGCTTCCACCTACGGCTCTGGGCTGGACTGGCTTCGACAGTAGGACTTACCCGTTCCTTTCACCATTAGGCTAAATTCAGTTCTAGAACCATCTGGTCCATTGTTCAGTGTCCTGTTTCCGCCGTGGTCACCAGTGTAATCGTGTGGTCTGTCTCTTCTTGGGACAATTTGGGTCCTCTAAGTTTTCCTAGGAAAATCCGTTTTCTTTAGGCTTTCTAATTTATTGCTGTAGAGTTTTCAACGTGTCAGAGTAATTTTAAAATTCGTATGGAAGAATAAATCTTCAAAGATGGCCAAGAACATTTTGAAAAATAAAAGCAGTGAAGGAGCCCTGGCTGGTGTAGCTCAGTGGATTGAGCGCGGGCCTGCGAACCAGACAATCGCGGTTCGATTCCCAGTCAGGGCACATGCCAGGGTTGCAGGCAGGTTCCCTGCAGGCCAGTTCCCAGCAGGGGATGCACGAAAGGCGACCATACATTGATGTTTCTCTCCCTCTCTCCTTCCCTTCCCCTCTAAAGATAAATAAATAAAATCTTTTAAAATAAATAAAAAAATAAAATAAAAGCAGTGAAGGAGGCCCTGACAGCATCTTAGAAGTCAACAAGTCCGCAGGTGGAACAGGACACAATCCCAAGGAAAGCCGACGGCTCATGGCTACTCAGTGTGATAAGTGTTGTATTTCAAGCCAATGAGAAAATGAGGCATAAGAAAGTAACTCAATAAGTAAATAATTATTACTTAGTAAAATAATTTTTATGTAATTTTCTGTCCATCTGGAAGGAAACAAAGCTATATTCCTGTTTCATATTATATACCAAATAATACATATAATGTATATTTATGTTATATAGAAAAATAAGGTTTTTGAGGATTAAGCATCTAACTGTAAAACAAAGTAAACAACAGAAATATTAGGAGAAGTTGCTAAGATAGATATACGAGAAGACATAGAAATCTCCTTAAAGAAGGTTAGAAATAGGTCACAGGCTGACTACCTGAATTTAATTTTTTTTCATGGAAAAAGATGTCCTATTCAAAATCAAAAGCAAAACTATTTACCACACGTGTGATAGAAGAGGAACCCCCTACAAAGCAATAAAAGATTTTTTAATTCACAAAAATGACCAAATATATGAACAGGAATTTCCAGAAGCAAAATGGAAGATGTGATTAAACATATTAGGAGTTTTTCTCAACATACTAGGGTGATGCGTTTTCCTCCCTCCGTCCTTTTGGGTGGAGGTGGGGGCACCCCGGCCCCTTCCCATCGGGACAGAAATCACCAGCCATTCTGGAGAGTAATCTGGAAAAATATTAAAACTACGTGTGCCTTCGGCCCAGGTGCCCTTCTGGGAGAACTCACTCTACAAAAATGGAACCACCTGTCAATAAATCCCTTTTGAAGGCGAACCCCAGGAACCACGGACTGTGTGGACACCGGGCCATGGGCTGTGTTTGGGATCCAGTCTTGGAGGGGGGGTCATGGGGTCACAGAGCAGTGTGCTGCGGGCACGCCTCCTCCGCATGGGAGTGCCACACCTGTGTGTCACAGGTGTGTGTTTGAGGGCGTGTGCCTCCATGCCAACCGTGACCCCAGGAGTGGGGAGGGTTTTGGCTCAGCCCCTACAGTGAACCCATTGCAACTTCCAGGACACTTCCCTGCCACCCTCACACCCCCCTACCCCCCTACCCTGCCCACCCCAGCTTTGGGGCTGGCCTGAGGGCGCTCTGGGCTGGGGGCGGGTCCCTGGGTGGATACGAAAAGCTTCGGGGTTGTGGACAGGGTAGGCTCCTTCTTCCAGGCCTGTTTTCCTCTTTGCATGCTCCCAGCACCGCACCCTGAGACTGTGACCCGGGGAAGCTGTGCAGCGTGGGGACACGTGGCCCGCCATGCTGTGCATGTGGGAGAGGCAGATGGCGGCCTGGAGCGGAGCACAGAGGGCCAGGCTGCAAACTGGGCGGGGCGGGAGCCTCGGGGGAGTGAGCAGCCTGGACGGGCAGGCAGCCTGGCTCGGGCCGCCAGTCCCGAGGCTGACGCGTCTCTCCCGCAGGTGGCAGGGGTACGAAGGCTTCGTGGCCGTGCACAGCCTCCCAACCTTCGGCTGCAGGGACTGGGAGACCTTCCGCACCACAGCTGGCTCCTACCTCGTCTACTCCAGCGCCAAGGAGCCCCTCTCCCGGGTGCTGAAGCTCAGGACGGGGTGATGGGCCCGGGCCCCAGGAAGAGGACCCACCTCCCTGCACCCCAGAATCCCACCTAAGAAGTCCTGGAACCTCTGCGGGGGTTGGGGGGGGGTGATGAGCCCAGGCAGCATCACTTCCAGAGCTGTCATCTCACCGTCCCTGGCCCTCCTCCAGGGACATCTGTCACCTCTCTGGCCTGGTAGCCATTGCGGGCAGAAGCAGGTGACCCATGGGCATTCAGATGGAAACCGGAGCTGCCCTGCACGTCTGGGTGCTTTGCAGGGGTTTCGCTTTAAAGGAAAAGTGCATACAGTTTTTTACCTCATAAGCAAAAGCCTGCTCAGCTTCCCCACGGAAGCCTGGACGTGGGGGTTGAAGAGGGCCATCGAATTCCGGCCCCACCACCCTGCCCCGGTCAGCAAGCCCAGACGGGGAACAGGCCTGATGCTATTCTACACATTCATACCAGCTATTTATTGTATTTTGTCTACACCGAATATATTTATGATGCTCTCTACAAAGAGCATGACCGCATCTGTGTCTTTCTGGCGGGGCCTTGACTCTCGGTGAGCATGTCCCAGGGACCAGACACCACCTGTGGGCCCTCGTCACCAATGTAGGCAGAGGACACCTCTCATGCAGAGAGTAATTCCTCTGGCCTCAGTTTGCCCACGGCTGCGGAGGGGGCGGTGAGGCTGCCTCCCCTGACCCTGCAGCTGGTGGGTGTGCAGGGCAGACTTGGGCCACCTCCTTGGGCCAGCACTCACCCGCTTTCCCCCTGCCCACTGCCCTGGACCCTACACCAGGTGGGGGCCGCTCACCCCCCTGGGACTGCTGCGGGATGAACAGGATGGCACTCGGGAGCCTGGGGTGGGGAGGGCAGGTTTCTGGGTAGAAGGGGAATGCTCTGTGCCGAGGCTTTGCCGGGAAGGCCCGTGGGGTGCGCACAGAGCCAGGAGACCGCCGGTGGTAGCCAGGCCAGGCCTGTTCCGTCGTCCACACCAGCCCGCTCCGGGAGAGTGAACACCCTGCAGAATGGGAGGCAGGAGCCCCAGCTCAGGGGCAGGAGGGCCCCACGCTTGGTTGAACGCTCTGCTCTTTCTACCTTAAAACTCTCAGTGATTCTTTGCCCATGATCACACAGCCGGAGCTCAGGGGCAGCTCCAGCCCACTGGAGCCCTGGCGCCCCACGGTCAGGTCTGTGTGAGGACAGGCCAGGCCCCTCCACCCAGGAAGGAGCCCTACGCTGAGCCTGCTCCTCCCCAGCGCAGTCAGATCTGGGACCTGCAGACTCGGAGCAGGCCCTCTTGACCTCCAGGCCAGAGATTTTTCCCAGAGCCAACTTCAGGCCAGCTAGTGCTCCGTGTGCCTTGGGGACAGCTGCGCTGGCCTCAGACGAAGCTGTCTCCTCCCCAGGGAAAAAAGGGCGGGGTCCAGAGGTCTGGGGCCAGGTGAGGGGACCCGTCAGAGGGAGGTCTCAGGCTCTGGTGTCCCCCTGGGTATCCACAGGCGTGGACTCCCCCACCGCCATGTACACACTCAGTATTCTGAAGAAAGAGGATGTGCCTCCCACTCCAAACCAGGCCCCACTGCTGCAGCCGGTGTCCCTGCTAGGCCCCCACATCCGCGCTGTCATTGTCTCTAAGGCCTGGCCACATTCCCGCCCTGGGAAGCCAGGGGCCCCAGAGTGTCAGGGCCTCGGGGTTATGGTGACGGCTCCAGACCCACTGGTCCAGGAGGGCGGGCTGAGGGTGTCGGATAAAACGCAGGATGGCAGGTAATCTCGAGTCACAGAGACAGGAATGCTTCTAAATGTATCTGTTCCAACTATTGCGCAGGAGCTTCCCTAAAGGAGTGCAGTCGTTCACCTGAAACTTCAGATCCAGGTGAGCATCCTGTGCTTTGATTGGCTCAATCCGCCCACCCTCCCTGAGAGGGGAACGGGGGACAAGCCACACTTCTTGGGGGCTGCTGGGGCAGGGGGCTGATTTTAACTCAGATTTGAGGCAGGGGGACAAAAGGAGGATCACAGCTTGGGGGGGGTGCTGCAGGGCCAGTGGGGCAGAGTGGCTCATCGTCTCAGGGCTTGTTCTGCAGGACCCCCAGAAGTGCCCACAGAGGTGGGGTGCACACCCAGGCCGGCAGCACAGCGGGGCCTCTGAGACCCCAGCCCCCACGCCTGGACGATTCATCTACACGTTGACTCCGGTTGGCTTTACGGGGGCAGACAATGAAATCAGTGAATTTGGGAAAGCAGATGGCCCTCTGCAAGGTGGCAGCCTTGAGCAAGGAGGCTTCTCCAGCAGATGCCCTCAGGCTAGAGCTGCCCCAGCGGCTCCCCTGGATACCCCCACCCTGCCCCCACCAGCCGCTCTGCAGATTCGGGGCCCACCAGTCTCCACAGTCTTCTGAGCCTGTTCCTGTCTGTCCTCTCTCCATGGAGAGCACAGGGCTCAGACAGGCCGAGGCACTCGAGCATCCAGAGTTTAGTCCCACCTGCCACTGTTTCATCCTCAAGCCTCAGTTTACCCCTGGGGGAGGGGCAAACAGCACCGTCCATGACCCCCAACCACACACCCTTCACGGCTCCTCTCCCTGGGGTAACCCAGACGTCCTATTTTCTCTCTGCCCCTCGGGTGGCACTGCCAGGTCCAGCTCACCATGGGCAGGGGGCACTGGGGCTGGGGAGGAAGGAGGCAGACGACCAGGCCGCCAGCACAGCGACACACACACACAGAGCCACCGTGTCCCTGCCCAGGGCTTCCTCAGAAATCAGACAGTGCCACCTCATCCATGGCACCTTGTCCAGTCTCTGTTCTGGCCAGTGAAAAGAAGAACCATAAATCAAGGCTTGTTTACATTAGGAACTTGCAAACAAGAGGAGGAAATGCAGAGAAGATTAAAATATTTACAGCTTTTCAAGTAAGGCCTGGTTTTCGTCCTGTTTGCGAGGCGGCATGAGGCTTCGTGTGGATTTGCGCACGGTTTCACAGGCCACATTCCTGTCCTCTGGACCAGCGTGTTGTTTCCTGGTGGCAGTCGGCCCGACTCTGCTGGGCTGTCGCCCGGTTAATCCAAGGGGATTCTCTCCCATAGTCTTCACTGTGGTGAACGACACTGTGAGGGCACCTTTGTACAAGTTGCATTTTCCTTTGCGGTCATGGCTTCTGGAGTACTGTCCATGCATCTGTTCCTGACTTCCTGACTTCCTGACTTCCTGACCCCGAACAAGGCCAAGGACAACCAGATGCTGCAGAGTCACGCCGGTTCCATTGGTCCTGCCAAGACCGGGCTTCACCTGTTTCATAGTCTGCCGAGTTAGGAAGTGGGGGACTGCCGATGAGGTTACCCTTGTTCAGCGTGTTATCGCCCCTGGTGTCAGGGTCACTGGACTTGCCCTGTAGGCTCCCCACCCTCTGCTGCAGACTCACGTCCATGCAATGCCAATCAAAACCCCAAGGTTTGCCTTTTAAATTAATTAAGTGATCATAGAGCATCTCGAAGAATTAATAGTCTCAACTACTTGGAAAAATTAGGAAACTCTTGGCTGCCAGGTGTATTAAATTATACTGAAATTAAACGACTGAAATGAGTGTTGGCATAATTTGGAAACATTAATGTCACAGATATTGGAAAGCAAAAGATTCTAGAACAGACTTTGTTATCCTATTTGGAGGAAAGCTTTCTAAAGGTAAAAATAATGGAAGTGAGAAGGGAAGAAAATGGAAGGAGAAGATACAGAAGACAGACAGATAGATGTCCATCCACTGCGTGTTGTCTTAAGATATAAGTAAGTGACGGTGCGATCCCAGCACAGGCTGGGGACCTGTCTCGTTCCAACAGTCAGTGCTCCCTGTCACACTCTAACAAACCAATGGACACCCGACGCCCCCACACAGGACGGAGAGCAAAGGGCGTGAGCAAAATTCACAACAGAGGGAATCTCGACAGTGAGCACAGGCTTCAATTCTGATGCATTACACCCGCGAGTCAGGAGTGCGTGTCCTGCAGCCAGCATCCCCGGCTGCGCCGAGGGGTAACCCGGCCTGCCCAGGTGCTTCTCCTGGGCTGCGAAGCAGTTAAAACCGAGCCAGGCATTGCCTCTCGGTTTGCGAGGAGAGTGCAAGCTCCTGGCTTGGAAGACCTCGGGCCTGGTGGCCTCATTGCTGTGCTGTCCAGACTGACAGGCTCTGATCTGAAGATGACCCCTCAGCCCAGGGCGAGGACAGGAAGTCTGGCGTCCATTCTGAGCCCTCAGCCCAGTGACGTCCACGGTGGCTCCACAGAGACCACAAAGCTCGGGGAGCCTGGTGGGGCGCTGGGTCCTGCTGGCCACGCGCAGGGCAACCCTCCGGTCAGCTCCACCAAGTCCAAGCATCTCCCGCAGAGAGACAGCAGGACCCAGCACTGGTGGCCAGGAGTAGGCACAGAGTGGGTGATAGCTGGTCTCCCTTTGCAGTTTTCTCCAAATCTTAATTTTTCCAACTCTCTGCCTGGCTGCTAAGGCACTGTGGATGGCCACTGGACGTCCATCTGCCATCCACTGCTGCCCAGCAGCCTGGTCACAACCAAAGTCGGCGTTCCCCAGCTCTCATGACCTTGGCCTAGTCATCTAACCTCTCTGTGCCTCAGTTTCCCCATCTGCCAGGGTGGGCTGCTACATAAGCTACAGGGCGGGTGATTCTACATCTAGAATCCCCTTCCGGGCCTGCTGGCCACCCCCTACCTACTCCCTGGTAGTTTCTCCTTCCATGGCTTCTGTGGCCCTTCCTCGAAGGCCCCCTCCTCACCAAGAGCAGCGGGGCTCACAGGGAAGGTCAGCCCGGTGAGCCTGTCCCACTGGGATGCTGCGTCTCCACTCTCTCTGCACAGAATGGCTGGCTAACATCGCCAGCTGCGCCTGGCAGCCAACCCCAAGTCTGCTCTTTCCCACCAGTGTTGTTGCCATGGTTACAGATGTAGTGGCCTGGGTGCTTGGCTCCAGCCTCCCAGACTGGACTGCGAACCCAGGCTGCTCTGCCTCACTGCCTCGGGCCTGTGCCTAACCCAGGACTCACCTCTTTGTTTGCTGACAACGCTCCAGGGAGCATGTTTCCCAGAGTGAGAACTTCCAGGCCCCGGCCGAGATTCCAGTCCAGCTCTGCCCACTCCGGCCGACTCCTGAATTGGTCATTTCCCCTCCAGACCTCACCATCTCGGGTTTCTCGTTTGAAAACTGAAATGTTCTCTACCATGCCAGCCCACTGCAAGAGGCCCCTTTTGAGCAAACTCGGCCCCGTCTAAGCCGTCCAGTGACTTCATGGTGCTGGCCCCTCCCAGTGGGCAGCCCCTGGGCCACCCCAAGGCCTGAGAGCAGCTGCTGACTTCCACACCAAGTCCCACAGGCCATTCGGTCCGGCCCCCCTGAGAACCCAGCTCCTCTAAGCCATGGGCTGGCAGGTCTGGCTCCATCACACAGCCAAGTCTGTGATGAACAGGATTCTGCAGGGAGAGGTCTGAACGGGGTGGGTGGTGGGGGGAGGTTGCTGCAGACAACATGATCCACTCCAGCTGATTTAAGCACATGGAGATTTATTGAGGGCTCACAGACAGTGGGCAGAAATCAGACTCTGGACGGAACTTCCAGGAAGGCAACGCCAGGAGCCACCTCGGGCTGCTGCCGTGGCTGGGAGCTGCCCCAAGGCCAGAACATTCTGTGCCAGCAGCCCTGCCTCCTCCCGGTAACCCAGTGCAGGATCAGAGCCTCCTACTTCTTTGGAGGACCCGCTGCACGGGAGCCTGGGAGTGCAGTGCAGAAGAGCAGGCCAGCAGGTGGGGCCGGTGCCCAGCACCCACGAGGAGGCCCAGGCTCCCCCCCTCTGCTGCTCTGAGCTCCTGGGAAGGTGGCCTCTCATCCTCCTGGCCTGGCTTAACGGATGCCCCGATATCCTGCCGACTGTCTGGGAAAAGCTGTCCCAGATGCTGGCCCCACCCCAGACCCTGTCTGATGGGGCATCCGCAAGCATTTTCTAGCCCTCAGGTGAAGGCAATTGTGTGGAGCTGACCTGGAACTGGAACCCTGCTTTACAGCCCCTGTTGTTAACCCCACAACTCAGCCCATCTCCTGCCTGGAGTGACTTCCCACCCGGGTTTAACCTCAGTCTCATGTCCAAATTAAAATTGTCGTCCACCCTCACTGAAAGCAGGACAATGGGCTGGAAGCTGTCCCTGGTGCCTCAGCTTTAGGTCCAGTTCCCCAGAACCAGGGCCTTCCATGCAATGAGCCACTTCCGGCGTGGGAGGCTGCCAGCCCCAGCCACATGCTGCCGGGCGGTGCTTGCCCTGCCCTCCTACGGCCTGGGGCCAGCTCCTCGAGGCGCCTGGGAAGGGCTTCTGGAGCTGCGTTGGGAGCCTCCTGTGCGGGGGGCTCCCATCCCCAGAGCCCACCCCACCAGGGACACCTTTGTGTGTCAGGATGGCCCTGCAGGGGGCCCCAAAGTACTTTGGCTCATCCCCTACCTCAAAACCACCCACGGAAGAGACTGGGTGGGCATCTGGGACCTAAAAGGCAAAGAGGAAGGAAAGTCAGGAGGCCAGGAGCGTGGGGCAGGTGCTCCCAGGGCCGGGGTGGGGGCGGGGCTCCATGAAGAGCATCCACGGTGAGGCTGGGGAGGCTAGTGAGGCTGGCGACCCAGGGAGCGGGAGTTGTGTACCCCCAGGCAAGGAGACCAGTGGGGCCCCATGAGCCTCCCCCATCGCCTCTGGCCCTGAGGCCTCCCTGGAAGCAAGAGCCCTCCAATTCTTGTGGTAAGGAAGAGAGACCTAGCCCCTACCTGGAGCTGGGACAGCTGCTGGGGCCCATCTGCTTGTTCCACCCCTCTGCCCCATAAGGAACCCCCAAATTGTCCGGCCTGAACTCCCAGACCCTGTGGAGGGCCTGTTACCTGGACGAGAAGAAGAGCCAGAGGCCCCGGTGGCCCCACTGCCCCCCAACTGGATGGACTGAGGCCCCCCTTTGTCACATCACCACCACTGTCAGCACCAGTCCCCTCAGTGGGCCAGCTGGACTCTGGCCTTAGCAGATTTATTCGAGATCAAATGCTGGACCCAGTGGTAAGGTGGGCAGTGGGCCCAGGGCCCATGGGGGCATCCGGGGGTCTGTGCTCACATACGGCAGGCAGCAAAGAATGCGGTGGGCCCGGGCAGGGCGTGATCTCAACCGCATCTCAACAGGTCCCTTACCGGGCAGGGAGGGCCAGGGAGGGGAGAGGGGGAGAAGTTAGAGGAAGGGAGGGGGAAGGAGAGCAGAAAAGAGAGGAGGTGAGAGGGCTGTACCCGAAAGGGTTCTCAGGCACCAGTGGGGGAGCTCCCATGAGCAGGAAGGTGAGGTTCTTGGAGCTGAGGTCCTGGTGGTCTTCCTTGGAGGGAGGTGTCCTCCCCTGGGAGACTTTATAAGGGGCAAGGAGCCCCAAAAGGCCAGAAAGGTGGGCAGCTCCCGACTGGACCCAGGATGAGAGGGAGAGGGCCCTCTGGTGCTGCAGGTCCCCACCCACCTCCCGTTCCCTGCAGGGTCCACACCAGGGGAGGTGGCCTTGGGCTGGGGGCCAGCAAAGGGGCGGAGAGGGCAGAATCCCCACCTACGCTCCATGCACACCTAGAGAGCCACATGTGGGTGGCATCAGGCTCTGGGTTGATTTTGGCGGAAGAGCACATGGGGTGGGTGGGGAAGGGGCCCCAAACCACCCGCGGAGCCTGAGTCCCACTGGGAGGCTAGTCGCAGAGCCTACCTGCTCCACAGGACATTTGCCACACAGACAGACTTCTTGGTTTTAGTTGTCGCTGGAAAGGCGGGCGAGGCTGTCGGTTTCCCGTGGGCTGGCGGCCTGTGAAGCAGCAGGGTGGGCGTCTTCACAGGATGGACAAGCCGGAGCCCTGCCTTACGTGTGCGCTTCTGGTTGGGGTGCCCGGCAGCTCGAGGTCCTCCTGTTCATGCTGCCTCGATGTGCGCCTGCACCGCCTCTGTGAACGCAGGCCGGAGGCCTTGGGGTGTGGGAGGGTGTTTGGAACCTGCTGGTGGTTTCCTTTTAACGCACACCGTCTAAGACATCACCACTGTGTTTGGATGAGCCTTTCGGGCCTCGGGGGCAGCTGCTGGGTCTCCAGACCAACACGTAAATGTGACACCAAGTCCCTTTTCCACTTCAAGTAACTCTGTGCTTTCTGAGTACAAACCACCCTCCACTGTTAATCGTCTCTGAGCTTTTGCTTGACGAGGCTTCTGTCCTTTCTACCTTCGGTTCATACCAGTGTATCCATCCCCATGTACTCCCCCCACCCAAATATTTGAAGTCATGTAAACTATAAACACATACAAAAAACAGTAATAAATAAAGCTAGAAAGACAAATCAGAGCTATATAGGTGGTGGTAACGTCCACCCTGAATGTGAAGTTACGTAGGTAAGAAAATTGAGCACTGAATCAGCTCTGAGAGTCCTGGCAGCAAAGGTGGAGAGAGTGTACGCGAGAGATCTTGTTGCCGGAGAAAAGGAGTCCCGCTGATTGGCCTTGAGACATCAAATATTGGTCCCCCTTTGGAAGGAGCTGCTTCGTGTGTCCGTGATAGAAAAGCAAGGCACGGCGGCTGGAGGAGGCGACAGGCCTCCCCACGAACCAGGCGCAGGGAGCGGTGGGAGCCGGCGGGCAGGGCTTGCTCTCTCCATGGTGTTGGTTTCAGGTTTGGGTTTTTTTCCCCCTCTCACAAGGCTGAAATTTGGGTGCGAGTGTTACTCTTCGCAAACATTCTGAGAATAAACACGGTTGTTCAAAGGTCAGTTTGAGCAACACCTTTCACTCACTTCCCTCTCTAGAAAGATCTGGTCTGTACGACTGAGCTCCGGGGAGAGCTCTGGGGTCAGCTGTGTTCAGGCAATACCAGGGAAAGGAGGGCGAGGCAGTTCCACAGTGTTGGGTCACCTGTGCCTTCCACAGACGAACCTGTACCCCAGTCCTCCACGGGGGACACTCACACTCGTGGACCGAGCCTTTCTCCTCTGAGTGCACTCGCTCCCACGGGTGCCTCGTGGGAGAGGTGTGCCCAGTGGAAGGGGCCTCGTGACAGATGGCCTGGTTTTAAGTCCCGACTGGATCATTTCCCGACCGTGTCACCAGGGGCAAGTCGCTCCATTTCTCCAAGCGTCGCTTTCTCCCTCCGCCCGTGGGCCTGGCCGTAACAGTACCTGATGGAAGGGCGCTGCAGTGACCCAGTGCCACTGGGGGACGTGTTTTGTCAGAGTGTGCCCTGCACGGAAGGGCTGCGACTACCACCTGGCTGAGGGCGTACCAACAGCACGAGTCAGTCACCGCCTGCCACGAGGTGAGGAGACTCGGCAGGCACTAGGGCTCGGGGCCGAGCAGGTCCTTGGACACGGGGGTGCTGGGCAGCGACTTCAGGTACTCCAGGTGCCTCCTGGCATCCTCCTGGTTCTGGCGCACGTAGTACACGACGTAGGTGATCACCATGGCGAACCAGCCGAACATGGTGACCAGCATGGCCACATCGGTGGTCTTGTGGTGGGTGCTGCAGAAGCTGACGCCGGCGTCAAGGGCCTGGATCAGCGGCTTCCCCACGTACTCCTCCTGCACTGAGGTGTGGCAGGCGATCTCGTCCACCGAGTCGGGGTCCAGCTTCAGCTCCCACAGGGCCTCCTGCAGGGCACACTCGCAGTGCAGGGGGTTGTGGGACAGGCGGATCTTGGCACTGAGCCTGCCCAGGGCGTCCTTGGGAATTCTGCGGATGCGATTGTGGGACAGGTCCAGCAGCCGCAGGCCCCCAGCCAGGCCGGAGAAGGCGGCGGGCCCGACGGTCTCGATGGCGTTCCGGGACAGGTCCAGCTCTCTCAGCTGGCTCAGGTGCTGGAAGGCTCCGTCGGGGACGCGGGCAATTTTGTTGGCATCGAGCTTCAGGAGCACAGCGTTGGCGGGGATGTCCTTGGGGACCTCCTGCAGGCCGCTCTCGCTGCAGTGGACGGCCACTGCCCCTTCGTGGTCAGGGCACTCGCAGCTCTGCGGACAGGAGGTGCCCAGGCGCAGGCAGAAGAGGAGGAGGAGGCAAGTCCCTCCCGTGGGGGCTGGCACGGATGAGGGGCTCTGTTTGCCCACAGGGCCCATGCTGCCCCTGGGGGAGATGGCGCACTCGTCTGGCTCAGTGCCGTGGGTGTACCCTCTTCCCCACTCCCCTGGCCGCTGCTGTACCAGTGACCATCTGACGTGGACATAAACTCCTGTTCCTCACCTGCCAGGAAAAAACAGTGGTCTCTTTCAGGCATTGTCCCTGGTGGCTCAGCTGGGACCCGGGGCACGCTTTGACTTTTGGGAGATATGCAAACTGAAGCCTCTGGCCCATGGGGGGAGGGGGTCTCTGGAACTTATTTCTGGGCACTCCCAACGCCACCAGAAGCGCAAGGGCAGGTCTGCCCACCACTGGCTAGGGGGAGGCACCCATCAAAACGGTGCTGCCACCCTGCGGCCTACCCGGGACACACCCTCTACACACCTGGAACCAGGGGCCTGGACGGCGCTGAGGGATGACAGCCCGGGGTCTCCCCCGCCTCCAGCCCCTCAGGGCCAGGGATGAGGAAGACTGAAGGCAGCCCGCCCCCACACCCGGAATCGGCAACCACTGGGAACCAGCAGGGCGCCCATTGCTCCCAGCCAGGCTGCGGTAGGAAGTTTAGCACTTTGCTAATTTTAACAATCCTTAAAAATTATTATAATAAATAAAGCTCTTCTCTGTCGGCCCTAATAGGAACGCTACCTAGCACCTGCCCCAGGGTCAGCTCCTTTTCTTTCAATAATGCTTGAAAAGGAAGGAAAATGAGAAGAGAGAAAAGCCAAGCCCAGGGCGAGCGCTGCACTGAGGCGCGGAGTGGTGGGGCTGAGCGGGGCCTGGGTGGCTGGGCTCGGACCCGGGACCCCGGAGCGGGCAATAGATAGGGGTGCGGCGTCCACACTCCCGGGAGGGGCGGGGGATTTACCTGAGCGGCCGCGTCCTGAGGCTGCTCTGTGCCAGACTCTCCGCCGCTTGGAGCCCGACCGAGCGCCACACCCGGGCGCGGCGGCGACCCCGAGGCTCGTTCCCACGTCCGCCGCGGCTTTGACACGCGCTGCTCGGCCGCGATCTGAGGGATCCGGGGAGGGGGGCTGGGGGGCGGGGCGGGGCCAGGACGACGCGGGAGTGGAAGCGAGGGGTGGAGCCTGGGGCAGGACTGTAGAGGCAGGACCGAGCGGGGGTGGGGGGCGGGGGGTGAGGGGGGGCCTGGGGTGTACCCAGTGGGAAGAGTGGGTCGAATTGGGGGTGGATCTTCTGGTGGGTGTGTCTCAGGGACTGTGGGAGGGGCTGTGGGGACACAGAGCCCCGCCCCGCCCGGGTCTCCCGGGTTTCACGCGGTGGGGCGAGTCCCCTCCCGACGCTGGTACTTGGAGACCCTCGGATCAGCCTGAAGCCCATGCGGTGCGCTCTTCTTTCTGTGTGTCCCTCGCAGGCCTGATGCCAGCGGCCCCCAAAACTGGTTAGTGGGGTTAGGCCTCTGCTCACTTGAGTCCCCTCCTGCCCCAGGACCCTTACTCCACCCCCTCCACCTCCCACCCTCTGCGACTCAGGCTGGTGCACTTGGTGGGCCTGGAGGAGGGTAGGGAATGTGGAGGCGGGGCAATTTGAGCTAGGCCTCAGCCATCCTAGACCTTTTAAAAGCAGCTTTATTGTAGTGTAATTGATATACAAGAAACCACATATTTAAATTTGATACCTTTCGACATTCATATAGGCTCCTGAAACCATCACCATAATTCACTCCGTACATACCCGGTGCCTCCCCCGCCACCTGGGCACCCCCTCCGGACCCCCACCGCCTGGCAAGCACTGATCTGTCACTGTAGATCAGCGGGCATTTCTTATCATTTATGTAGGTGGAATCACAGGTGTGTACCTTTTTGCCTTACTTCTTTCATTCAGCATAATTACTTTGAGTTCCCCAGTGCTGACGTGTTTATCGAGTTTTCCCTTTTAGTGCTGACTCATCAGCCCTCCTAGCTCCAGTTGGCATATCCGTTCGCAGGTTCATGGCCATTTGGTTTGTTTGCAGTTGTTGCCTATTCCAGATACAGTGACCCAAACATTGTGTGCTACCTTTGTTTGGACAAACACTCATTTCTCTCGGGTACATATGGAGGAGTGGAATGACTGGGTGGCATGCAGCGGTATGTTTAACCTGGAGGAAGCTGACGGAATGATTGCATGACCTTCCAGCACCAGCACCGGCACGGCCACCCTTTTTAATGTTAGGCATTCTAACAGGTGCGCAGTGGCATCTCGGTGCGGTTTTAATCTGTACTTCCCCGGCGACCCACGATGGTGACATCCTTTCCTCTCCTTACCGGCCATCTCCTTTACCGAAGTGTTCTGTTCCGATTTGTCCCCACCTTTGGTTGTTTCCTCACTGTTACCTTTCGAGAGCTCTTTATACGTTCTGGATACGAGTCTTGCATCGGACACGTGATGTGTCAATCTTTTCTGTGAGTCTGTGGATCTTTTCAAAGGGAAGTTTTTACTTTTGACAGAGTCTAATTGATCAAGTTTTCTTATGCAGATCATGCTGTTTGTGTCAAGTATAAGACATCTTTGCCTAACTGAAGTTACATGGGCTTTTATAGTTTAGCTTTTATAGTTTTATAATTTATATATATATATATAAATTACATATATATAAAACTATAGTTTTATAGTTTAGCTTCTGCACGTGGGTTTGTTATCCAGCTTGAACTAGTTTTGGTGTATGGTAGGAAATACACTTCCAAGTTTATTTTTTGTGCCAGAGTGCCAGGACTGTTTGTTGAAGAAATTATTCTTTCACTAGTGAATTACCTCTGCACCTTTGTTGAAAATCAGTGGTCCATATATGTATGAGTCTATTTCTCTACCCTCTCTGTTCAATCGGTCTATTTGCCAACTTTATGCAAATGCTCCAAGCTGTCTTTATTGCTTGAGCTTTATAATAAATCTTCAAATTAGGAGGTGTTTAATATAAATTGCCCAAATGTGTCCTTTCATAAAATGTCTTTAGTCATCCAAGATCCTTTGCATTTCCTCGTGAATTTTAGAACCAGCTCGTCAACTTCTACCAAAAAAGCCTAGTGAGATTTCATCTGGGCTGGAGTCAAATCTGTACAGTGCTGGCGGTGGGTTTTTTGCAGCTGCCTTCACAGTCTGGGGAGTGTCCTTCTGTTACTTGTTTGCTGAGAGCTTCTATTAGTCATGGATGTTGAACTTTAAGAGAATTAACATCTTGACAATATTGGGTTTCCAATTCATGAACATGGTATATCTTTTCATTTACTAAGAATTTCTTTTATTTCTTCCATCTGGGTTTTGTAGTTTCTGGCTTACACATCTTGCACACTCTTCGTCAGCTTTATCTCTGATATTTTATTTACTATAAATACCATTTAAAAAATTCTGGTTTTTAATTGCTAATATGTAGAAACAAAGTTGATTTTTATATTCTGATCCTAACTTTGCTAAATTCACTTATTCCAGTAACTTTTTAATAGGTACCTGAGGATTTTTCTATATATACAATCATGTTCTCTGTAAATAAAAAAATTATGACTTCTTTCTCTCCAGTGTGGATGTATTTTAAATTCATTTTCATGCCCAACTGCATTGGCTAGAGACTCTAGTTTAATACTGACTGTGAGTGGGAGCAGATACTTTTGTTCCTGATCTCAGGGGGAAGCGCTCAGTCTTCCACCATTAAGAACAATGCTGGCGGTGGGTTTTTCACACCTGCCCTTCACAGTGTGAGGAAGTGCCCTTCGGTTACTTGTTTACTGAGAATTTCTGTTAGAAATGGGTGTTGGACTTTGTGAAATGTTTTCTGCATCTATTAAAAATCTTTTTAAAAAAATATGTTAATATGATGGATTATACTGATTGATTTTCAAGTGTTAAGTCAACCTTCTGTCCTTGGGATAAAGTACAACAAACCTTTGTCTAACTCAAAGTCACGTGCTCTTATTTTATATGTTGTTTACTTATTTAATAGAGATGGAGATTCTGAGGTTATTTGTTCTCCTTGATGGAATAGTGATAGTTTGTCCATTTATCTAAGTTGTTGAATTTATCAGCATAAAGTTGTTTGTAATATTCTATTATTAATCTTTCATTATAGAGTAATGTCACCTTTCTCATTCCTGACGTTGGTAGTTTGTGTTTTCCCTCTTTTACTGATTAGGTTGGGAGTTTGTCAATTTTATTGATAGTCTCAAAGAGCAAGTTTTTGGTTACATTGATTCCTCTACTGTTTTCCCTTTCTTATATGTTTCCACTCTGACCTGTATTCTTTCTTTTGCTTACATTGGGTTTAATTTTCTCTTCTTTTCCCGATTTCTTATGGTGGAAGCTAAGTCACTAATTTGAGACCTTCGTCTTTGTTATAAGCTATGAATTTCCCTCTATGTCAGGCCTTAGATGCATCCCAGAAATTCTGATATGTTGTATTTTCATGTTCATTAAGTTAAAAATATTTTCTAATTTGCCTTTTGATATATTTTTGGTCCATTCATTTAGAAGTGTGTTATTTCGTTTTCAGATATGTGGCTATTTTCCAGAGATCTTTCTGGTTTTGATTATTAATTTAAATCTATTGTTGTCAGAGAACATGCTCTGTATGCTTTGGACCCTTTTAAATTTGTCCAGACTGATGTTATGTCCCAGAATATGGCCTGTGTTAATAATTGGTGTGTGTACACTTAAATGTGAGCTGTATTGTTACTCAGTGGAATGTCGATGAGGTCATGTCTGCAGAGTGTTCTTATTATGACTGACCTTCTGTCCACTTGCTCTATTAATTACTGAGAAAGGGATGTTGAAGCCTCTGATTATGATTGTAGATGATCTCTTTCTCCTTGCAGTTCTGTTTTTGCTTCGTGCATTTTGAAACCTATATTCAGATTGTGTCCTCTTGATTAAGTGGCCACTTTATCATTGTGAAATGACCCTTCTTATCCCCAGATTCTTTGTTTTGAACTCTGCTCTGACACTGACAGCCAATCCATCTGTCTTTGCATTGAGTTAGCATTGGCTAGGCCTGGCTGGCATAGCTCAATGGATTGAGCACAGGTCTGAGAACCAGGAGGTCACTGGTTTGGTTCCTAGTTAGGGCACATGTCTGGGTTGCAGGCCAGGTCCCTGGTGTGCAGTACACGGGAGGCAACCACACCTTGGTGTTGCTCTCCCTCTCTTTCTCCTTCCCTTCCCCTCTCTCTAAAAATAAATAACAAAATCTTTTTTAAAAAGTTAGCATGGGCTACCTACTTTCATCCTTTTACTTTTAACCTCAAGCATCTTATGCTTAGTTTCCTTCGGATTTCTGTAGCTTCCAAGGAGCTTCCTTCATATACTGATTTACTGCAAAGGAGGAAATGATAATGACTTTGCAGTGAAGGAATCCAGCAGAAACCACCTTACTTCATGACCAAAGTTAATAACATCAGTGTAAGGCAGACAGACGTCACGTAGCCCTGGATGAGCCAATAGGCAGGCACCGCATCACTTTGGTGGTGTTCTTGCCCCAAAATGCACACAATCATGAGAACACGCCAGACACACTCAAATTGAAAGACCTTTATGAAGTGACCAATCAGTACACTCCAAAAAAGAAGAGGCTATAAAAGACAAGAAAAGCTTAAGTGAGTGTTATGGATTAGAAAAGACTGGGGAGAAATAACTTCATGCAGCATAGGACCCTGGAACAGACGAGGACAGCAGTGACACTGAAGAAGGTCAGTAGCGTGGCGACGTCCTGTGACGTCCTGCTTCGATGACTCGCGTTGAAGGGGTAACTGGTGGAGTCAGGCTGCGGTCTGTCTGCCTCGGTTTCTTCCCCACTCGTCCCCTGCCCTCTTCTCCTGACTTCCTTCGGACTGAATATTTTTGAGTCCATTTTCTCACCTTAGTTGTCTTCTCCTTTCTATCACTGTCCCTGTCATTTAGGTGTCACAGCGTCCGGCGGCCACTTCTGGTCGTGGTGCCTCACCAGGCCACCCTCGACCACTCGGATGTGGGGGATCGGATGTGGGGGAGCCCTGCTGCGCCTGCCACACCCCCCCCCGGGGCTGTGCTGGTGCCCTACGGCTTAGGTGCCTTAAACAGCCAACTACCTTTTATAAAGGATTTTCATTTATTCATTTTTAGAGAGAGGGAACCGAAGGGAGAAAAAGAGGGAGGGAAATATGGACCAGTTGTCTCTCATATGTGTCCAGATCAGGGACAGAACCTGTAACCCAGGCATGTGCTCCTATAGGGAATTGAACCGGCGACCATTTGTTTTGTGGAACGACGCCCAGGCAACCAACCATCTGGGCCACACCGTCAGGGCTGGCCAACTACCTTTTAAAGAGAATAAATAAAATACTGTGAGCCGTGACACCGTTAGTATGTTATTATTTGGGCGATTGAAAAGGTACCAAAGGGAGTTCCCAAATTATGGAATGTTTTTAATATTTAAATTAAACAAATTATGTGGTGAGTGGGAGGGGCCCAGCATTCAGAGCTCACAGTGTATGTTTCTGTTCATGACAAGTTCAAGAACAGGCCACACTCGGGAAGGTGGAGCATAGTCCGGGGGTGGGGCTCAATGCGGCTCCTGAGGCCAGGTGTTCCGAATCCCAATCTGCCTGCTGCTTGTTAACATCAGTAAAAATTCCATCAAGTCGCTCACACTGAAAATGTGTGCAGCGATGAACAGGTGCTTCTGACTGTGTGCCCCTGACCAAACAAGGGGCATGGCAGCTTCACGGGGGGCTCCACGTGTCAATGATGTGCGCATTGATGACTGGGTGCGTCAATCAATTCCAGGTGCTCGTGAAAAGCCGCATGTTGAGCTGTCCTCCCGCTCTGGCCACCAGCCAGGCCCAGGCTGCAGGGCCCTGTGCGAGCCGGGCTCACTGTCCACTCCAGACCACAAGCCAGTGTTCCTGGACACACCAGAACCCTTCTAATGCCATCCTAGCCACATGGTCTGCCCACTGGGTCGCCCTTCAGACTGTAATTGCACTCTGAGCTGATTATCTTGCCCATTTATCCACCAGGAGTCCAGGCTTCGTGGCCCTAGGAATTGAATGCAGCACTGCAGCTGGTTAATTGCCTGTCCATCGGGGAGGATGTTTTGCTGGGTGAGGCCAGAGTGCTTCTCTCTGGGGAGGTGTGAGGAGGAGCCAAGCCTGCAGCAGCGCCAGGGCCGATGAAGTCAGGCGGATGAACAGAACATTCCGGTGAGGTCCAGACACCGCCCCCTCCCCCCACACACACACAGACTGAACAGTGGCCTGGGTGGGCCCTTCTTCGGGCCATCACCAGCTGTCTAGGTGTGTGCTGGCTGCCCGCTCTCCTGCCCTGCCCTGCCACTGTGCCTGACTCAGCCCTCTGCTGCCCCAGCCTCCACACTGACCCCACCTGCCCATGGGGACCCTCAGATGAAACCCCAGGCCTGTCGGACATTGCTGAGGGCAGCCAGCTCTCAGGCAGGGCAGGAGCAGGACGAGGGCAGCTGGCGGGGAGCCCACTGTTGTGTGGGAGCTGAAAAGGCAGCCGTGGGGCACCCCACACTGGGCAAAGAACCTTCGTGGATGGAGTGCCTTGGGCAAAATTGTCCCCAGCAGCTTTGGCCATGATGAACCTTCCCTTACATGCGAAGAATTCCCAGATCTCTCTGAACTCCTGGGTCTCCTGGAGTTCTTGGTTCTCTCTGCCTGCTCTTGAATACGCAGATGGGAGAACCAAAAAGAAGAGCAGCAGTGGTTCCCATTCCTGGCTTCCCAAGAGCACCGGGCCGAGGAGCAGCGGCCCTCTGCTTGCACCCAGGCCCCTTCAGAACCAAACTGCTGCTCTCCCGGGTGCGAGTTTCCCCACAGAGAGCGAGAGCTGCCTTCACTTCCTCTAGTATTTCTCTGGGAGGTTTCCAGGCCCGTCGCCATGGGCTCGCCCTACGTACACACACGCTCACACGTACGTGCACATACAGGCACCCACAGCGCTCACTCCTTACTTTTGATCCAAGTGGTCTATGCTTTATCAATTTTGTTGCTCTTTCTCAAGAACTGTTTTTTAAAAAATGCTGATTCTTTATTTTCTTTTATTAAATTCTGCCTTAGCTCCTGAATTTATGTTGTAACTCAGAGGCGGCAAACACAAGGCCCGTGGGCCGAATCCGGCCCTCCACCTTGTTTTATCCAGCCCAGCAGCTTGTTTCTGTCCCAGCAGCAGTGCCAAGCTCTCGCTTAACTGTTAAGTAGTAGTTACATTTATACAGGCCTACAGTTACATCCGGCCCTTTGAAGGCAACTGTAAGGCTGATGTGGCCCCCGTGAAGATGTGTTTAACACCCCTGTTGTAGCTGGTTTTTGAGCTTCTGGAACCGTAACTTCAGACACTTTGCTGTCAGTCTTCTGATTTTTGAATAGCCCTATGAAGTTGTAGATGTTTCTCTCCAGACTCTCCAGCCACAGCCTGCAGGTGGTGACACAGGACCCGCTCGCCGCCTCGCTGCTGGTTTTGCTCCCAACAAAGGTGCCCGTGGCAGGGTGTGGGAGGGTGGTCCCCACAGGGCATGGCACCCCACTGGCTTTCCATGGACCACCCTGCTCACGGCCCTTGTTTGCCTTGGTCCCTGGGCAACTGGGAGTGACTGTGGGACCAGGTGTTACCAGCACCTGCTGTCCCGATAGAGGCACCGCCACTACTCTCTGGGGCTCTTGCCTGTGACGGGCAGCTTCGAGGCTAACAAAGAGGGCAGAGGGCAGAGGGCAGAGGGCAGAGGGCTGCATTGCCCAGCAGTGCCCCGTCTCTCCTTCCACACTGGTCAGGTGACTAGTCACTCTCTGTCTCAAGTGGACCAAGAGGACGCAGTCACCTGATACCACTAATGTGTTTTCTGTTCTCTTCTGCTGTGTGTCCGTGTGCTGATGCCACTCTTCCAACAGTGTGGCCAGCGTGTGGCCTGGGGGACAGGCTGCCTGTGGGGAGTTGCTGAGGTGCCCTGGCTTGTGGGATGGGCGCTCAGGTTTTGTGAATGTCCCTCCCGTGTGTGTCTGAGAACCAGGTGTCCCCCCGGGCCTGCTTGTTGTGGGGGTGGGTGCAGAATCACATACTCACACAGAGAGTACACGTGTGCAACACAGAGGTTTATGTGTGTGTCGTGCCTGGATTTGTATGTTGTACAATTTATTGTACAAATATAAATATATGTTATATATTATACATATAATTTATATATAAATGTGCAGGTTATACATAATTTATATGTAACATATAATATGTATTTATATGCAAACACACATATACACATATAGAAAAGTGTGCATATACACCTACCACACAAATACACGTAGCGTGACCTTTGTCACATTAAACAGCATTATTCAAATTCTGTGCTATTTTCATTTCTTCTTTTGTTTTTTAATTTTTAACTTTTATTGTATTTTTGCATTACCATTTATCCCCCTCACACCCCCTCCCCCAGAGAAATGCCCACATCATTGCCCACGCCCCTGAGTCCTTTTCGTTTTTGCTCAGTCCCTCCACCTCCTTTTGCTTCTTGACTCCTTGATTTCTGAGAGCAGATTACTGTGACTCCATTGGTTTCTCCTTGACTTTCTATCAGTTTCGCTTCATGTATTTAAAAACCTATGCTGTTAGGTGGATAGTGGTGCCCAAAAGGGGTGTCTTCTTCGTGAATTCACACCTTTACCAAATATCCTCTGTCCTTAAAAGACCGGGTTCGAGCCCTGAGCCCTGCTGGCCGGTGGCACGTCCACACACCTTTCATCCTGGAAGTATCTGCCCGGCGGGCCTGCCCCGTGTTGTCAGCAGTCGGCTTTCATTTCTGGTCACGGAGGAGCAATGGTGAACACGGGAGTTCGCGGTGTCGTTTGTATCTTAATATGAGAATCACGGTTGCTGTGAGTCACCGTCTCCAACCTGCTGGGACTCTCCTGTAGCTTTGTTTTCATGCCACGTTCACCGTCCTGTGTTGCAGTTTTCTCCCCCTGATTTTGTCTCTGTTCTTCGCTTTGGCCCTGGGAGGCTGCAGTCAGGCCTCCGCTTCTGTCTTCACGGCTGCCCAGACCTGCAGGGCACCTCGTTTCCTGCCGGCTGCCCCCACCCCAGCCCCCCGGTCCATGACCTTCCCCACGCTGGACCCCAAGGCATGTGAATGACCCCTGGCCCTGAGAGGCCTGCCGGGTCGTCCTTCTGAGCTGCTGTTACATTTCCTTTTTCTATTGTGCCTCAACAGTGGTACCGCTTAGCCTCCATGTGAGTGGTTCCTTTGCTGAACACGGAGCTCGCTCTGTACACGTGTGCACGCATGCACGCGCCGAATGTCTGTGTCCCTCCCACAGGACGCCTGTGCTGAATCCCCGGCTCCCAGTGTGGCTGTGTCTGAGCTGGGCCCTCTAAGGAGGCAACTGCCATTAAATGAGGTCCTGAGAGAAGCCCTGAGGTGACAGGAGTGGTGTCCTTAGGAGAGGGGAGCACACCGAGGACAGGCCACCTGAGGACACGGGGACAGAGGCCTGGCCAGACACCAGCCCTGCTAGCAGCCTGGCCTGGACGCCCGGCTTCCAGGACTGTGAGAGAGTTAACGTCTGTGGTCAGTGTGTTTGGGTTTCCATAATTCGTCTCTGTGAGAGTCTTTCAGAAAGGACATGTGAGTGACATGTTTCCTGTGTCACTACAAGTCTAAAATGTCTTTATTTGGTGCTGCTGCTTGAGCTCTGGTTTGGCTGGGTTTATGAAGCCAGATTTAAAAACGCAAGGCCCCACGGTGCCTGAGTGAGTGCCTGCAATGTTGGGGGAGCCAGGCCGAGGGCCCCAGGATGCCGAGTCATAGCTTGGGGGGTGCTCATGGGAGAATGAAGAAGAGGGAGCGGGCCCTGATGGGTGTGGCTCAGTGGGTTGGGCATCATCCTGCAAAGTGAAAGGTCGCCAGTTCGATTCCCGGTCAGGGCAGGTGCCTGGTTTGGAGGCCAGGTCTCCGATTTGAGGTGTGCTAGAGGCAAGCAACTGATGTTTCTCTCCCTTTCTTTTTCCCTCCCTTCCCCTCTCTCTGAAAATAAATAAAATCTTTAAAATAAAGAAGAAGAGGGAGTGGGGGGGTGGGGGAGGATCGTGAATTTGGACCTGAAGGTCCTGCAAAGTGTCTGAGGGCAGCAGCCACAGGAGACGTCCTCGGGCCATGGGAAGCCGGGCTGTGGGTTGGTGGAGGGTTTGGCGGCCCTGACACAGCCCCTGACCGCTGCACATCTGTAGCTTTATTTGCAGGACGCACAGAAGAGCTGGCCAGGTAGTATGGGACAGCAAATTTAATGTCAGGTTCAACAATATTCCCGGTCCTGATGGTTTATGCTGATGGGTTGTGACTTGTGACTCTAAATGGGGTACCCCCAGATCCGTGCCGACTGCCCACACCTCCCTGTACTCACAGAGAGCAGATGGAGGGAGAGCCATCTGCCTGGGTCCCCGGGCCATGCACAGGCAGGCACCCTCCACATCTCTGGGGAAGGCCTGTCCTCACCAGCTTCCTGCCCTTGCTTAGCCCTAACAGGGATCTGGACTGTGAACTGGGGTTCCACATTGTCTGCCTCAGGCCAGGCAAAGGTCTGAGTCAGGTCATAGTGGAGGCATAGGCCTGAGGAGGAGGCCACAGGCGACCTCCAACTCTCCAAAGGACAGAGGCCTTGGGCCGATGCTCCTCTGGTCAGGGACGCGCTGCTCATGTCCAAGGCCGAGGCTGCCAGGAGGCTCCAGACCCCAGCTGGCCGCCTGCCTGCTGGGGAGAGGCAGTGATGGCTGGCAGGGTCCCAGTGGCCACCACAACCCTGAGGAAGTGTCAGAGGACTAGAGCCAGTCTGTCCCCTGCCTCGGCTCCCTTCTCCGGGCACCTTGCCACCACCTTCTGTTCATGAACTTGTCTGGCAGGCAACTCGAGTTGGCTGTGAGGAGTAGTGGATTCCCAAACCATATCATACCAGGCCCCTCGTCTGCCCGAGGTCCCCGGCTGTGTCCTGTGCAGCCTAAGTCTCCGAGGGGCTGGGGTTGGACCCGCCTTGCCTGTGCCCACGGGTCAGTAGTAAGCCCCGAACAGAGCAGCCACCTTCTGGAGGACAGCCTTGTGGTTGGCGTACAGTGGGATGCGCTTGTCCACGACCTGCCACCGGATGGACATCCCTGGGTCACTGGTGTGCAGGTGCTGCAAGGAAAAAGGCACGAGCTGCTGCTTCCGCCCAGACCCCTAGAACATTGCCACACCCTCCCGTCTCCAGGCCTTGCTATGGGTCTTGCCTGGGCTTTTATCACAAGGGAGCAAAATTACTTTGGGTCCAGCTCAGAAAACACCTACAGAGCCCTGGACATCCTCCAGTGGGAACAGGGCAGCCTCCTTAGTCCAAGGTGTTCTGTCCTGCAAATAACGCCCTGGGTTTGTTCTCTAGGACCTCGTGGACCCAGTTCTGAAGTAGGGACATGCAAGATCGAGCTAAGTTCAGGGGACAGTGTCCCACAGAGGTGTACAAACTGGCCTACCCTGATGCAAGCCGCGGGCCCCAGGAGGACCCCATCTCAGGGTCCCTGGCCATCTCTGGCCCTGGTCCAGCAGCCCAGCAGGCCCCTCCTACCAGGCTCTGCATCGCCCCCTCCCTGGAGCCTGCGCCTGGAGCCCCGCCCTTACAGAGTTCAGACGCTTCAGCTCCACGCTGCTCTGGTCTGGGAAGTGGATGCTGATGGCCACCGTCTCGATCCAGGCATTGTCCGTGTTCCGAGGGTCATCCACGTAGCCTTTGTACACCTGGGAGGTGGCGCAGGGTGAGCTGGGCCGGCCCACGCAATGGACCCTGAGCCCTGTTGGCTTCCTTACAGAGAGAGGGACGTCACTGTCCCTAAGCTCTGTCTGCTCGTGGATACTCTGAGCACAGCTGCCCACGGCACCCAAGTCCGTGGCCTGGCTCTCTCCCTGTCTGGGGCCCCAAGAGCTCACTCAACTTCCTCTGGCCTCTGCCTGACATCAGGACCTGCCTTGACTGTCCTGGAAGGATTAAAAATGACCGTGGGCCTTGAAAACATCACAGTAAATGAGTCACCCAACACCAAAGGCCACATGCTGTGTGACCCAGTTAACAGAAATGTCCAGAACAGGCAGATGCAGAGACAGGATGCAGACTAGTGGTGCAGATGCCGGGGGAGGGGAGGACGTGACTGCTGATGGGGGGCAGGGGCTCCTTTGGGGGGTGGAAATGCGGTGGAGTCAGACAGAGGCGATAGCCACACAGCATTGTCAGTGTGCTCCCTGGGTGCCACCAACTGTCGCTTTGAAATAGCTGACTTTATGCTGTTGGATGTCAGCACCATAAGTCAGCTAATTCGTTCACAGAGCAAGGGAGAGGAAGACGGCAGTGCCCCAGGGCACAAACCGTGGCACGTGGGACAAGCCGCGTAGACCCGCAGGGTTTGCAGGTCAAAGCCGTAAGTAGCAGCAATCGCCTGTTTCACCCTGACGAGCGGCAGAACCAGGACTGGCCACAACAGAGAGGCCACCTAGAGGACTGTTGGAACAAGTCATGGCACAAAGTCCAAGTAGGCTACAACACATTACGTAGTTGTGAAAAAGAGCTGGGAGATTTGTACATACAGACCTAAAAATAGGCCGTCACCAGCGGAGTGGAGAGGCAAGGTCCAGAGAAATGAGACCTCCCGGCCCTCTGTCACTGAAGGCGTGGGTGCGTGCTCTGGTGTGGACACAAGGCTGGGGATGGAGCCTGCACAGGTGCGTGAGGAAGTGAACAGGTGCAGTGCCTGGTGGCACCTGGGTGTGTGTGTGTAAAGGTGGCTTCACTGTTCGCATTTACCTGGCTGCATTATGGATGCTCTGGCGAACACATACTGCTTTCGTGGCTGAGAAAGGATTCAGTAAAGCAAACTGACCTGACAAGTGTGTGAGGACCCGATTTCACGTCCCCAACAGGGCGTGGGGAAGCCAGGGGGCTGATGTGCCCAGATCCCTCTGCTCCGGGAGGCCCAGACACCAAGGGTCCCCCACGGGGCAGCTGTGCTCGGGGCACAGGGGAGCTTGGGGAGGAGAGGCCGCACCCCAGGCCTGCCCCCTGACTGAGAGAGAAGACACTCGGGACAGAAGGGGACGGCGGGGGACCCCGAGCCACGGCCCCGTGCTCTGGCCCCAGGGATTTCCTCCAGGAGCTCCGGGACGTGGGCTGGAGCAGGCTCCCGAGTCCCCCTGCTCATCCTGCAGCCCTCATCGCCAGAGCAACCACAGGGCTCAGGACACACAGAAAGGCCACCCTACCTCTGTGCCCTGTGTCAGCAGGCTCTCAAAGGACGGCCAGAACTCTTTCTGAAGGACCTGCTTCAGCTTGCGGGGCAGCACCTCTCCTGGTTCCCGGGAGCCCTGAGCAGAGGCGGAGGCGGAGGCGTCGGCCACCTTCCACTGGCCACCTGCCCAGCGTAGGCTGCCAGCCAGGCCCCTGGAGCCACAGGCCGGCCGGTGTCTGGCAGCCCGACTGTCTCGGAGCTGGAGTGACATTGCCCAGAGCCCACTGCCCACGTCAGCCTGCCTCACAGCCGGGGTGTGAGGCCAGAGGCACAGCCTCGGAGCGGGGCAGGCGGCTTGTACGGCAGCCGTACATGGTAGCTGGTGCCCTGACCTCCACCGCCCCGGCCATCGGGAGGGCTGTGTTTTTACTGCTTGTTTGCGTCCCTCAGATCTCTCAACTCTGCTCCGAGGCCACCTGCCCATGGACACGGCTCCTCCCCCCCGCCACCCATCTGGGGGTCCCTATTTGTTACCCAGAGTCCCTTATAGCCCACATCATGTCCGTCCTGCCTCGGCCGCCTTGGGGACACCCTGCCCCCACCCCCAGCTGTGGCGGCAGGGCCTGCGTGGACTCGGCGGACACCCCTCTGTGCCCAGTTCTCAGAGCTGGGCCCCCTCACTTGGGGGCCCTGGGGATCATGGCTGCAGAGGCCAGAGCTGCCCATCACCCTGGAGTCCATGCTGGGGCCTGAAGGCTGCGGCACTGCTCGGCTTTGCCACGGAGAAACAGGGACAGAGTCCACACTGTCTGGGGCAGAGGCCACAGGTGGGGGCTGCTCAGTCAGTGGGTGGGAAGGAAGGAGGACAAATGACCAAGGAGCAGACCGGTGGTCTGGCGGCTCACCCCTGGCAAGGCCCAGTGTTCTGAGAGGACATGCTTCACCACCAGCACTTCCAGCACTTTCTTTATGCTTCTCCGGCAGATGGCGCCATCCTGGTTCCGCCTCCACCTGCAGAGGGATCGGCGCTCACTCCCTCCCCAGGCTCTGTGTGGGCCCACCCCTGCCATCCGGGGCCTAGCCTGTCTCCTGTCCTGAGGCCTGACCTGCTCTAGCCTGGAGCCACCGGAGTGTCCTCCCCTGTCCCAGGACTGCTGGGAGGACTAGGACAGCCAGCCTTCGAGGGAATACTTTTTAGGGACCCGGCCAGTCCACATCTGTGAGTCTTGCATAGCTTCCATTTGTCCACGGCAGTGGGCCCAGGCTACTTAGTCCTTCCTTCCACAGGAGGGAGGGGGCGCCCAGGGAAGCGAGGGGAGCCTCTTCGGGGTGGGGGAACAGGCCCAGGCTTTCCCAGGGGGCAGGACACTCCTGCCTGTGTTTGGGGGTGTGTCATTGTACCCTGCCTGGAGGCTGCCACCGTGTACCAAATAAGAGCTGTCCTTGGGGCTCTCCGGGCATGTGGGGAGGGGCCCAGAAGTGCACCCCTAAGGGCAAGGGGGTGACTGCTTATCCTCACCCCTGGCGCACTCACCGGGTGACCACAGGCTGCAGCGTGTGGTTGGGTCCAAAGCAGCTGAGGCTCCCGCGGCCTCGCAGCCCTGTGCGGCCCATGGGGTTCCTGGAGAGGAAAGGGGTCGGCTCAGCCTGCCACCTGGCATCGGGAGAGCCGGTCCTCGGGGACCCAATGTGAGGTGGGGGGAGGGCAGGCGCTTCAGGTTTACCATGGGGGTGATTGGATAAGAAAAGGGTGTCTTTGGGAGCAAAAGTCTGGCCCCTCTGCAGATGCATTAGGTGTCAAAGTGGCCTTCCTGTCCCCCAGAGAGCACGGGGCTGACCCATTGGGCCACACGGCACATGTGTGAGGTGGGCAGGGTGGGTGGGGGTCAGGGCGGAGCACCCAGAGGCATCCAGTGGCTGTGGCCACAGACAAAGGAGTCACTAGCTTGGACCCCGCCTGGGGAGACCAGGTCCCAGCACAGGGGCTTGGCCCAGCTCCCCCAGCCCAGGACACTGACACGGAGACCAAGGTTTCCCACCGGGCAGGGCCGTCTCCTGCCCCCACATCAGAAATAACAAATCCTGGGCACTGGGTGGGGTCCTGTGCATTCTCCACTAGAACAGGAGCAGGAAATCCCTCCTCGTGTCTGACCACTCTCCCCAGCCCACGCGTCTGGCTCACCCTCTAGATGCTGGCGCACCTTTTCCAGAGCATTCCGCAGAGGCCCCCCACCGCCTCCTCCCTCAGGCCCCTTGCCCTGCCTGCTCCTGGGGACTCTCCACATCCCTGGCCATCTGTCATCGTCCACTGACCCTGAGAGTCCCCCAGCCCCTTCCTCCTCAGGCACCAGGAAGGGAGCCCCTTCACCTCAGGAGCCCCAGGCCGGGGCTGGCACGCAGCCAGGACCTGCTGCCCAGTTTGTGGAGAGGAAACCTGACCCCAGAAGCAAAACCATGAAGGACCCAGAGGGGGTCAGGCCAGGTGGATGGGCCTGGGGCCGCACTCACAGAGGGAGCCCGTCCCGAACCATGTAGCTGCCGTGGTAGCTCCGGCGGTCCGTGGGTCCGTCCACAGCATTGTAGGTGATCCTAGACAGAGGGTCCAGGGTGCTGGGAGCAGACAGGGGGTCAAGCCCAGATCAGAGAAGGTGGGGGCGGAGCCCAGCGATGCCCACACCTGGGCGAGGCAGAGGGCAGGAGGGCCCCTCACAGGGCAGCAGGTGCCCCCGGCCTCATGTTCCTTCCCCGAATCTCCCCAGCCTTCGGGGGCGGGGGGCAGACCAACCCGTCCTGCAGGAAGCAGGCCCACCCCCTAGGAGGACTCCTGGCAGTCACTCCGGAGCACCCGCTGGTCCCTCGCCCTCCCGCCCTGGTGCGTGAGAGAGGGGGAGGGGGGCCGAGGAGGAGCTCACTCACTTTCCCATGGGGTCCACCAAGTCCTTGTCCTTCCTGTCGGCCGAGTAGAAGGGCGGGTCATAGATGAGAAACTCTGTCTGCATGAAACAGTGGTCTCTCCTCAGGCTGTCCCCCGCCCAAAACTCAGACCCAGGCCCCCAATGACTGTGGGTGGCTGCTTCTCCTCCAAGCGCTCTCAGACTTGGCCCCCGGGACCACCCTCAAGGCACACACGCAGCTCCGAGTTGGGGCAGGTCCGAAGGACGTGCGGCATGGGGACCCAGGCCCCGGGGCTGGAGACAGAACTAGGTCTAGGGGACTCTCCCCAGGCCGGGCGGGCGTCTAAGCTGGACTTGAGAGGTGAGGGTCTGACTGCAGGGACTGGGGAGAAGGCGGCGGAGGTGACAGCCCGGAATGTTCCAGAAAGGCAGAGACAAAGCCCAGGGGGTTGGGGCGGATACCATTGTCTGTGTTTGCCTCACTCTCTCTCTGATGCTCACATTCACCTGGCACTCTGAAAAGGAGGCTGTGACCATGCACTGGGGCCCAGTGGGACCTGGGACAACGGGGCGACTGTCGGACTGGGTGGGGAAGTTGGCTCGCTGTGCAGATCAGAGGCCCACCAGGAGCCCAGGGCCAGGGCTCAGCGCCGCCCCCTCCGGCTGTGTAGACTCGCGTGCCTCGGTTTCCTCATCTGTCCCCCATGTCACTGTGAGGCTGCAGTGCGCTAACCCACCTCGGGGCCGGCTGTGTCAGCGGGTCTGGGGCAGGACAGCTTCCCCCAAGAGCAGCGGGCACCCCAGGCTGGCAAGGACGCGGCCAGGACAGGCACTCACCCCCCAGGGCACCTTCTCGTTGGGCACAGGGAAACGCACGACAGCGGCGTTGGGGTACAGGAGGTGCCGGGCGTTGATGTGGTGGGAGTCGCCTAGGTCCTCCACCTTCTGCCTGCTGTCCAGCTCGGGGTCCTGTCCCTCCAAGACCTTCTGGGATGCTGGGGACAGCCAGGAGAGTGTGGGCCAACGCAGCCGCATTTGGACACCTGGCCCACAGGACAGGGGTGCTCTACCGTCCCTTCCCCAAAACGGCTGCCTCGCCCGCTCCTAGCTCAGGTCAAACACCAGCCCCAGAGTCATCCTCCCAGGGGGTCCCTGGGTGGACAGAGGTCTGGGGTCCGGCAGCGTCCCCCCAGCCGGCACCCGCCTGCCTCTGCAGCTACCAGCGGGGCTCTTGGTAACCAGCTGGACTCATGGCCCTCAGGAAACCTGCTAATGAGAAAGGCCCCTCTGCTCCTTTAGAGCCACGAGTCCCCAGGAGGGTTCCTCATGCCCGGCTCCTGGCTGGTTACAAGTTCGGGAACAGGTCTGCTTTCTCCCACCCAGTCCATGTGGCTGGGTCTCAGGTGTCTCCTGGGGCTGCCCTCTTTACATCAAGATGCCCAGGAGGAGGAGGGCCCCTGGCCCGGCCAGACTTCCTCTTGGAAAGTCCCCAGCCTGGTCCAGTCGGAGGGGAACTCAGCCGCACTTGGCACTTGCGTGGCAGCCTTCCTCCTGGCCCAGCAACAGCCCCTGCTGGACCCCTGTCCTCCCCACAGGCCTCAGACTCAAAAGGACACAGTCCCCACTCACCCAGGGTGGGAGTTCCTTTTTCCGAGCCAAAGCCACCGTCTCTGAGGGCCTTCACAACCCAGTGCAATGCTCTGGTCGTCTGGGCCACCTGGAACAGACGTTTCAGACAGGGTTTTGTCCACGCCTGCCCACCCAGCAGGTCTACCCCTCTGGCCACCCGTTCCCCAGGCTGCCTCAGATCATGAGGGCCCTTCCGAGCGCCGTCGGCGAGTCCCACAGGCCCCTGCCAGGCTCCAGCACGGGGCCCCACGGCAGCAGCCGAGTCAGAGCGGTGCCAGTGTGTTCCTCAGACCAACCCTGGCACGGCCGCCTGGCAGTGCCGTGTGCGAGAGCTTCCCATCGGGAACAGGTGCCCTGACAGCGCCAGCTCCTTTCTCCACTGTATCCCAGGGTGCTCTTTGTCAAAGCCACCAATCCACAGACGGACCAGCCAGGCCCGTCACATCTGCACCCCAGAAACCCACCTGCTCCTCCAGGGAGGCCAATCTCTGCTCCGTGGAGCCCGAGCTCTTCAGACGGTCCATTTCCAGCAGGTCCACCATGGCGTCCACCCTGAAAGAGCACACAGCTGAGCCCAGCGGGCTGGCCTCGGGCCTGGACGGCAAGGAAACACGGGGCCGTCTTGCAGGTGGGCGGCCCCATCTGACCCAGCGGCCCAGGCTCCGTCAGCCTTGACTTCAGGCCCCTTCCTCTTAGTCAGAAAGTATCTTCAGTATGCGTTTCTGTGCAGACCAAACACAGCCTCGTGCCCGAGGTGGGGCTCTCTCGGCCAGCGGATGGCCCAGGCCCCCACCACCACTCTGACCGCCCACAGAGCATGCTGGGCAGGAGATGCGTGTGCGGTGCACACATACCTGAGCCTCTCACCTGGATTTGTCATGAGCTCGGGAACCTAAGTTACAAACAGCAAAGCTGTCCCTGGGCACTGCTGGGGTTTGTGAGGAGGGGTGGCAGAGCTGCCGTTTTGGGAAGGATCGCTTCGATTTTGTCTTATTTTGCTACAATGTGGACATTTCACCCAACTATGGCCAGCTATGTTTATGGGTAAAATAATTCCACGGCCCAGGATCCACCCAGACTCTCTCATCTGCGTACGGCCAAGTGTCTGTCTCCTGCCGTCTGTGGTGCCAACCGTGAGGCGGTTCTGTCACAACTGCGTTCACCACCGTTTCCGTAACCGCCGAGGGCTGGGCTGCAGCCCACATGGCGGTTATCTAGGAAACAGGAAGAACATCACTGCACGGAGGGCCCAGCAGAGAACTTTCACCTTCGCTACGTGTTGCTTAATTTCCCAAAAGCCACATGACTGCTCCGTGCCCAGTCTCCAGCCAGCCTGGTGAATGTGCTGCTTGGCTACTGCAGAGGTGACAGAGTGTGTTTGGCCCACTGTGGCGCATCACCGTGACACACGAAACTGTCTTCATTTGCAGACGGAGCTTGTCCGAGACCCCACCCCATCACCAACACACCCCAGCCCCACAGCGTGGGTGCGGTGGGGATGGTTCAGCCTGGCTGCCATGCTGCCTCTGGGCCTGGGACCCCTCGCCCGACCCAGGAGAGAAGGTGCCCAGGTGGGGCACCCTCGTCATCACTCCTGGGCAACAGTGACATAGAGCCACACACAACCAGTGCTGACAGAGTGCCAGGCATGTCTCCAGCCCGGGAAGCACTCCTGCTTTGCAGCGTGCCCCCCTGTGTTCTGGAGGCAACTCTAGGTGATGGGTACCATGTAACAGATGAGCCAAGAGAGGTGGAGAAAGGCAGGTGCCCAGTCTCTAAGCAGAGGGAGGGAGCACGCACTCTTGGCCACTCCCCCAGATGCCCTCTCCATCGCCTGCAGGAACCTCTGTGTCAGGGACGGGGGCTGCTGTGACTAGATGGCCCTGTGTCCCCTCCCTCCTCCTGGCCCCCAGTGAGACACAGACGGGTCACAGGGCTAACCCCTCACCCCCTCCACTATCTGTGTCCAAGGCAGCCAGGTCTTGCCGGTGCCCACGGGGCTGAGGGTGGGGTGGAGAGAAGGGAGCAGAGCCATCTGGCCCCCAACACCCACCCTGCACCCTGGAAGGAAGTGGGACGGGAGGAGCCGAGGCCAGAACTGAGGACAGGGCTGAGTGGGCCCGAGAGGCGGCCCGGCTACCGCTGCCCGCCCTCCCAGACCCCCGGCTGGCCTCCCACACAGGCGCAGCTGCCCCTCCTCCAGCCCACCCCACCCCTGCCTTTCAGGGTCAGCCCCACCCGCACACAGGTGGCCTTCCCAAGACCCAGAGGGAGGGCCGTGGGTCACCGGAGAACACGGGCTGGTGAGGGTGTAATTCCCAAGGGCTGTGGCATGGAGGTTTCCCGTCCCAGGTGACCAGCTACTGGGCCTCCCCTGGGGGGCCTATGTGCCCATTATGTCTTAGAACCAAAGGAGACGGTATCACCCCCGCCCCAGGGCGTTGCACTGGCCTCCCATACCTGTTGCTAATGTCTTGGATCTTCTGCTCCGGCCTCTGCTTCTGCTGGTACTGCATGTTCTGCAGGTAGTTCTCCTTCAGGTAGATCTCCCAGGACAGGAGTGCCGCCTCCTCATTCTTCTCCAGCTTGTTCTCTGTGTGGGGAGCAGATGGAGGGGCCCGACCTCTGCATGAGGAGCACAGGTGAGGAGGTCCTGGCCCTGCCAGCGGTCCCGCCCCCTGAGCAGCAGGCGGAGCCCACCCCATGCCCACCCCCAAGGGGCTGGTGGGAGGTCGGTGGCCTGACCCATCTGCATTCCTCCCAAGCTTCCTGGATTCTAGAAGGAGCCACCACACCCACCCCAAGCCCACGTCTGGTCCCCCAGACCACTGAGAACAAACACTCTGGAGACGGCAGAGGACGCGGCTTACTGAGCTGCTTGTGTCGCTTGGCGGGTATCTTCAGGACGACCCGCTTGATGAAGAGGTGCAGGTGGCTGAGGAGGATGAAGGGGGGTGGGGCAGGGGGCCGGCCCTGGTACTCCTCGATCAGGTCGTGCCGCTGAAACTTCCAGATCTGGTCTGTGTGCTCCTGCACCTGCTGGAACGTGTAGCTGGCGGGGAGGCAAGGGGCACGCCAGTTACACGAGAATGACAGGACGCAGGACCACAAGATGCAGTAGGAACATCTGTACCCCATTTCACCGCTTGGGAGTCTGGGTGGTGGCCCACGGACTGCGGACACACGCCTCCCAGGAGGGCGATTCTAGAAGCGGAAAAAGCCAGCTGACTAGCCGGACTCGGAATTCTGAGCTTCCTGACAGCCCAAGGGAGAAGAAAGAAGGAACACCCAGATCTTAGAATCTGTTTGCAAACCTCGATAGCGGTAAAACGACGCAGACATCTGTGGGGAGCTCAGACATGGCCCTGGAGTTGAACTCCAGAAAGTTTATTGGCTGAAGCTGACAAAGAGGAGGGACAGCATCTCCAACAGGCAGACAAGTCTGTTCTCTGCACATCTGTCGTCTGGCGAACGGGACTGGCAGAGCCGAATCTGAGATGGAGAGGCACTCCAGGGTGGGCCAGCAGGGCAGAAATGCACCTGGTGCATTTACTTGCTATGAAAAGAGCCCTTGCCCGCCAGTCCCCTCTGGCCTCTAGCTCGGTTTCGGCCCACTTTCAGTACGTCTGTCCCATTAAGTGGAAAGTGACAACTTCAGCAACTTAGCTGATGAAAGCAGAAGAGAAAGAGAAACCTGCCCAAACTGGGAACTGACAGATTTTCACAAGGGTCACGGGCCCCACGGACCTGTAAGAGCAGCAGTTTCACTAAGTGCTGACAGGCGTTCCTCCCCGCCTGCGAAGGCCTCAGCCAGGCCACTGCCCGCCCGGCCCGGCCCCTCACCCGGGAGGAGGGAGGCCTGCATCACAAGCTTCCCCTCAGGCTCTTAGTGCAGGTGAACAAACAACCTGCAAAACAGTGTTTCCTCCCAGAGGACAGGGGCCAAGTGCCGCTAAGTGTGTCTCCCAAGAGCCCTCCCCCCCACATGTGGCTGTGCTCCAGCCCCTCTGGGGGCTGACCTCTGTGAGGCACCCAGAGATTCCCTGACCATGAACCTGGAGTCCACCCCCTATAGCCCCACTGACCCCAGGAGCAGCGAGAAGTGACTTTGCCCACCCCAGCCACCCGCGACCACCTGGCCTCCCACCTCATGGCCCATGGGCTAGAATGTCCAGCGCTGGCCCAGCAGCAGTGCCCCGGACACAGCAGTGACCAGGGAGAAGGGGCGGCACATTGCCGTCACGGCTGAACGAGGCGCCTTGAAGGACCTGGTCTTGGGTCCCAGGCTCAAGCTCTATCTGCCCCGTGGGTGGTGGCGGCAGGAGGACAACAGAACGTGCAGCCGAGGTGTGCACTGCCCCCCGGACTGGCACTCACTTGAACATGGCAATGAGCAGATTGAGCAGCAGGATGTTGGTGAAGAGCAGGTACAGACAGAGCAGGATGACGGTCAGCCACTCGGGGAAGATGGGCTGGTGGTGGGTAGAGTCGCTCTCCGGGCACTTGGGCTTGTAGGGGTCGGTGCCATTGGGGCTACAGTGGTCCAGGTTGAAGTTCACACCTAGCATCGGGTGAGGCAGGGAACAAAACAAAGCACGCAGTCGCAAGGCCTGGACACCCGCACCTCTGGGGGACCTCAGCTGTCGGCCCAGCCCCAAAGAAAGCCCAGGGAGAAAGCCCAGCCCCAAAGAAAGCCGTCTACGCCCAAGCATCTTCTGAGGACGGGAAGTGTGGCTGCCAAGGGAAGCCCTGGGAGCCAGACGTGTTCTCCAGGGCGGCACACACCCCTGCCCAGGACCCGGCCATTGCCAGCAGCCATTTCCTGGGCCCTAGATAGGGGCCAGCTCCAGGAGGGTCCTTGTCATCACTAACCCACAGGTCCCAACCTGGAGAGGCCCACGCAGTGGGGGAGAAGTCCAAAGGAGAAAATTAACAAGTACTGAAAAGAGGAGACACGAGGAAACAGAGTAACTCAGAGGCAGATGGTCTGGCAGACAGAGCAAGTCATTGCCAAGTGGATACATTCCCACTTCGGTAAAGAAGTAGAGGATACGTGATAAAACGTAAATATCCATTCAGCTTGGGTGTGAAAAAATCTCTATGGGAACATACAAAGTTGTTCATGGTTGACTCTGGCATACGGGATTAGGGACCACATCTTTCTTTACTTTGAATTAAAAAATTTTTCAACAATGAGTATGCACTGTTTTGTAATCAAATATATTTTTGAAAGTGTTACTAATTTTCTGAGATAGAAACCCACTATACTAGTTATAAATACCTATATTAAAAAACTCAAATTAATAACATAACCTTCCACTTTAGTGAACTAAAAAGAAAAAAGCAGAGTAAATTCAAAACAAGCAGAAGGAAGTAATAAAGATCAGAATGCAAATTAGTAAAATAAAGTATTTATAAAAAAAACAAAGAAAATGAAGAAAACCAAAACCTGGTTCTTGAAAACGATCAACAAAATTAAAATCCTTTATCTATACTGACCAAAGACAAAAAAAGGAACAGCTCAAATTACTAAAATCATAAATAAAAAAAGAGGACATTACTACCACTCTTACAAAAAAAAGAATTATAAGAATATTACGAAGAACTAAGAAATTAGATAACTTAGAAGAATGGACAAATTCCTGGAAAGATGTAAACTACCAAAAGTAACTGAAAAAGAAATAAGAAATACAAATAGACCTATGACAACTAAAACGATCGAATTAGTCATTTTAAAACTTCACAGAAAGAAAAGTTCAGGCCCAGATGGCTTCAATGATGAATTCCACCAAATATTTTTAAAAGAATTAAAACCAACCTTTCAAAAATGTTCCCAAACTATAAAAAAAGGAGGGAGTACTTCCTAAATCATTTCCATGAAACCAGCATCACCTGATACCAAAAGAAGACAAAACCGTACAAGAATCTGCAGACCGATGTCCTCTGTGAGCATAGAGGCAAAAACGGTCCACAACACACTAGACACCTGCATCCAGAGACACACGGAGAGAATCATACACCACGACCAAGGGAGATACGTCCCAGGAAGGTAAAGGTGGTTCAACACCTGAAAATCGACCACCACGCCATAATAATAGCATAAAGAACAGAAGCCATACGGACATTTCAATAGATGCAGAACAAGCACTTGACAAAATCTAATAGCCTTTCATAATAAAAACACCCAAGAAAGCAGGAGCAGAAGGGAGCTTCTTCAACCGGACAAAGGACGAGTCAGAAAACCCAGTACTCATGTCACACTCAGTATAAAAGACTGAAAGCTTCCCACCCCCAACATCTGCAACGGGATGGAGATTTGTTCTCAATACCGGATCACAGCATCAGAGATTCTAGAAGGATAATTAAGCAAGAAAGATAAAAGGCATCTAGATGGGGAAGCAAGAAGTAGAAGTATCTCTATTTGCAAATGACATAGTCTCTTGTAGTGCAAATCCCAAGAACCCACTCAAAAAAATGTTAGAGCTAATAAAAAAATGGGCAAGGTTTCAGGATACAAGATCGATATACCAAATATAGCATATTTCCATACACTAGCAACAAATAATCCAAAACAAAATTAATACAACAATTCTACTTATTGTTGTATGAAAAAGAATAAAACACTTAGGAATAAATTTAATAGAAGTAGTACAACCTATACACTGAAAACTACAAAATGTTATTGGAAGTAATTTAAGACATAAATAAGTGGAAATACACTCCATGTTCACCACCAAAAGCCTAGATGCCACCCTGGCTGGTGTGGCTCAGTGGATCAAGTGATGGCCTGCAAACCAAAGGGTCACTGGTTCAATTCCCAGTCAGGGCACACTCCTTGGTTGCGGGCCTGGTCCCCAACTGGGGGCAGCAAGAGACAACTACACACTGATGTTTCTCTCCCTCCCTTCCCCCCTCTCTATAAATAAATAAATAAACAAAAAAATTTTTTTAATCCTAGATGCCTTTTTTTTAAAGGAAATTGATCCACTAATCCAAAACTTCATTGTGGATCCAAGGGACTCAGAGGCCAAAACAATCAAAAAGAAGAAAGTTGACAGCGCTGGGTGGTGTAGCTCAGTGGGCTGAGTGCAGGCCTGTAGATCAAAGGGCTGCCAGTTCCATTCCCAGTCAGGGCACACGCCTGGGTTGCAGGCCAGGTCCCCAGCTGGGGGCACATGAGGGGCAACCACACATTGATGTTTCTCTCTCTTTCTCCTTCCCTTCTCCTCTCCCTAAAAAGTAATAAAAATAAATGAAATCTTTTTCAAAAAGTGATTATTCTTTTAAAATAAAAGAAGAAGAGAGCTGAAGGACTCAGACTTCCTGATATTAAAACTTACTACAAAGCAACAGTCACTGAGACAGCGTGGTACCGGCACAAGGACAGACACACAGATCAGTGGGGCGGGAGGAAGAGCCAGAGACAAACCCTTTCATTGATGGTCAACTGTTTTTTGTTTTTGTTTTTAACCGTTGACTGGTTTTTGACAAAGGCTCCAAGACCATCCAAGAGGAAGAAAGTAATCTTTTCAACAAATGTCCAGATATAACTGAGTATTTACATACAGAAGAACACTGTACACACACACACAAAATTTCAGTAGCTCAATGGCCCAAAGCAAGAACTAAAGCTATGAAGCTTTGAGAATAACAACGTAGGCCTAAATCTTCATGACCTTGGCTGGGCAATGGGTTTTTAGATATGATACCAAAAGTACAAGTGATAAGAGATTGATCATTTGAACTTCATCAAAATTAAAAACTTTCATGTTTCAAAGGACAACATAAAGAAAGTGAAAAGACACTCCACAGAATGGCAACATATTATTCACAAATCATCTATATGCTAAGGGACGGGCACCCACACACAAAGAACTCTTACAACTCAATAAAAACACAAATCGCCCACCGGAAAAATGGGCAAAGGCTAGAAACAGACATTTCTCCAAAGATACGGAAGCAGCTCTGTAAGCACAGGAACAGGTGCTCAGCATCATCAGCCACCAGGGAAATGCAAAACGAAGCCACACATCACACCCGCCGGGCTAGCACCAAAAAAGCCAGGGAGTAACAAGTGCCGGTTGAGATGCGGGTAGTTGGAACCCTCGGGCACTGCTGGTGGGAGAGAAACGGTGCGGCTGCTGTGGAAGGCAGTGTGGCGGTTTCTCAGAGTTAACCGTGGAGCCACCAGATAACCCGGCGGTTTCACTGGTAGCTACACATTGAGGAGAAATAAAAACATGTCCACACAAACACTCACAAATAATTGTTCATAGCTACATGGTTTGTAGCAGCCAAAAAGTGGAAACAGCTCAAAGGTTCACCCACTTAGGAAGAAACAAAATGTGGTCCATCCACACAATGGAGTATTATTTAGTCACAAAAACGGAATGAAACGCCGGACAGGCTACAATGTGGACACTCTCGAAAACATTAGCTCAGTACAAGGCAGAAACGAAAGACCACACATCACATTACCCACTGTGTGTGCAGTGTCCACAGAAGACATTCTGCAGAGATGAAAAGCAGGCTAGAGGTTGCCTGTGGCTGAGTGGAGGAGGGGCTGGGAGTGACTGACTGCTCATTCATATGGGGTGTTTTGGGGGGCGACACAAATGTTCTAAAGTTAGATTCTAAATTTTAGATTCTAAAATTAGTAAATAAAGAAAAAACTCAGTGCACCAAAAAAGTGTTGTCTCCATCTGGGGAAGGAGGAAGCGATTTCTGACAGAGGCAGAAGAGGAGGTGGGGGGGAGCACTCAGGTTGGGGAGGGTGTGTCGCTGATGCCCCAGGGCCCCAGGCCACACCCTCAGCCCACCTGGATCTCAGCTGAAGCTTTGAGGATCTCGCTCAGCACCTGTCCCCACCCCAGCTGCTGCCTTCCCCCCTCAAGTGGACAGTGTGAGCCCCTGCCTCTCCCCGGGAAACTCCAGGAGTCCCCACCCCCACGGAGCAGGTGGGAAATGCCCCCGCCCCTCCTTGTCCCCCGGGCTCGCAGGGCCCCTGCCAGAGTGGGGCCTCCCTGCCCACGGTTGTCAGGACCTCCTCCTACCGTCGATGTAGGCCGGCATCTGCCCGAAGATGGTGAGGTACGACTGGTACACGACCCCCCGGAAGATCCAGTCCACCCGGCTCTCGTTGTGGATGAGGATGGCCTGCTTGGCCACCCCGAAGGACACCACCCACACGGCCAGCAGGAAGAGGAAAAAGAAGACATCCTTCATCTGCAGAGACAAGGCAGCGCCGGCTGCAGCCACGCACACACCTTGCTGTTCTGACCCCAGGAGGACCCCACCCTCCGTGCCCCGCCTGCGCTCTGCAGTGGGTAATGTGATGTGGAGAGTGGCCGACACCCACACCAAGGACACTTGGAGCCAGGAGCTCCGGGGACGCAGCTCTGCGGCTGCCCCCATGTCCTAATCCCCTGCACACCCCGCAATGGGTAGAGGGGGTTAGATGTGACTGTGACCCACAGAGGGGAGCACTGGAGCTGTCACAGGGATCAGGAAGGCACTGTGGAGATCAGGGGAGGCTGCATGAAAGAGGTGACATACAGGAAAAGAGCCGAGACAGACATGCCAGGAGGTGAGAGCCCAGGGGCAAAGCAGACGCGTGGGAACCTGGGGCCGTGCTGAAGCCCTGGAGCTCCTCACCTGCACCCGGCCTCAGGGCTCCTCATCCCCTTACCATCCGCTTCACGATGATGATCTTGGGCCCCAGCGTCTTGCTGATGGTAAAGATGTGCATCAGCCGCAGGCAGAACATGATGAAATCCAGAGAGAGCACAATGCGCCCGGGGTACAGCAGTGCTGGGATCAGCCTGGCCCGGGGCAGAGGCAGGACGCTCAGCCTGCTGCTCCCAGGTCCTGTCCCCGGCCACTGGCTCACCTGCCCAAGCCCACATGTGGCCCCTGGAGGCAAAGAGCTCTGGCCACTTCTGGGCCCTGACACACTAAAAACTGGGTATGAGTTCAAGGGCAGAGACTCTGATGGGGGTGGGGAGACCATTCTCCAGACAGTTCCAGAAGCCTAGCCTCAGGCAGGTGACCAGGCTGTTGCAGGCATCTGGGACAGGAGCTTGGGCAGGGTCCCTTGAGCTTCATGGAAAAAGGAGACAGTGGCATGGTGGCAGACGCTCACGGCCTAGATGGGCAGCGGAGAGGCCAGGGCCCCGGAGGACAGAGCCACCACCCATGCAGGGGGACAGGCATCCTCTGCTGTCCCCACGGTCCCCAGGGTGGGCAGGGCCGGCCACTGGACAGACAGGTGACCAGCTCTGACCCCAGTCCCGAGCCCACCGCTGTGGGCGCTGTGTGGGGGGAGGGGCACTCACCTGCAGGTCAGTCCTGCTATGAAGAGCAAGATGGCAGCGATGTCCAGTTTATTCCAGAAGTCGCTGAAGTAGAGGAGTGCCATCTTCGCCAGCCCGCACTCATAAGGGTCGTACAGGAGCTGTGAGAGGGTGTGTCAGGCGAGGCCTGGCCGGCTGGCACGCTTATCCTACCCACAGGAACACACTCACCCCTTCCTGGAGAGCGGGCTAGCTGGGGACGGGGTGGACTCCAGCCCCCCTCCTGGGCAGGAGGGGTCACCAAGCTCCTCAGGCTGCCCTGACCCCAGCCCTGCCCATTATGCAAATGAGTGTGTTGGGGAAGCCTCCTCCCCACTGTTAGAATCAGCTACCCTGGGCTTCCTGCAGCAGTTCCAAGAGGAAAGGGAGACCCCCTCCGCCCCCGGAGTGGCCACAGAGCCTGGCTGCAGGAGGCCGCAGGGAGAGGAGGGCAGAGGAGGGGCCAGCAGACAGCGACAGCACCACCTGTTCTGCCCCGCCTTCTGCTGCTCCAGGTCCCCATGGGGGTGGCGTTTACAGAGTGTGAGCAAAGTGGGCCAAGGGGCACGTGAGACAGTGACGGAGCCCACGGCCCGTGGGAGGGGGCCGGTAGACTAGGGGCCCCGAGGACCGCAGAAAGGGTGGGACGAACCTGCCGCAACTCCTCGCAGACCAGGGAGAAGAGCCAGAGGTAGATGAGGCGCTCGCACCAGGAGGGCGAGGGCTGGAAGTCCACCATGAGCACGTAGGCGAAGAGGCAGAGGAAGGAGAAGTAGGACAGGATGTTCAGGTGGAAGATGACCACGGGCGCGTTAAAGAAGGCGCGGACCCGGGCCAGGCCTCGCACCGCCTGCAGCCGCCTGTCCCTGCGGTGACAGTGAGGCCGTGAGGGGCCTGACAGCCTGAGGACCGCGGCCACCCCCTGGCCAGGGCCAGGCACTCGGGGGCGTCTCGCAGGTGCTCACACCGTGCAGCAGGGAGGGAGGATATATCCCTATGGCCCTGCACACGCAGCTATAACCGAGGGGCCCCCCTAGAGCCTTGCCAAACTTGGACCCCCAAAGCACCTGCAGCCTGGTCCCCTTAGGGCTGCAACACACCCTCATCCCATCTGAGTACTCAGGGCAGGTGAGTGCTTGGAGACAGTTAATGCTCAGGCAGGGCGGGTGCTCTGCACAGGTGGGCACCCTTCCCTCGGCCTTATTCCCACACGCATCCCAGCCATTCTAGGATCCGGTCACAGCCCTGAGAATACGTGTACCCTGCCCCTGGTGGGGCGTTTGGGATTGAAGGTCCCGAGCCCCAGGCCCTGCCCGCAGCCCCACAGCCCTGCAGCCAGGGGCACCTGAAGGAGATGAGGCCGGTGGAGAGCAGCGGGAAGGCCAGCATGCACAGGATCACCCGCCAGAGCCCATTGTCCACGGAGAGCTGACCCCACCACACCTTGGTCAGAAAGGCCTGCAGACACAAGGGGCCAGTTTCAGGATGGGGGGCCCCTCCCCACAACCTGACCTGACTCCCTGTGCCCAACCCCTGAGGCTGAGTGAGTCCACAGGCTCAGGCACAGCACTCTCTGGGCCCCCAGCCATGCGATGTGGTGGGTGGCACGGGGTGGGCCTTGCCACCTGCCAGCTGAGGAGAGGCTCCAGGTGGGCCAGGCCGGCTCTCCCGGAGGCAAGCGGGGAGAGGAGGGGCCTGTCCCCTGGCTCTTACCAGCTGGCCCCTCTGAGCACTGGATGTGTGTGTGTGTGTGTGTGTGGGGTGGTGACAGGACTCTGCCCACCGTGTCCCCAGGCCCCCGCACAGCACGGCACATGATGATGTTCCAGAAACCTGGTGACAGTATGAAGCCATGCTCAAGGGAACGCCAGTGTTCTGAGGGCACCCGCCGAAGGCCAGGCCTCCAGTGCTTGTGGACGAGCTCCCTGCTTTGGGCACTCTGCCCTCTGCCACGTGTCCCTCCTGAGGCCTCAGGTGGGGGGACTGACGCCTGGCTCCTGGGCCCTCCGGGGGGACCGCCAGGGCTCTCAATGTGGAGGTGACGGATGGCCTTCACAACCCACCACCCACTCGCAGTGTCAGTTTCCTCCTCTGCAAACAGGGAGGAAGGAGGGTCTGTGGGGTCTGCAGCACGTGACCAGTGGGCCAGGCACCGTCCCTGGGTCTTGGAGGGACCTGAAACATGCACATGTGGGGCCCTCCACGTGAGTGGAGGCTGTGTCCCCCTGATGCACTGTGGGCAGCTGTTTCTGGAAGCAGGCCCTCAGGAGGTCACCTGGATGCCCCCGTGGGAGACGAACTTCATGTCCTTGGCCTCCAGGGCCAGCTGCAGGCAGGTGGTCTTCCCCCAGGCCTCCGACACGCGGATGAGCAGCTTCTGCGCTCTCTCCTCGTCCTTCCGGTAGCACTCGGTGAAGACCCCTGATGGAGGGGAGTCTGTGTCACAGCAGCAGCGTCACCGTCGCCACCATGGGGACAGTGTCAGAGAGCAGCCCCCTCAGGCGGCACGGCCTGGGCAGGAGCAGGGTCGAGATTGGGACAAGGACAGCAGGGTGACACAGAGTGACACTGAGGGGCTGAGACCTGGGACAAGGGCCTCAGGGTGACACATGGAGCTGGGCGTGGCCACAGGCCATGGCCCGGGAGAGCTCACCGATGGCCCTGTGCTCATACTGGTCAGCGAGCACCAGCATCTCCTCAGAGCTGTCCGTGTCCTCCTCCTCCTTGGAGAGCTCCTTGAGGATCTTGCTGCAGGCCAAGGCCGCGGCAATGCAGTCCTGGCTCTGGAGGCCGGGGAACCACAGTGAGGACCTGCACGTCTGCCCTGGGAACCCCACACACACGCCGAGGGGTGATGAAGGCAGAGGCCCCAGGGCAGCATGGGCCGCTGGCTACAACTTGCTGTGGCTCCTGACTATATGGACCACTCAGGTCACCCAAATCAATGCATAAGCCCTTTCTGGGGCCCAGGCTCCTGCACTGGCCAGCAGGAACAGTCTGCTTGCCAGGAGGCCTGCTTTCCCACCCAGAAAAACGGATGAAACACAACGTTGCCAGCACAGTCCTGCCAGCACAAGGTCCAGAGCTCCCAGGGCATCTATCTGGTCAATCCCAGGTGTGGGGCTGTGGGTCAGAGAGCGGCCAATGGGGAGAAACAGGCCCAGACGCATGCACATCTCCACCCAGGCTCAGGGCTCCCTGCCCCAGTGGCACCGCAAGTCCTGGGCACCAGAGGGGGACTAAGAAAATCTCAAGGCTCTCCAAGCAAAGCCTGGCAGTGCGGAGTCCAAAAGCAGCACTGTCCCAGCACGAGGGGCCTGGAAGTCTGTGTTCAGGCTTTGCATCCCCTGAGCCGCATGGAGCAACCAAGGCCACTGGCATGGCCCAGCCACTGACCCTCCCTGCACCTGGGGGAGGGCGAACCTCCTGGAGCCACCACCAATTCTGCGCTGCCAGTGACACGGGAGGAAGCGGCTCTTCGAGAGCAATGTGAGAATTGCAAGGCCCAGAAAGCAGGGGCTCACTGAGAAAAAATATGAAATTTTACTTTCCCTTTAAGAGGAGAATCAGCTCGAAGCAGACTCAGGGCAGGGGCATGGTGGCCTGCTCCCATCTAAGAACAGAGGGTCTCCATTGAGATGCCCCATGGCCAATGGAGAGAGACCCAGCCCTGCCAGGGATGGAACCTGCCCTGAAGTCTCTACTGAATAGGACAGCCACAGGTCGTGTACTGACCCCCAGAACCCATGTGGGCCATGGGGGATGGCTCCTCCTGGCCAGCCTCCTCCCTGCATAGAACTGCAGGAGTTTGTGTGGCTCACCTTTCAAAAAATTATTTTTCTTGCTTATAGCCAGGCCCTTGTTCTCAACACTGGGCACCCTGAGTCCCTTCGGGTGTTGTGATGTCCACTGCCCTCCCTCCATGGCCATGCACGACCCCACCTGCTGCTGGTTCTGGGCTCACTGGCCACGCTCACTGCTGGAGCCCTGTCATTGGTCCACCCACAGCCACGTATCTGCTTACCTGAGCCCAGATGATTTCTGCCAGCTCCCGGCGGTTCTGGACAATGGCCCAGATGAGAAGATCGCGGACCGGGTCCATGGTGAAGGTGACGTGGCCTGATGAACGTTTGTAGAGGGATCGGAGACTCACTCCCTGCACCTGGTGAGCAGCAGACAGTCAGAGCCCCTACCCGGGTCCCTGCTGGCATCAGATTCGCCATGGCGCCTGGGGGTGGTGAAGGGCCCGAGCACAGCCCAGCCCTTCACCTCTGTCCCTGAAAGGTGAGTCCTGCGACCTGCATTTTCAACCACACCCTAGATCGTTTTCCTGAACATGGGGCTTCTAAAACTACCCTTCTGGACACACAGAGAAACACCTAGAAAGCGGGGTACCAACCAACTCCTGCACTAACATTTGCAGATCCTGTTACACTCCAGGCAGCTCAAGATTCCTCAGTCTTACCTGATGGGAGCAAAGCCTTTTTCTACGAAGACAAATTCTCACAGAGTTCGTTAACAGATTCATGGCTGTGAGCTCCTCAGAAACCTACACAGCTTCTCCCACAGAAAATGTCCTGCTGAACAGACACTGAGGTGCCATGTGAATGGGAGGGCACCAGGGCTGAAGACACACTCAACCTACATGGTGACATGAGAACCCAGGCTTCCTGGCCAATCAGTAAGGAAACACACACTTAGACGATCTAGAAGTAATTCTCAAAGGTAGAGAACACATTTCCCATCTCACACACAAAACCACACTTTCTTTAAGTGGTTTTGAAAATTTCCTGAAGGCTTATCTGTATAAAAAATTAGTTTATCTTCTTAAATTGCAGTCACAAGTAATGAGGGCTTCCATTTTGGACCTTCTTTAAGTGCCTTCCAACTGGGCATCTGAAATACATCAGAATCAAGAGGAGCAGAACTGTGGGCATGTAAAACTAAGCCATAACCATGTCCCTCTCAGGGGTAAGGCAAAGCTTGCCTAGGACAATGAGCAGAATTGAAAGCCTGAAAGAAGTGGGTCATCTTCTGGCAGGAAAAAAAATAAAACCCTGTCTGATATTAGAACAGACAGAAAACCTAAACAAAGAAATAATCAGGAAAGAAACTGAGAGAGCTATCAGAGCTACCACCAAAAAAGGCACCAGGCCCCAATGGACTCACAGGGGAGTCTACTGACCTTGTAAGAGGCAGTGAATTCCAGCCACATAAACTGTTTCAGAGCAGAGAAAGAAGGAAGGGTTCTCAGTTGGTTTTACAAGACTAATGTAAATTGGTAACAGAACCTGACAAAGACCATCCCCAAAATAAAACTATAATCAAAGCATTAAACAGTCTGATGTAAAAACACTGAACACACTGGCAACAGAATCCAGCATCACATTATACACATCTTATACTGCAACCAAGTCAAAACAAGAGAGTCAAAACAAGAAAAACATTTCACTACCAGGAAATCTATTAAAATAATTCTCCAAAATTAAAGAGCAGTTCAACTTCTCAAAGGGAAACTGACAAATTGAGCATTGAGATTTCACTTGTAAAACCTTAATGAATCGGGAGACGAACACTCCCTGATGCACATACCAGCATTGCGCTTAACGCAGATGCTGCAGGATTCCCGTTAAGTAGGGATGAGACAAGTGACACCCCCTCCTACTGCTGCAACATACACGCTGGGCACCTCATACGGACACAGCTGGAATATCCTGACCTGACTGTATGAAACTTAATTATACCTACTGAGCAGGACTGGGGGTACAGGGCACGATGGGGGCCATCTTCCTTGCAGAACCTTGTATATCATTCAAAATTTTCAGAAAGAGGGTTATGCTGAATTATGTCCCTCCCCAAACTCATATGCTGCAGCCCCAAATCCCCCATGTGACTGTGTTTGGAGACAAGGTCTCTAAGGGGGCGGTTAAGGGTAAACAAGGTCGTATGCATGGGGCCCTGACCTGACAGGATGACAGTCCTTATAGGAAGAGGAAGCAACACAGCCCTCTCTCTCCCTACACGGTACAAGCAGAAGAAAGACTGGAAGGAAAGCCTTCTTTAAACCAACCCCACTGGCACCTGGTCTCGGGCCCGCAGGCTCCAGAGCTGCAGAGAATAAGCCCCCGTCTGCTGGACTTTGTTATGGTGGCTGAGCAGACTAAGGCAGGAAGTATATTTCTTTTCTAATCAAAATACAAACTAAATTTTTTTTAGAAAACCCTAGGGATGCAGCAGTGGCCCCACACGCAGGCCACACTGAGCGGGGGCCACGTCACCAGCACGCACGTTGAGCTTGATGTGGGGCACAGGCAGCAGGAGCCTCGGCCGGTCGCTGGAGCGGGGCCGGGGGTAGAGCGGCTGCGTGAAGTCGCCCAGGAGCTCCCGCAGCACCTGGGCCACATGGTGCATCTGCACGGCGGGCAGGGCGGGCGCGCAGGCCACGCGCTCGGGCTCCTCCGCCAGCACCTTCTGCAGCTTGCAGTGGAACAGGCAGGAGGGGTCCAGGTTCTTGTACAGGTAGAGCAGGGTGTCCCAGGTGACAAACTCCTTCAGCCGCAGCCCGTTCTCCAGGAAGAGCTTCACGAACTCAGGCTTGTTGGAGATGAGGGCAGCCGTCATCATGGGGTGCAGCTCTGAAGGCTGAGAGAGAGCTCCGTGGGGGGCTGCACCGGGCCTCCCGGATCCTGGCCTCAGCTCCCTTGCATGGGGACGACTGCTATCTCCGATTTAGGGAGGGGGAACCTTGGCCAGCCCACCCTCCACCAAGGGAAGGGCTGGGTTTCAACGGAGGCCATCCCGCAGGACCCACCCTGCTCCTACGGAACTGCCTCTGTGGGCCCAGCACCCCCACCCACTGCCCCCAGGGCAGCCCGAGAGCCAAACCTTCCACTGCCGCTCATCAGTGAAGATCTCACTCCGGGCGATGTCCACACGATTCCACGCCACGGCCAGCTTCAGCTGGTGGTCCCAGTTCTCGTGGCCAAAGTGGTCGTGGCTCCGAGAGGCTTCGGGTAAGAATAGAGCACCCTGGGCTTTAACCTGCAGCTCCAGGCCACTGCCGGTCGGCATCCCTGCCGTCTAACAAAGCCAGAGGGGCGGGGCTTGTCCCTGGCCTCAGCCTCTTGGTGCTTTTCACTCAATAAGTTCAGGGCTGACCGCAACGTCCTCCCCACACCCACGCACTTATAAAAGTTCTTCCCTCCAGTGTTAGAATCAGGGGGTCTTGGTCACCATTCTGGCTCCCCCCAGCTCCCCCGCCCAGCCCAGCCTCCTGGCCAAGCCCTAAGTTTCAAGAGCACACAGTCTCCGGTCTCCAAAAGGTGGCCACTTCCACACAAACAGTCAGAATTACGTTCCTTTCCTGTCCTCATTGCAGAGCCACCCACCCTGCCCCCCGCCCCAGGTCACAGGGACAAGTACTTTGTCAAACTTGTTTACTTTCGCTCTCTGCAGCTTAACATTTTAAAACTTGGGGTGTTGTGTGGGGAAGGAAAAAAAAGAAACAAGACCCTCTGACCCTCACCTTGTACCACACACCAGGCTAAGGGGGGGGTCACAGACTCAAGCATGAGAGCTGAGCCCGCAGAGCTGCCACAAGGAACAGAGGAAATGTTTGCAAAGAACATGAACCATAAAGGAACAAACCGGTGAATTAAAATGCATTAAAATTCAGGCCTTCTGCTCTTCACAAATACCTGGACAAAAATATAAAAGCTGACCAGGAACCAGGAGAAGATAGCCAGCATGTATATCTGATGAAGGATTTGCACCAGGATATATCAAAACTCTTACAATGCAAAAATAAAAAGACAACCAGGTAAATATGGACAAATGGTTGGAAAGACAGCCCACCAGGATGATATCCAAATGGCCATCGAGCCCAGGAAAAGATAACATCATTCATTAGCCACTGGGGACACCACACTGAGACGTCACCTCCCACCCACTAGGAGGGCTGCCGCCTAAGACTGACGGTACCACACCAAGGGGAGGCTGCACAGAGGTACAGCAGAACAATCTTTCTGGGAAATGTTTTGGCAGTTTCTTATAAACATACACTCACCCTGAAGAATCAGTCATTCCACTCCTGGAGGTGGGCCCAAGAGAAATGAAAACAAACGCTGTGTTTTGCCAGGTATGACGCGCACCCACAGTTTTGTGTACGTTATACACAGGGTTATTATACCCATCATTATACCCGTGGTAGGTGATCATTACACCCATGTATAATGTGCATCCTTGCTTTTTCCTAAAAAATTTGGGCAAAGAAATAGTGCGTGTCATACCCGGTGAAATACAGTAGCTGTGTCCGTAATAGCCCCGAACCAGAGGCCACCGCAGTGTCCATCAACAGAGGAATGGACAACGGGCTGCCACGCATGACAGAATTCCACTCGGCAGCGAAGAGGAACCGAGTTCCGATACCCGTACCAACATGGAAGAACCTTCAAACCACGGCCCTGAGCAGAAGCAGTGAGTCACGAAGGAACGGAGGGAGTCTGGTCCCGTCTCCGAGAAGCTCCAGACGGGTCTCCGACCTGCAGTGGTCCCCCAGCGTGGGGCGGAGGGAGGTTTGCTGGCAAAGGGGCAGGAGGGAACGTTCTGGGCTGAAGTGGGAACATGGAGGTCCACACCTGTTAGAGCCCATCCAGCAATAAACTCAGAATGGGGGTTACTATATGTAAACTGTATGTCAATGAAGTTGATTTTTTAAAAGGGTCGTCACTGAAAACCCTATACATGTTTCTACGGGTGCATGTATTTTCATGCGCACCTTACCCCAGAAGCCCACCCCCTTCCCTGAAGCAACCAGTCACAACCAATTACACTGTGTTTGCTTCCAGAAATAAATTCTCTCTCTCCGTGCCCCAGCGGCTCTCCTAATCTCTCCTTCCCCACCCCGCACACATGGAGGTGCGTCCCACGCTGTCCTACACCACACAGAGCTGCACCAGGATCATCTTGCTAAACTCCTCGCTGAGGTCAAAGAACTCTACAGTGCACACGTCTTAAAGGCACAGCTCAGTGGCTCTCTGCACCTGTACTGCCGTGTACACCTGCGCATCCTGCACAGAGACCCAGACATTCCAACCCCTGGGGCTTGCTCTCGCCCCGCCCACACTGCACCTGCACAGGAGGAGCCACCCCCATGGTGTCAGCTTTGCTGCCTGAGGACAGGTCCTCCTCAGTCTCGAGGTCCATCCTGGGCCACAGGTAGGGTCCTTCCTCTCCCAGTGCTGTGCATTGATGGTCAGACTCGGGGTCCCCCAAGGGCCCTTTGTCACAGCCTTGGAGGCCACAGTAGCCTTGGATTTCCCTGTTTGTAAGGGGAGCACCCTGAGGCCCCTGTCTCCACCAGTCACGTGGTGGGTCACGGCTCCTTGTCCCTGCCCCAAACGTTCACCTATTTTTGCCCAGAGAGAGCGGCTGTGACTCTGTTGGACCAGCTCTCCCCGGCTTCTCTCTGTTCCAGCAAGAATCTTCCCAGACAAAGACCTTTGTTCAGAAGCCTCTAGTCTAAGCTTTAACCATCTCACGGGTTGGGTGAGGACTGATGGGCCATAGTCAGTCCTTCTGCCAATGAGAGGAACATGGAGCAAGCAGGTGCACAGAAATAAAGGTCACATTTGCCACTCTACTCTGCATCAGGGTCCGCCTGGGGGCCGTGTCCCCAGCACAGCCATGGGGCAGCCAGTGCAAAGGACAGGGAAGTGCTGGCCTCCCCAGCAGCAGAAAAGAGAAAGAGGAAGTGTGGGCTCAGGAAGAGCAGCTGGCAGGCCGAGGCCAGACCAAGGAGGCGGCCCAGGGCTCCACGGCTCACAGGGGCCCCCGGGTTGGCGTCTCCCGCGGGGGAGGCTGGGAGGCAGGCGTGGGGCCAAGGATGCGGAGTCAGGAGGGAGTTCCAAGGTTCTCTTTTTACCCTGAAGTTCTGTGAGGAACTATGAGGATCACGAAGGGACTCAGTACTGGGAACCACACTCCGGTTTCAGGTAAAAAGACAAGTTGACACAGACACCTGCGCCCCAGCATCGGCAGTGGGCGCCCCTGCCAGCCAGCCACCCTCGACCCCCATCTGGGCGTCTGACCGACTAGAACTCGGGACCCCCCCGAGCACCCTTCCTCTGGCTTCTCCCCTGGTCCCCACTCTGCCCGACCCTCACCTTTCAGCAAGGCCTGCAGGATGGCCACGTCCACGTCCTGCTGGCCGTCCTTGCCTTCCCGGAAGATGGTCAGCAGCTGCCGCCTCCGGACAATGTCTTGTATCTGCAACAAGCAGTCCTTGAGCGGGGCCCCAGGGACGAGCGGCCTCCTGCCTCCTCCAAGGGCACCCAGAGGGGCAGGGCCCTGGACACGGAGCCGGAGCCCTGGGCGTGAGTCCTGCCCACCCAAGTGACCAGGGCCACACCTCGACTCCCACACCCTGGACAGTGAAGGTGGAGACGGTGAAGGACCGAGTATGTAAAATTTGCCAATCATCTGTGGTTAGAAAGCACAGCCCAGGTGTGGAGAACGTTCACCCCACCCGTGAGGGGTGTCCGCTGAACGTCCAGGGTTGCCTAACATGACTTCTCCCCCGGTCTTCCCACCTACCACCCTCACTCTGCCATTCCTCACCCAACCTGCCTACCCACCCATCCACCCACCCAATCATCCACTCACCTACCTGTCCATGAATCCACCTATCTGCCCGGCCTACCCACCTACCAACTTAGCTACCCTACCTACCTAGCAACCCAGCCATCTATCTATCTATCTATCTGTCTATCTATCTATATACACCTACCAACTCCATCTACCCACCCATCCACCTACCTATCATCTGTCACCTGTCTGCCTGTCTATGACATCGTTTCCTGTCTGCTACCAGTTGCTGCTCCCCACAACCCCTTCACCCCGAGGCCAGGGTACATGGCCCACAGGTCCCCCATGGCTCCCAAAGCCTCACACACACCCCTAGGCCCCCAGACCGGCCACACCCAGCCGCCCCTGCCTTCCCCCTCCGCTGCCAGCCTGTTGCTTCAGCTCCCTTACGGGCTGCTCCCCGCCTCGAACACCTCGCCTCCACCCCTCAGACCCCGACCTTCCCCATCCCTCAGGGTGCAGCTTTCTCGTCAAATCCAACACAACCCCTGGTCTCCCAGCCCCAGCCATGCTCCGGCCAGAATGTCTCCTGAACTTAGCCCAGCCTTTGGCTCCCAGGACAAACACCATCTTTGGAGTGCGAGATGAAAACTCAGCCCTTGGCGTAAATGTCCTTGTCCTGTCCTCTGAGTTTCAGACTCATTGTCTCTGTCTGGCAGACAGGAAGAGCTGCACTGAGGGAGGGTGAGTGTGTCTCCCGGGGGACACACTCACCTGGTGCCGATCATGGGCCCCGTGAGCGCCCCCGGGGCTGGTGTCCACGAGCACCAGTGGCGGCATCTGAGGGAAAAGGCCACCCCGCGGCACCGACCCACGCCGGGGGGTTTGCTGGACGAATCACGAGAGTGACAAGAAGGGGCGGCCCCCTCGGCACAGCCGGCCGAGACTCAGTGACGGGCAGGGGACTAGAACAGGCACCTTTTGACAACAGCGGGTTAGACTCCATTCGAGAGTTGCCTGAATAACTTATAAACTAACCCAGGAAAGGCCCCGGGCCCACCAGCCCATTCCCGATGGCTCTGTGGGGACTGGGCTGGCGCTCACAGTCAGACTTCGTGTCTTCGCAACCCGACCTGACCACACGGCAAAACGATCTCACAAAACGAGGTCACCCAAAACCACGGGAAGCACGGACAAGACCAGGACCCTGTGCCACAAACACCCAAAGGAGGGCCCCGCCCCCACCCACAGTGAGCTCACTGCCTTCGACCCTCCACCCCACCAGGGCCCAATCCCCCGGCCTGCCCCCAAACAATACAGCAGGGCTTCCGAGGGGAGTGTGCTCCCCACACTCGGTCACCTGCGATGCTTCTGGCTGGTGAGCATGGACGGCCCACATGGCCTGAAATTAGCTGCTCAGCCGACTTGCCCTGGAAAGTACATGCCGGGCACTGAAAACTGAACTCCCCGGAAGTGTCACGGCCTGGCCCACTGTTCACGGAGCTGGAAAAAGATACGGCCCCTGACGACTTTGCAGCTCCAACTTGTTGTCGGGGAAACGAGGATTGGAGGCGAGGTGCTGAGTGTCCCCTGAGAATCGTGCTGGGAAACAGGGGTCAGGCGAGCTCATGATGTGGCTGAGACAGTAGCCAGAATGACCAGAGAAGTGGGGCACATGGGGCTCTCTCCTGAGCTCATTTAGCTGGCCACAGGCTTCATGGGGTACTGAGGCTGACCCAACCCCACTCCCTCACACTGTCAGAGGCCGGGGTCATGGCTGTGGGCTCAGTGGGGCCCCCTGAAATCTGGACTGGGGACACAGCTGCCTCTGACGTCCACGCAAACTAACCCAGGGCTCCCAAATGAGCCAGACAGCCTCTGAGAACTGCCAGAGTCCTCCTGTGGTCTAGGGTGGATGCCCTGCCCGGTGGGTCTGCAAGGGGTCCTTGCAGCTTCTCTGCCCACCTGCAACAATGTATCTCACATTACAGGGCTAAAAAAAATTCCTTTAGTGCATTTCAGAGCAAAATTACTGAGCTGCAGGGCCACTGTGGTCCCCAGTCATAACAGCCATGAGTTGCCCAGGCCAGAACGGGTAGAGCTGGAAGGCCAGGCATAGGGTCTCAACCTGAGAATCTTGGGGGTGGGGTGCCTATGGGTGGGGAGCATGGGCAGCCTCCAGCCCACCCCACGACCAGAGCAGCCTGGCATCTAGCTCACATGGTGATGTTCCCGAGAGTCTTTGAATTCTGGTGGGCTAGCTAACGTCACGCTTTAAGAGGAAGAGAAAAAGACAATACAAGAGAGCAGGCTAAACATAGTCAGCTGTCTCGGTTTGGGCGCTGGGACAGAAAAGGGACGTCCGTGTGTCAGCACCGAATCTAAACAGTCCAAGTTGTACTAACAGTGACGAACTGGAGTCACCCCTTGGTTCCGACGAAGGCACCGAGTCTGCGGGGTGCAACAGCCGGTGGGGGGGGGGCTGGGGGAGGGGTAGGGAGACCTGTGTCTTTGCAACGGCTCTACAAATCTAAAGTGGTCCCCAAACAAAAGGCGCAAGAGAGAAAGCAGGCACTAGAAACAAAGGCAGAGGAAAAGGAAAGGGAAAGGAACCAGCAGAGGCGGGTGGTGCAGGGCCGGGCATCCTCTGTCCCCCCAGGGGCAACTCGCAGGCCCGTCAGCCACAGGTCGCCGCTCAAAACCCCTCTGTTTTCACTCAGTACATCCCTCCCAATCCTCGAAGTCCCCCAAACGCCCTGGAGACCAGGGGATCCCCCAGAACGCTCACCAGACCTGAAGATCCCCAGGAGAGGCCCATGCCCACCGATGCCTTCAAGGGGCGTGGAGGCGCCTGCCAGGCCACCTGGTGGCGGTGGGGGCTGTGGTGGCCCCCTCTCACTAACACCCTGCCTGCCTCCCCGCCTGTCCCCGTGGAATGTCTCTGTGAATCTACCCTGGAGACCCTGAGCTCCCCAGGCACAGAGGCTGGGCGGGACCCTGCCACCTGCCGCGGTCACCAGGCAGCAGCACCCTGGCTGCCCCAGTCTCGGCTCCGCCCCTCTGCCCAGTCCTGCTGTGGCACCAGCCACCAGGCCTCCGATCCAGCAGCTCCTTCTCCCAGAACAGCTGCACTCTCGACCCTGCCGCGACCCAGCCCAGGCCTGACATTCTCTGGGTGACAGGTTCAGGACACACCCCCTCTCGGCCTGCCTCCTGAAAGGTGCCCACCTGCCCTGGGCCCTCCCTCTGCCTCTGGGGCTTGAAGCCCCCACCCTCTGCAGATCACTGCCCTGCCCACCCCCCAGTCCCCAGGACCTCTGCTTCTGGGGTCCCAAGTGTCCTGGTTCTGTTTCCCGAGCCACCAGCACCTGGGAGTCAGCCACACTTGGTGACCACCGTGACTGCCCGCCTCACCTTCTTGGTCCACTCCACGATCCCGCCCTCGGTGAAGGTCTCGAACATCTCCTGGAAGAACACCGCCAGCTTCTGCTGAATCAGGGAGATGGTGATCTCGGAGATGGGCAGGCTGGCCACCTGGGCGATGACGTCCGCCACGCGGCCTGAGCCCTCCACCACCACACAGGGGGTGCCGTGGGTGATGGCGTTGTAGATGGTCTGCAAGGCAGGGGCCGGCAAGTCAGGGCCTGACCCTCACACCCTCGCACACAGTTGCCGAAATGGAGAAATCTGATGGCGCTTTAATACCGGGGTGAATGGGGCTGTCGCCAAATTCACCAAAAACAATGATCGGGGCAGCAGCACCAGCAGGCAGAGGGGAGAGGCAGCCACTCCTGATTCACCGTGGGGTGCATGCCTGACACCCCACCTCCTTGTGGCCTATCACTCAACAGCACCAGTGAGAGAGCACAGAGCATCTCCAGAAAGAGAGGGCGCTGCCTGGCCAGAGTCACCCCCTTATTAAGGTCCAGGTGAGACCAGGACAATAAGGGGAGACCTCCAGGGACCCAGGGTGGCCCCATCTTTAGGAAGGGGCCCCCAACCCCAGCCTGGGCCCCACCTGGCCCTGCCCATGGGAGACTGTGAGGAGGAGTCTGAGTACAGAGGAAGTGGGGGCCAGATGCACCCCGTCTCCCTAGGGAAGCCCAGGGTTCCTTCCTCCTCCTGGGAGCATTAAACACAAGAGACATTTTCTATGCTTCTGCCCCAAACTGACAGGCTGCAATGTCGCACGTGTTCCTACAGCAGAGATACCAAAATTAGGGGAACCCCACACCGTGGAGGGGGCTCTGAACAAAGGTCGGTGGGCAGCATGTTCAAACCACTAAGGAACCTGCCTTCCGTTCAGCTGCTGGTCCCACGGGCCTGAGTGTGGACGCAGAGTTCCAGAAACCTCCCACCGCTGCCCTGGGCCCTGGGAGGAGGGGCTGTCAGCTCCGTCCCTGTGCAGTCCCCTCTGGAGGCCCTCTTACTGGTCAACTGCCCAGGGCCATGCCCTCTCCCCTCACCAGGAGACGGCCCCGCCACATGGGGCACTGCCCTTCCTCTGTCACATGGGGGACAAGCTCCTCGCCCGCTCTCACCAGTGTCCCAACAGAATGCTGGTAACAGCAGCTTGGGTCAGTTGTCCCACCCGCAGCAGGACCTGACCCCCCCCAGGCCCCCACGCAGCTGGCCAGTACTTACATGCAGTGTGCCCGGTCCTCCCTCCAGCACCACACACACGATGGGGATCTTGATGGCCACGCCTAGGACGAAGCGCAGAGCCCCAGTGAGGGGTGCGGAGCTCAGAAGCTCCGCCCGGGATGCTTCCCTCCCCCTGCCAGCTCCAGCCTCATGGTGAAGTGTCCAACCACTGGGAGGCACGTCTGGGGTGCTAAGCAGCCTTTAAAGGCTGACGCTCTGGAGTCAAACGCCATCTGCTTGTTCTACATAAGTGAGCAAATCCAAGGCCCCGCGCGAGATCCTCTCCTCACACTTGCCACTCCTGCACCCTTCCTGGGTGGGAGGAGAAGGCGAGGACTGTGGACAGCAGAGCAACGCCCAGGTCCCCCAGCCAGCCTTCTCTGCCCAGCTGGCCACAGCGACTCCCTGCTTTTCTCTGCAGCCCATCCATGGCATCTCAAGTCTGGGCACGCCATGGGACACCCCAAGCAAGTGGGCGTAACACACCGTGGGGCCCGAGAGTGCAGCACTGGAACCACGGGGACCAGTCCTCAGCCCTCTGTCCACACACTTGGCCCCACCCTGAGAGCCTTTCATCCAGCCTGCAGCCAGGGGTCTTGTGAAGACTAGAAATATCTTCGGCTGGGCAGCAAACTTTCTCTTCAAGTGCCAGCCAGTTTCACTGACCCTACACACTCACATACCCCTAACAGTCCCACCACGGGTCCCTCAGTCAAAGCCGGGAGCTCAAAGTGTGGTCCCCAACCAGCAGGTCAGGGCCACCGGGGAACTTCAGAGTGTAAGCTCCCGCCCACCCAGACCTGCCAGACCTGCCAGACCTGAGGCAGAGACCACACGGTGATGGACAAGCCTCCCAGGGCACTCGTTTGCCCCAAAGCTTGAAAACCTGCTCTCGAGGCGCCTCACGAGCCCGGGTACAGAGTTAGACCCCTGGTGCCTCAGGTCCTGCCCACACACCTCCCCACAGCCTGTGCGAAAGCCCCTTATTGGGCCTCCACTGTCCCAGGATCCCTCCTGTCCCGCCCACAACGGAGAAGGTGGCACACATTCTTGTTTCCAACCTGAGACGGAGTGTGGGAGGGGCCGCAGGGCGGTCCTGACCTGACAGTGAGAGGAAAAGGGGGGCCTGCCCTGACTCTCCCCCCTTGGCCACATGGGGCATGGGGACGTGACCTCCCCGAACAGGTGTCAAGAAACCAGGATGTGTTCTAACTGCGCCCCAAGCCCCCTGCCTGCTGTGTCCCCGTCACCAGGACCAGCCTGCTCCCCTCTCCACCCCGGGCGCCCTCGGAAACGTGCTCCCTCACCTCCTCTCTCCTTCGTCTGCTCCGAAATGAACTTCTCCAGCTTGGACCTCAGGGGGATCTCAACCCCGTAGCGGCCGTGGGTCCCATCGTCCACGAGGATGAAGTGGGAGTGGTTGCTGTCCAGGCAGGTCAGGTGGCCCTGGCCTTCCTCGTCCACGATGTACTCAGCAGGGAAGCCACCCTGGGGGTGGCCAGGGGAGAGGCGGGCACGTGGATGGGAGGTTCTGTGTTGTGAGTGCCAGAAATGGGGGCCTGAGAGGCTGGTGATGACCCCCAGGGACAGCGGGTCCTAATCCCTGGGACCTGTGCATGCGACCTTATTTGGAGAAAGTCTTTGCAGTTGTGACTAAGTTAAGGATCTCAACATGGGAAGATTACCCTAGATCACCCTAGAAGACTACAGGTGGGTCCTAAATGCCACCACCGTAAGTGTACTTATAAGAGAGAGGCAGAGGGAGGTTTGACGACAGAAGGGGAGCGGCCACGTGGCCCCAAGCCAAAAAGGGCAGGCAGCTGCCAGGAGCTGGAAGAGGCAGGAATGGCTTGTCCCTGCAGCCTTTGGAGGAAGCATGGCCCTACCAGCATCTTGACTTTGGCCAAGTGATGCTGATCTCTGAGTTCTGGTCCCCAGAACCATGGGGGAGGACATCTCTGTTGCTTTAGGCCACTGGGTCTGTAATCATTAATTATAGCAGCCCCAGGACACGGACTCAGCAGGGGTGGTGCTAGACCAGTGCACACACCCCTGCTGTCCACAGAGACAGTGGGTTCCGTCCACCCAGCTGCTCCTCCCTGTGTGATCCCAGCCTCGCTACTTCCTCCTGTGAGACCAGTTCACTCCTGAGCGGCTGTGCAGGTGGCCAGTGGTGGTGAGTTAGGGAATTTTACATATACTCATCCTACAGGATCTTGAGAGAAAACCAGGGTCCAGCCAAGTTAGCCACTTGTCCCGGGTCACCAGAGGGACTTGAGCCCAGGTCTCCTTTGTCCCTGTCCAGCCTGGTCCCTCCATTGTGCATTTACACTGGTGCCCAGGTGACGGTCTGCACACTGCAGTGCCTGTGAGGTCCCAACAGCACCTCCTCCCAGATGCCCACCCAGGAGGGGCCGCGTGGCTCACCGTGGGGTGGATCAGGCCCTCGCGGTTGTGCACGGTGCCCCACGTGGCGATCCCGATGGTGACAATTTCCCCCTCGTTGTAGCTGCTGCTCAGGCTGAAGTCACGCACGGCCTCGCCCACCTGCTTCATCACGCCGGTGTGGGAGCCCCCGGTGATAATCCAGGCTCCTGGGGAAAGGAGCAGAGGGCGGGCCGGCCGTGGGTCCCAGCGTGCACCCTGCCATGCACGCGCCTACACCAAGGGCCCCGTGTGCTTCTGACCCTCAGACCCCGCACCTGCAGGGCTTCCAAACCCACTCTCAGGCATATGGTCTGAAAGGATTAGTTCACAGAGAAACCCTGACCTACACGGTCTCCTCCAGCCTCCTCTCCCCAGCGGCAGTGGCGGATCAAGGCTCCCAGGACTCCTCCCCACGCCCAGCAGGGCCTCGCCACCTGGGAGCTAAGTGGAGCCATGTCTGTCCCACTGAACAAGCCAAGGGGCGTCAGCAGTTGTGGGGACAGGGCTGCAGGCAGACAAGGCTGGGTGAGTCTGACCAGGCCCTTCTCTGCCCTACCAGGCGTGGCCGTAGCGACTCCTGAGGGCCCACCAGGCCCAAAGCCTCACAGGGACCTCCCGCCTGGTGCTGTCCCCTCAGCCTGCCCATTGTCTCTGCCTACCTGTGGTCTGGGCCACTTTGACCAGGCCTCTGCGGAAGACGCTCTTCAGCCGGGGCTTCATGTTGAAGTCCTTGGCCCCGCCCGTGACCGAAATGAGGAGGTTAGGGACATCCAGGCCCCAGTGCTGGGTCATGAGTTGGTAGGTCACGCTGGAGGGGGTGTCTTGGGAGAGGCGGACATACTGCAGGGGAGTCAGGAGACAGCAGAGGAGGCCCCAGGTCAGTGGGCACCCACCCGGGCACTCAGACACCCCACATCCAGCCATACACAGCCGGGGGACGCCTCATGCCCTGGGTCCAGGTCCCATGAGTACAAGTGGCCTTGCCCAGGCGAGAGGGAGAGACGGGGAGGCAAAGGCAGGAAGGGAGGCCGGTGGGAATGACAGGCATGGTGCAGCCAGCCCACTGTCCTCACACCCCCTCGGCCGGCCCGGAGCCACAGCGCCCTCCCCACTCCCCCTCTCTGTCTTGGCAGCTCCTCGGCCTGGGGCCTCTCGTCCCGATTCCAACTTCACCGCCTCCCCTGGCGTGGCACGGGAGTGCCTTTCCTTCTCTCCGCCCAGTGCCCTGTCCTGGGTCCCCACGCCCTGGCTGTCATGTGAAGTCAGCAGTCCTCAGGCACTCCCCTCAGGGTCCGCTCTTGCTCTGAGCCCCCATCTTGCAGAAGACCCCCATCCCTATCTTCCTGGGGAACTCCTCCTGTCAAGTGAGAGACCAGCAGCGCAGAGAGCAGCTCAAAGAGACAGGGGCTTGTAAGGCACCCAAACCATGACAGTACTGATGCAGGGTGGCTCTGGGGCTGGTGACCCCGGGACCCCCCCTTGCTCCACCTCCATGGCCACGTGGGCAGAGTCTCAGCAACTCGGAGAAGTTGAGGGCAGAAGCCCCGCCCAGCTGGTACAAGGTTCAGGGTTTCCAGAAACCAGTCACAGGACCAAGTGGTTCCACCAGCCCCCACAGGACAGTGGCATCCAGGAGCTGTGACGCCAGAAGACTAGTTAACATGCAGGTGGGCAGGCCCCTGACTCCACAGATTGGGTGGGACCGAGAACTTGCTTATTGATGCTGCTAATACAGGCACCAGCCTGAGACCCGAGGCTCTGCTGGGATCCCATCCACCCTGATTGGCCACCTCCTACCTCTGCTACCAGCCTCCGGGACCCCTGGAGTCGCTCCCCACCTCCTCACAGCCAGTCCTCTGGACCTGTGCCCGGGCCTGACAGAATGCCCAGGGCCTCCTGGGCAGAATTTACTCCCACTGCTCCCTGGCGGCAGCCCCGACCTGCTCCGCGGGAGCCAAGGACGCTGAGAGCACTGTGTCTCCTGGTAGCCTGGAGGAGCCCTGCCTGCCCTGTCCCTTACGTTGGGAGGGTCCTGTGGCCCCAGGCTTTCAGCCAGCCCCACACTCCCACCCCAGAAGTCTGGCCACTGGGGGTCACCACTGGCGGGCTCTGGCCTACAGTCAGAGCAACAGGGGGATGGAAACCAACCTTTCCCACCTTCTGGCTCAGGCCTGTGAAGACAATGTCACCAAAGGCGTCCGTCGGCATCTCCTGGACGTGCTTTTTCGGGTCCCACTCATTGCTCTGGAAGGTGTGGGGCTTGACGGCCTCCTCCAAGTGCTGCTCACGCGTGTAGCCGCACTCACACACCACCTTCCTGCAAAGGCTGGGAGGTCACCACGGGTACCAAGGTGCCCCACCTCTCCCCCCCCTCTCCCCACTGAGGGTGTGGGAGGAGGCCCAGTGGAGAGTCTGGTCTCCCACCCTCTCACCCAGCAGTAAGGAGGCACCAGCCACAGCCACAGCGCCTGTGACGGCCACATGGGGGCAGTAAGGAGGCTCCCCTGCCTCACCCAGCCAATCACACCTTGCTTAACTAGAAATCTACAAATGTTTTAGATTCCTACTTTCTGATAGTTAACAAATGGCCTGAAAGTGTAGATACAGATGAGACAAAAGACAACAAAAAGAAAGACAGTCTAAAGCCTGAACCAGGCGATACAGGGGAGAGACTACTAGACTGACCAGGAGAAAGAAAACAGGTTTCTTGCCACTTGCTAAGTGTGTGATCTTAGGTGCTTTGAATTCCAGGTTCTCAATCACTAACCGGGAAAAAGAAAACATCCCCCGACCCCAACCCTGCAGAATTTGTGAAGGTCAAATGAGGATGCAGATGGGTAGTCACTGATAAAGGTATTTTATGAACTCGAATTACTAACCATGCAGGGGACCAAGGATAAGAGACCCACCCACCTTGTGCCCCGAACCCAAGTGTTCCTGCCCCCCGAAGACTGTCCCTTCACTGTTCACGAAGCAGGTCCCTGGCTACCCATATTTCCGACGCTCCTCTACGACCCCTCCAGAAGACGCAGGGCGCCTTAGGGAACAGCCCTCTTGGCCTCACTTTACGGCCCGAGGCAGAGAAGGGCGCTGCAGGGTCAGGCCCCCAGCTCCCCTATGCTGGCCCACGGCTGCCCCAGACTTTCCTAGGTTTCTAACAGTCGGCCTGTGACAAACCACCTCCTTTCCTTCCTCTCTAAACTGTCGCCTTCTGATGAGATCAGAGCTTAGGTACGCAGTGATTCCGAGCCTGCCTGACCCAGTGCTGGAAACCACACTGGAACCGCCGACCCAGAAACTGGTCGGGAATTGCTCCCAGCGCTTGGCCTAGATGGGCACAAATGGGGCAGCTCTGCCGGGACCCCTCAGGGGGCAGCACCTTCTCCCCCAGCGGGGTTCCTCCCTGCAGTCCGACGCAGCTGCTGCCCACAGTCTCCCACCTGCACACACGCACACACTCACGCTCTCAGGCAACACCTGAGCGAGCAGGACAGCCCACCTGTTCTCTCTCTGTAGCAACTCCTTGCATTAAACCTCATGCTAATAAAAGTGTTTCTCGAAGTTTTCAGAACCAAATGCATACTGAGCACCATTTCTTCAAGGCAGACAGAGGCACTAAAGGAGCAGAGAGCCCCATTTCTGCCTCAAATTCAACCTGTTTCCCTGGGCCCCGGCCCTCACTGGCCGCTGTCAACATTTCTCCACTGGTTCAGAGTTCAGGAGAAAGAAAGGCCTGAGGTTCAGTCAATGACGCCCTTGAACCCTACAAACCAGACACTAGATTACAGTCTTCAAATTGTCTTGAAACCAGTGATTTCTATACGGGAAGCTTGTGAATCACAATTTTTATAGACCTGCGAGCCTATTTTTATAAACCTATTTTAAAATAACTAAGACCAGGACTTCTGCCAAGATGAAAGCATAGGTGGAGACGCTGTGCCTTCTCTCACAACCAAGTTTAGAGACAACTAAATAATAGCAACAGAAAACACAGCCAGAACACAGAAAATTGAACTTTTCGGAAGTCTGATAACAACAAATTCTTCAGCCTGACCGGTAAGAGGGGCAAAACCAGCAGCTGGCAGAGCGGGGTACCACAGGAAAACTCGGCCAGGCGGGTGCGCGGAACCCAGGCGCAGGGTTGGACCTGGTGGGCAACTCAGTAAGCAATCGCGGGGAAACAGCGAGGGAGCAGGGCTGCGGGTTGACTGTGGTCGCGCATTCGTGTGTGGCTAGACAAGTGAGGGAGTGGGCGATTGGACAAGAGCCAGCAGCCCCAGCGGCAAGCAGAGGCGGAGGGCGCCGCCATTTCCCCGCTCTAACCCCGCCTCCACATACATCGTCATAACCCAGCGACCTGAGTGGCCCTGCCCCTGTGAACAACCTAAGGCTCTGCTCTTCACCCAGCAGCCCCCTCACATCACAACCCAGCGACCTGAGAGTCCAAGGCTCCACTCCTCATACTTAAGGGCACAAACAGACCAAAAATGGCTCAAGAAGATCTCAAAGCCCCAGAGCCTATAAATCTAAGCAATGAAGAAATAGCAAAACTCTCAGACGCACAGTTTAAAACACTGGTGATCAGGATCCTCACAGAACTGGTTGATTATAGTCACAAATTAGACAAACATATGAAGGCGAAACTAATTGAAATGAATGGAATTGCACAGGAAACCAATAGCAATGAAAAGGAAACTGGGACTCAAATCAATGGAGTGGACCAGAAGAAAGCAAATAATGGCCAAACAGAAAAGAGTGAAGAAGCAAGAATTCAAAAAAATGAGGAGAGTCTTAGGAACCTCCAGGACATCTTTAAACGCTCCAACACCCGAATTATAGGGGTACCAGAAGGGGGAAAGGCACAGCCACCAGTGGAAAACTTATTTGAACAAATAATAAAGGAGAATTTCCCCAATCTGGCAAAGGAAATAGACTTCCAGGAAATCCAGGAAGCTCAGAGAGTCCCAAAGAAGTTGGACCCAAGAAGAAACACACCAAGGCACATCATAATTACATTAGCCAAGATTAAAATGAAGGAGAGAATCCTAGAAGCAGCAAGAGATAAGGGGACAGTCACCTACAAAGGAGTCCCCATCAGACTGTCAGCAGATTTCTCAAAAGAGACCTTACAGGCAAGAAGGGGCTGGAAAGAGGTATTCCAAGTCATGAAAACCAAAGACCTACAACCAAGATTGCTCTATCCAGCAAAGCTTTCATTTAGAATGGAAGGACAGATAAAGTGCTTCTCAGATAAGATCAAATTCAAGGAGTTCATCATCACCAAGCCCTTATTATATGAAATGCTAAAGGGACTTATCTAAGAAAAAGAAGTTAAAGAAACATGAACAGTGAAAGGACAACAAACTCACAGTTATTAACAACCACACCTAAAACAAAAGCAAACTAAAAGGACAGCTAGATCAGGAGTGGAAACATAGAAATGAAGATCTCAAGGAGGGTTAGCAACAGGGGAGTGGGAGGAGGAGAAGGGGGGAGAAGGTACAGAAAATAAGTAGCAAGACAGTAGGTAGAAAATAGAAGGGGGGGCAAGAATAGTATGGGAAATATAGAATCTAAAGAACTTGAGACACATGGTTATAAACTAAAGGGGGGGTAATGGTGGGAACAGGGGGTAGGGTGGAGGGGAATGAAGGGGGGAATAGAACAACTGTAACAGCATAATCAATAAAAAAATAAATAAAATAACTAAGACCAGAGAGCTTAACATGTGGTACTCAGTATACTGTCGGAATGCACAGCGTAAACCTGAAACCCTGATCACGCACCAAGTACATTCAAGGTCACCTGCCACCGAGCTGTCAGCTGGAGCACGGGGGCAAGTTTCTCCAACTCGGGGTCTATCCTAGGGCCACCATGAGAAATGAGGGCTCTTATCTGAAAAGAAGCTAAGACAGGGTGTCAACTCACCCCGCCCCCCAACACCCACAGGGCACTTTTAGTGACAACACCCTGGGCCCAGCACCGCATCCCAGAAACGGCAGTGACCATTCACATCTGACCCCGTGTCACAGTCATTTTCCATCTTCTCCACACAGGACACCCTCCTCCTGTATTACTCAGCAAATGCGAGCTGGCTGAGGACTATTGTCCAGCATGGGAAGTGAAAAGCGACTGTGCCTCGGTCAGAGGTCAGAACTCAGAAAAGAGAACTATACGGAGGGTGTCAGGAGGAACAGGTTAGTCCCTGCGGAGTGGTCAAGGAGGGCTTCACAGCAGAGGCGGTGTCTGCATGAGGCCTTGAAGGATAAGTAGGAGTCCTCCAGGTGACAGAAGTAAGAGTGTGGCCTGTCTGTGGCACGGCGTAGACCACAATGTGGCTGGAAGGGAAACACAGCCTAGATAGAATCCACACTCCGTTCACCCCCAAGGATACCACGGAGAGGGATTTGTGGGTCACTCGGCAGCTCTGGCCTTTGGTCTCTGAGGAGCCTCCACGCTGCTTCCCACAGCGGCCGGCAATGTACGACAGTTTCACTTTCTCCACATTTTCACCAACACTTATTTTTTGTCTTCTTGACAATAGCCACCCTAACAGGTATGAGTTTTGATTTGCATTTCCCTGATGGTTAGTGATGTTGAGCCTCTCTTCATATGTCTATTGGACATAAATTGTCTTCTTTGGGAAAGTGTCTGTTCACAACCTCTGCCCATTTTTAAATAGGATTATTTGTGTTACATTGTTTTGTTGTATGAATTCTTTATATATTTTGAATATTAGCCCCTCATCAGAGGTATTGTTTGCAAATACCTTCTCCCACTCGGTGGGCTGCCTTTTTGTTTGTCGATGGTTTCTTTTGCTCTGCAGAAGCCTGTCAGTTTCATGTAGTGTGTTCATTTATTTTTTTCCCCTTTTACTTCCCTTGCCTTTGGGGTCAAGTTTACCATAACCCCTCTGGGACCAAGGTCCATAAGCTTAGTACCTATGTTTCATATATACCATGGAATATTACACAGCCATTAAAAAGATAAAATACTGCCATTTGGGAAAACATAGATGGATCTTGAGAGCATCACACGAAGTGAAATAAGTCAGGTGGACAAGGACAAGAACCATATGATTTCTCTCACATGTGAGGTAAAACACAAACCAACAAATGAACAAACAAAACAAAACAAACAACCTCACAGACTCAGACGACACTGTGGTAGTTGCCAGAGGAGGCGGGAAGTGGGAAAGGCTGAAAGGGTAAAGGGGCTCAAACACACGGTGACAGGAGATTAGATTTCGGGTGGCCAACACTCAGTGGCATGCACAGCTGTCAAAGTGTGAAGCTGAGCACCTGAAGTTCATGCAATGTTATTAACCAGTGTTACTCCGATGGATTTAATAAAATGAGGGAACCGCCGCCCCAGGAACGTGAAGGTGTGGTGTCCCTCCACAGGTGCCCTCTGGTTTACCCAAGTCAGGGGCGCCCCGCTGCGGAGTCCACAGCCCAGGAGGGCAAGGACGGCAACCTGGAGGCAAAGTGGCCCCTGCTGTCTGTGGGGGCGGCCTCGGTGGTCCTGCCGGCCTGGCTTACCTGGAGGCAGGTGGGCCTGTCTGGACTCAGTGCCCTCCTCAGTGCAGGGTCTGAGCTATGAGCGGTCCCCGAGGCCCCTTGCAGTCCCCGAGCCCAACATGCTGTTCCAGAGGGACATGAGCTGCCCTCGAGGTGGGCCACACAGAGCCTGAACCACCGCGTGGGGCCGAGGCTTCACTGCAGAGCGGCCACCTTATGACCTGAGCCAGCCGCCCAAAGTCTCTGAACCTCAACTGCGAAGCGGAGTGGGGCGAGACTCCTTCCCCACGGCAGCTCAGGGGCGAATGGAAGGCCCAGCTCACCCCAGGCCGGTGCACTCGGGACCGGCCCTGGCTGAGGCCTGCCCGGTCTTGCTCCCACCAGCCTCTCCACATGGAAACGGAGAAAGGGCCCCTCACCCAGCGTCAGACAGTTTGGAGCTCTCCACAAAGTAGATGCATTCTTTCTTCTTGATGTTTTCGGGAATCCACGAGCTGAGATTTTCCTGCCGAGGGAAAAATGGCATTCTGAGGTCCACAGGCATGACATCAGCAGTATTCACAATGGCACGTCCTACACCTCCCTCCGGCCCCTCTGTTCTCCCAAGAAGCTTCAAGGGGCTTTTGTCAGAAGAGGGGGGCCCCTGCCCTCCCACACCCAGTGTCAGACCGCCCTGACGCAGGTGCGCAGGTGTCCACTCAGGACGGAGGTGGGAACCCGCGGGAGCACTCCTCCCGGGGCCCAGCTGGAATCTGCACAGCACTTTACAGTTTGTACATCAGCATTGCACTGCCCTCCTGGGAACACCTCGGTGTGGCGGAAAGGTGGCAGTGAGGGTCTGGACACCCTCCTGGTCCTGGTGGGACGGCAGGCTAGGACACCCTCGTTCCCACCTCACAGGGACTGCGACGACATTCAAGCGTGCTAGTCCCCAAGGTCTCATTCCAGGCCCTTCTGTGTGGCTAGCCCTGGACTTGGGTTGTGCTCAGGGCTCCCCAGTCGGATGGAGGATAGGAAGTCATTGCGCAACAAGGTCAGTGGGGACAGCTCTCCGTGAGCCTCACCCAGGACACAGTGTTTACCCAGCGCACCCATGTGGGGGGCAGACATGGCGCCGCCCACCCCTCTCCCCCTTCTCTCCAGTCCTCTTTCCTCCGGGTCTTTCTGGGCTACAGCACCCAGAGCAGGAGTCTCTGTCCCGCGGGATGTCCCCCGTCCCATGGTCACTAGGCCACAAGAAGCCTACCTTCTCACAGCTGTTGAACAGGTACTGTGACCTCCTGCTCTTGCAGAGGCTACTGTTGCTTCGCCGCAGGTTGGGGACCAGGCCCAGGTCTGCCACCCTCCTGGACTGCACCCCGAAGCCCTCCTCCTGGTTGGAGCCAGCTTTCGTCAGGGCCGAGGGCTCCATTCTGACACCTGTGCTGTAGCCTCCACGGGCCTCCACCTCCCTCAGGACAGGCTTCACTCGGACTGGCTAGGCTGAGGGTTCCAGAAATGTGTTGGGGAGGGGGGTGGCTGAAATAGATCGGAGGGGAAAAGAGGCAGCTGTCCTGAGAGGGCCTGTTGGGCTCCTGGAGTGGAGCCCGGCCACTGGTCCATCTGCTGAACTCTGCCCCTCAGCTGGGGTCCATGGGCCACGTGGAAGCACAGGCACACCCCGGGCCCCCATTCATAAGGGTGACGACCTCAGCTCACTGTGTAGGACCAGAGAGAGCGCCCCACCCCAACCCTGCCACTCAGCCTACGTGTGTGCAGCAGCAACCAGGAGCCGGGGGCCAGAAGCAGAGGGAGCTTGCCAGCCACCTGTGGTTCACACGCCAAGCCCTGTCTCCATGCTTCCTGACATCTGCTCACCACTTCCAATTTCCAAAAGGAAAAAAAGACCCTACTAAGCACAAAGTGGTTTCGGGTTGTGGCACAGCTCTCTGCCCACAAAACAAGTCTCTGAAAAGAACTCATCTCCTTTTCTCAAACCCTTTTCTCCCAGAGCCGAGGCCGTTGACTCCACCCCTAAGGCGCACTGAGCACACAAGTCCCTGAAGCCATGATGCCCGAGGTCACCTTCCACAATGCCACCCCATGAGGTCATCCATGGAGCCACGCTCCTCCACCCAGTGTCTCTGAAGGTGTGAAGAAGGGCCTCTCGGGCAAGAGAGTCACAGGTCTCACCTCGCGCGCCCACCTGGAAGCCCTTTCCGCCACATCACCTTCCACCACATGCGACGGTCCCTCGTGGACAGGCCTTTGCCTGCCCATTCATCCGGCTTCCACATGTGGTCATGTACTCTGGAGAGGTGCGAGGGAACTGCCGGGGAGTGAGGCACCCACCCAGCCCTTTCCTGGCTCAGCTCAGCACAGCACAGGGTACTTGCCATTCAGCCACCTGGCAGCTGACCTCAGGCAAATGCTCTCAGTGCTCTCAGCTCTGCATCCTCACTTCCTCCCACTGTGCTGCCCCTCGGCCAGGCTCACTCCCGGATCCCAGGCCTGCCCAGAGGAGGCTCACCTGCCTCCCATGACAGCACTGAGATAATACTGTGCTGCTGTACAGTGGCCGGCTGTACAAACGTGGACGTGGCCTGGGATCGTTCATGGAACTGAATGACTGGTGAGGCTGGGAGAGTTTGGAGATGGCGTCTGAAAGAGACTGCACTGCCGTGCGAAGCATGCACAAGTCTGGGTGGGGCCGCGCCTCTCACCAGGTTTCAAAGGATGGGGGACCCGCAGAGCTTTAGGAACATGGCCCTCTGCCTGGGTCATGCAAGGCCACTGTAAGGCCCAGCAGAGCCGCAGGGGCAGGCGACTCAGACCTGCAGAGCCCCTGACATGGAATTCCCGCCCCAGTGTCTGGTGTCCCTCCTGTGCCCATCCCACCACTGCATTTTGGAAGCACATGACTCTTCGGGTTTCACAGGCTCACAGCAACCTGCCTCATGACGAATCTGCCTCGAGTCTCACCCTCATCTGATCTGAACAAGGTTCAGACAAGGCTTTGGACTTGAGAGTTGATGCTGCAATGTGTTAAGACTCTGGGGACTGCTGAGGTGGAGTGAGTGCATTTTGCATGGGAGGAGGACATGGATTTGGGGGGAACAGGAGTGGAATGCCATGGTCTGAACGTGACTCCTAACAGGTTAAAGCCCTAACCCCCAGGGCGATGGCCTTTGGAGGTGGGGCCTGTGGGGGGTGAGTGGATCGTGAGGATGGAGCCCTTGCAAAGGGATTAGCGTCCTTATAAAGGAGACTCCAGAGAGCTCCTGCCGCCTTCTGCCATGCGAGCTCACAAGGAGACATCTGCACCCCAGAAGGGAGCCCCCACCAACTCTGCCCGCACCCTGATCTCAAACTTCCAGCCTCCATAACTGTCAGAAATAAAATTCTGTTGTTTATAAGCCACCCCATCTGCAGTGTTCTGTGACAGCAGCCCAAACAGACAGAGTGACAGGAACCAGTGCTGGCTCAGTGGTGTCTCCGGGCACAGCATTCATGTGGAGGTGACACTTTACCCCTGGGTGGCCCTTGTAGGGCCATCTGCTGCCATATGCAGTGGCTCACCTGGCCACACAGCCCACTTCTGAGGGATGCAGATGAGCTAGAAAGGTTTCCAGTTGACAGAGAGGAAACTGAGGCCCTGGAAATCTCTCGGGCAAGCAGCTACTCTGCAGGGGCCTGGACAGGACAAGGACGACAGGATAGTAGGAATGAGATGCGTGGAGAGATGTGTGTGCCACGAAGGACCTTGTCTTACCAAACTCAGAAGTGCTCTTGTTCATGCACACATGTCTCAGAAAGCTGCATGCTTCAGCACAGTGCTGAGAGCACTGGGAAAGTGCACGACTTCCGAGAGGATGGATAGATAGAATAGTGATTGATAGGTAGATAGAGAGATGGTAGATGGACAGATGCACAGGAAGAATTTGGCATACAAAATGCAAACCCACAAACGTCACCTGGCGCAGGATACCTGACGAGAACTCGGAGCTGTTTTCATAGAGCGAGCGGCCTGCACAGGGGCAGGGCATGTCTGCACCTGAGTTCTGTGCTGCGCAGTCCCAGGGGACAGAGCTGCTGAGGGGCCGAGGGGCAGAGCACAGGTGTAGGGGGGAGAAGCGGTCCATGCCATCTGTTCAGCTCTGAGCCCACCGCCAGTGGACCCACCCCCACCCCCACACCAAGGCCAAAAGAATGAAATTCCTGGGTACAGTTTTAACAGCTGCCTCGTGGACCCAAGCCCATGGGAACTCAGAGACCAGGGCTCCTTGTACCCCACCCACCTCAGCCCAAAAGACTCACCAGGAGACAGAGCAATGGACTTGCCATGTGGCCGGCCCTGGGCACACTGGCCGGTGGCTGGCAGTGCACCCACCTCTACTTCCCTCTCTAAACCATGCAGCTGCTCCCTGCCACTCCTTCCCCAGTGTCTTCTGAACTCCTGGCTATGAAGGTATTTGGAGATTACAAATAGCTACACATCTCAGGCAGGGGAAGTGGGTTTTGTGGTCTTGTGCCGCAGCCCAGAGCAAGGGCCCAAGATCAGCTAGGTTATCACCCCGGTCGGGGCAACCCACACCGGGACAGACCATGCCCCCGCCCTGTCACAGCGCCCGTGACCCAAAGCCCGGAAGGCCATGGCACAGTGACCCAGCGGATGCCTGCGCCCCAACCCCTGCCCCCACACCCGACCCGTGAACCTGCACTCTTCCCTGGGTTCCAGTCATGCCCCAACCTGCGCCCTTGCTGGCCAGAGCCAAGGTCTCCGCACTCCATAGCGCACGCACCTTAGCCTACGTCCCCCGACTGCCGCACGTTCTCTCCCCCCGCCCCCCCCCCCCGCCGGGGCCTCCACCCAGCACCTGCACCCAGCGCCAGTCCGGTTACCTCGCCACTGCACCCCGCTGGTGTTCACCGAGGCTAGAGCGAGGCCAGAGCATGAACCTACTGGGAGCGCCCCGTGCCGCCTGACTCACGCCGCTGCTCAGGACGGCCGCCCCCGGCCCCGCAGGACCGCCTGCATTCCGAGCCGAGGTTGAGCCCCGCGCCCGCTGTCCTCCGCACTTTCCGCGTGGCCCGCGCGCACTCTGCGTCACTCAGCTGGAGAGCGCAGCCTGCGCTGCGGCATCCGGCACCCGCGGAGACAGCCAAGGACTAGCCGGCCTACCCCAAACACCTGACCTGCGGAGTCTGGCCTCCCCAGAGACCCCTGTACCAGCACTCAGTGCGGGTGTTAGCCTCCTGAGAGGCTAGTGGCAAGTTTCTGAGTTCAATGGCGATTCTCTGCAAGCCCTAAGCCTACGAATGGGGGTGGGGCGGGGAAGGGATGGGGGTGCCAGCAGGAGGGGCATGAGACTCAAGTGGGTCTGGGGCTGGGTAAGCCACCCCCAGAGGGCACCCTTGAACTCTGCAGCTGCCCCCACCCCACTATGGCAGGCGCTGCCCCTGGTAGCACTGCCCCTCCTCAGGACTGGCAGAGCCTGAGTTCTGACTCCTGAAGAGACCCGGCTTTCCCTGAAGGTCCAAACCACAGTGCTCTCACCCCACAGGGGCCCTCCGCCCTCTCCTTCAGGCTGCCAGCTCAAAATGCCCCACGGCCACCCCTGGGCCCTGCTGGGAGTCCCAGGAAGTGAAGAGTGTCCTGTGGCTTCTCCAACTAGGGCCTGAGGGCTGCCAGCTGACTCCTGGCTGACCAGCTACCCCCTCACTTCCTCCACTGTGTTCTCTGACCTAGTGTCCACACGCTTGCCCAGAGCGCCCTCCTCTGAAAAGCCCCTACCCTCTCCACCTGCCCCTGCCTCCCCACAAAGGAGACAGCTGGCAGTACTGTGGGTCCATGGGCTGGCAGATGTCCCCCGTCTTAATATATCCCGCCATCCAGCGAGCTCCAGCAGCCGTGGGGAAGGGGCCAGAACCCACCAGAGCCCCTGGTGCAGCGCGGCCCTTGATTGTTTTGTTCAGACACTTGGAGAGGCATGAAGGCAGCTGGAGCCTCTCCTGCAAAGCAGTCGGGAGCACGGAATAGAGAGTGGGCAACCAGGGGTGTCACTGTGGACACCGTGGCTCTGCCCTGCTGGACCACACCCCGCAGGTGCACAGCCCTCCACCCATCACTGCTGCGTCCGTCCTCAGAGCCCCACAGCTCGTCAGCACCAGGTGGCTGCCGGTTGCAGAACAAAGCTTGCTGCCACTGCCGCAAACCCGGGAAGGTGCCTGAGACCTGCCCGCATCTGCAGCTGGGCGTTAGCAGCTGTGTCTAGACCCCCATGCAATTCGCCGTCCCGGGGGCGCCATCCCACTGACCGAAAGCATGCTGGGGGCTGTTAATAGTTCATGAGGCAGGGATGATGGCGGAGCTGTGCGATGGGCAGGCGCTCGGCGGCTTCTGCTTTCAACCACCGAGGGCCCCTGTGGGAGCCTTGTTTGAGGTAAAGTAATTCAGGAAACAGGCTTCTGACAAAACATCTGTGCTCATGTTGTCCCCGAGTGGCCCCTTCCTTTCTGGAAAACCACACATTGCACAAGAAGGCCCTGTTCCATCTGCCAGGACGCCACAGCAAGGACAATCATGAAACGTCCTTCCCATGGAAGTAAGAAGGCGTTTGCCTGAACACAGCATGTCCTGGTCCTGCCAGAGGGTTCTTTCAAGTTCCAATAAAGGCAGTGCAGGGCAGGGGATTTTTCACAGCAGGGACATCTTGCCCAAGATAAAAAAGCCCCTTGTTCTGGTAGCCAGAAGAAAACCACAATCGGGGAGTAAGATGGCAATCTGACCCCGTGACATTGACGTACTCTGGTCGAGAATAATACACAGGAGCACAGCGGAAGGCGGGAGGGCCGAGGGTGGGGGCTGGCACACAGAGCCCAGGCAGAGGCTGTAGACTTTCCTGCAGGAGGCCGGATGGTAAATCTTTCAGGCTTTGCAGGCCCATGGTCTCTCTCCCAACTACTCAACTCTGCCGCTACAGCGAGAAGGTGGCCATTAGCGAAACATGGATGGGTGCAGCTGGGTGCCAATAACACTTCGCTTCCAGGCACAGGCAATGGCTGGGGCTGGCCGGTGGGCTGGTTTGCTGTCTCCTGGGATAGAGAGAGCACAGGGGAAGTGGGCTTTGTGCCAGGGGACACCGTTGTTTTTCCTAATGTTAGGTCAACAGGTCACTTGCATTCCAGAACCATCATATTACAAAGGGCTTCCCGTGAAATGTAAAAGTAAATGAGGGTGAAGGTGCTGCAGCCAAGTGCAGAGAATACAGCTATTGGGGCAGCTACTGTGGGTACTATCATGGAATGGAGGGTGCGGAGCACCTGGATTTGGCAATTGGAGGGGTCGGGATAAGACCCCTGTAGACCCCAGTAGAAGCCTGGATGGAGAACTAAGACAGACCCTGGATCAAGCCATGCTTGAAGCTGTACCCTTGTCTTCTCCATTATGTGAGCCAATGTTTCTCTGTTGGTTTAAGTAAATTTGGTTGCACTTCTGTTAAGGTTCATTAAAGGAAGCAAAACCCCTATGAGAATTATGAAATACAAAATATATTATAGTAATTTGACTTTACAAAACTCTGGGAGGAGCTAGGGGCTTAGACACCCAAAAAGAGAAGTTGGAGAAGGGGGGGTCACTGAGCAGCACCCCCACCCCAGGCAGGGCCACTGCTGGAAAGAACAGCATAGGCCATAGGGAAGACCCCACCACCCACCCCATTCATCTCCCGGCTCTGGCCAGCTTCGGGGACTGATGACCACTGTTCCTCTTCCACCTTCCAAAGCGCAGGCCAGTTTCCCTTTGGGGCAAGTGCCCCTGTAGCTACACAGGAAGGGAGTTCTGGGGAAGGCAGGGTGAGGCAACTCAAACCACCACCCTCGTACTTACTCAACAGAGTCCTCACTTTACAAATGTCACCTGAATCACAAGGACCTTCAACTAATTCACCCTCTCCATCTGCCCACCTGGAAGTGGCAAGGGTGCAGGAGCGCCCAAGTGAGCATGTCTGCATCCTCCTGCTCCTCACTGTGAGGAGGCCTGACTGGAGCCTGGCCCCAGCCTCAGTGGAGGTTGGAGGAGAGAAGCAGATGTTTCTTGACAGAAGCCTGAGCCACCCAGACTCAGGGGGAGTGGCCCCTGCCCATTAGTGACTCCTCTGTGCCGGAAAATCACATTCTGAATTCCAATCCTCGACGCACTATGGGCAGACCCACGGGGTCTTCGCACCTTTCTCCTGCACCCCCATCACCTATGCAAAACCCTACAGGCACAGTCCTCTCGCAGGAAAGCCCACCCCCAGGGACACTGTCAAGGAATGAGGCAGATGCCACTTCTCGTGACTGACAAGGATGGAGGGCTGGGGCCCAGGCCACAGCATTCCCTGGCATGGCCTGCCCCAAACGTGACGGGTCACTTTGCCTGGGACACACCAGTCCATGTAGAAGAAGGGGCCGTCTCAGCCAGGTGGAGTCAAGCCTGAAACCTACAACCCTAAAGCCCTCTTCCCATCAGCCAATGGTTGAATGGCATCGTCACAATGTACGATGCTCAGCCTCCCCCAGAACCAGCTTCTGCACACACTTGCTTTCTTCCATCTGTGGTCTGTGGCAGCATGCTTATCTGTACCTTGGACAGTCTCTCTGCATGCTTCTGTACCACCTCTTGGCCCAGCCTGCTCTCCATGGTCCCTGGTATCTCCTGCTTTGTCCCTGTCACTTGATGTGGGTCCCCAGTGGGGTCAGCCAGGGGCCCTCTGCTAGGCCTGCTGGAAGCTTCCCGCCACTCTACGTGCGCTGAGCCCAGTGTTGGTGTTTCTCTTAGCTCAAGCCTCATTAGTCAGATAGTTCTCTTGTTGTTTGCCAGCTATGAACTTGGCATATATTGCCAGGGTGAGGAACCCTGTTCTCCCAAAACTTACACAGACCCAACCACTCATCGCCTATCTGAGCACAACACCATTCTTCATTCTTCAGCCTCTGGGCCATCATATTCCTGGGTCGTTTCCGCCCTGTGATGGACCCACAGTGCCCCTGCAGGCCACAACCAAAACCTTGGCTTTTTATGACTGCAGCTTCCAACATGAGCCATCCTCTCCTCCTGATACCTGGGGCAGGTGCCCAAAAGGCCACAACTAAAGCCAGTATCTGAGAATTCTGATTGGCAGACCAAAGCCAGGACACGGGCCTAGTGGAAAAGAGGTCCGGTCTTGAGACCCCTAACTCTTCTGAGATCCCAAATGCCTTAATGTAATTTGCATCCCAGGTAACCTTAAAATTCTAAAATTTTAAAATTCTAAAATTCTAAAATTGTGAGGTCCCTGCTAAGGCTGGCCCCATGTCTTTCGGAGGTCAGGGCTCGCACCTGAGGGATAGGAGGTCGGGGCTGGAGCTCAGGACTTCGGGCTGGAACTCGGGACTGAAAGAGGGTTACAGTTCAGGTCGCTGAATAATGACGCCAAAGCCTAGCGTCCCCACAACAAGGTGCGCAGAACCCGGCGCTTGGCCCAAGGAGAGCTAGGGGGCGGAGCTATCACGGGGCATGGAGGCCCAGGTGTCCCCACTGCGCTCGCGCCGCACCGCCCCCTCGCCAGAAGGCCAATGGGCTTTCAGGGAACGCCCCTAACGACGTGGGCTACGCCCCCTGGAGACGCGCCGCGGCAGTGCCGAAATCCTCCAGGGTGGTTGGCAGGTCCAGGGCCCGGCCGGTGGCTGGGGTCCCAGCGACCCATCGCCATGAAGCTGACCCGCAAGATGGTCCTGTCTCGGGCCAAAGCCTCGGAGCTGCACAACGTGAGGAAGCTCAATTGCTGGTGAGGCCCAGAAGCCGGGGGCCTCTACCCTGCCTACGTCCCTGCCCTGGAGCGGGGATCCCCGCCCACCACCCCCTCCCTGGCTTGGGGCCGCCCTCTCCGCACCTCCGCCCTGCCTTGGGGCACCCCGCCCTGGGTTGGGGCCTCTCTGCTCGGCACCTCCGCCCTGACTTGGGGCCCCCAACCCTACATCTCTTCTCTGGGGCGGGGCCGAAAACGGCCTCTATAGGGGGTTGTCGGGTTGGAAGAGGGCAGGACCCTTGTCTGGCCCCTGTCCCAGGCTGGCCTTCTGGGTCCCAAGAGCCCACAGCCTCTAGGAGGTGCTGCCATAAGCTCAGGTGGCCATTGGCAAAAGTTATTCTAGAATTTTCATACTCACACAGCCCACCCTTCTTGGTGGTTCCTTTTTGGACATAGGCTCCAAACCTGCTATTCTTGCTTGAAACCATTAGAATCACCTTGAAGACTTGTTTTGGGGGCTTCTAGATAGCTTTAGTGGGACAGATGGTTCCCTCTGTAGACAGGTCTGGTTCCTGACATTGTCACTCATTGGGAGCCAAGTCTGCCAACAAGGTGGGAGATCAAGGGGATTGAAACCATTTCTAAGGGAAAGAAAAGAAAACTGAGACACTTCAGCAATGACTTAATCATTTTCGTAACTGAATCCTATGAGAGAGGAGCTCTCCCCAGGTGACACTGTCTGGGAGGTGACGGCAGGATAGAGGTGTCATGGAGTCAATGCAGGCTCCAAGGCAAGGTGGTCCAATAGGGGCAAGGCAGGACCAGAAGCACTTCAAGAACTCCTGAAAGAGGTGCAGGTGTTCAGGAGGGACTCAGAGTGAGGCTTCGCAGGTGACTGTGACCTGGACAGTTCTGGCGGGGTGTAGGGAACTCAGCCAAGAGCAGACTTTCTGGCCGCTGGGGTCAGCAGCTTGACTGCAGTGTAGGAGCCCAGCTTGTTCACTAAAAAGCTTTTCTCCTTGCTCTGGCACATCTGGCACTTTGGCCACAATGTACCCTGTCACTCATTTTCAATAATGCATTTCTTTTTGTTCGGCATGGGGTGGTCATACCTTCTCTAGGCATGGAGAAACAACATGCTATTTCAGGCTTTTCAAAGTGTTTCATAAGTTGCATATTTAGCCTTTGAACTTGGCCTCTTATAAAGACTCCTTTGTTTGTTTATGTCAGTTAGGAAAATGATCCTTCTGCCACGGCCTTGAGAATGAGTCCATCTGTGTCCTCCCAATGGAGCAGCCTCTACTGCTCCTCCGTCTCAGCGGCGGCTCTGGGCACCCAGTATATCTGCTTTTGTTAACCATCAACCCGAAATGACTTTTGATACCTTCCTCAATTACCTGGGCAAGCTTTTACTTTATCATTGAAAGTTTATCTTAAAGTTCATAGGCATTTGTTGTTAATTTTTTTGGAGTTGATTTGTAATTTTTTGTATTAAAAATTCATGTAGGCCTTTAACAAAATTAATGCCTCTATGTCTTTTCTTTCCCCAGGGGCAGCCGCCTCACAGATGTAAGTATTGTGCTGATCCCTGATCTCTAAAGCTGCAGCCTCTTCCACAAGGGAATTGTTAAATCGACAGAATGGCATCCATTCAGTTCAGCCCTGGTCTGGTACTTTGACATACAGCAGTTGTTGTAAGACAGACCCACTAATTTAAAAAAAACATTCTCTAGCACCCAAGTTTATTTTGAAGTTCTTTTACACATTCACTTTAAATATGTTGCTGAGAGGCTCCTGTGCCCACACAGGTCTCACAGGAGAGGGCAGCCCTGCTCTCACCTGGGAAGGAACCCCGGGGCTGGGCTTACTTCACAGAGACGGGTACTCAGCTGGGGGCCCTGTGGGTTCCTGGACTTCGTATCATCGAGAAGGACGCTCCCCACTTCAGCTCCTCCTCTTGGTCACATCTTGCTGCATGCCCCCTCCCAATGGCAGGAAGAGACTGGACCTGGGGGGTGAGGGCACAGTGCACAGAGCTGAGTGAGCTGTAGGTCTGTGAATAAGTTTCTTCTTTCTCTCACTCCCAGAGTGAATGCTCACAACTTGTGCACAGTTTGAGTGCCAGGGATCAGTTTTTATCTACTTTTGTAACTTGAAATGTACCTTTCCTTAAAAACAAAGTTGGAATGCTGTTGAGCTACTGGGCTGTCCAGAGAAGCTGAGTCCACCTCAGGCAGTAGCCGAAGGGCTGCATATTTAGCAAAAAAACAAACAAAAACACCCTCCTTGGAGCAGAACAAAACTCCATTGCACCGTGAAGCATCCTGACCAGACCGTCTAGCTTCATGCCTGGTGAATGGCAGACACCTAGACATGTGGGGGCTGTACCACTCAACAACCTGGCAGGTTAGGGACCTTTGGACCTGCCTGAACCCCTTGCTGCTCTTGCCCCCTGAGGCAACACTGTTAACACAGTCTGAGGTCCCATTTTCAACCCTATCAATCCTGCCCAGCTGTGTTGGCAAGAAGGGGCTCAAGTCCTTTTCCTGTAAGGCAGGGACAGCAAGTGGAAATGTTCTCTGTCCAGCATATGGGCACCAAGGTCCATGTACCTGATGTCCTTGGAGGGCTTCCAGATGAGGACTGCTCTGTCAATGAGGTGGCCAGCAGGGTTGGACGCATGGCGCTGCCTGAGTGTTGGAGCTCCCATTTCTCCTCCAGGCTGAGGGAGACTCGGGGGTGCAGGGTGGAGTGGAACTCGGAGCCCGTGTGCGCTTGTGTGGTTAGTGCAATGGGAGGGAGGGGGTGAGGCCACTTCATGTAGGCCCAGGAGTGGGAGGTGATGGTGGCTCTACACTGTTTCTCTGTTGAGCTGGTAGAGAGACGTGATGTTGCAACGCCAGTGCCCAGCTGTGCTTGCAGCCACGTTCTTTTCCTCCCTAGATCTCCATATGCCGGGAAATGCCCAGCCTGGAAGTGATCACCCTCAGGTACCTGAAGGCCTGCTGTCCCTCCAAGCCACTGGGGCTTGAAAGAGGAGGGGGACCTAGAGAATCTGAAAACTCCCGGGGATGTCCGAGGGGGCTGCCGGCTCCTCCGCTGCACCCCACTCCACCCTCCTTTCTGGAGCTTCACCTGAGCCTCCCCCTGCTGCGTCCCTGCCTGCCCTGCTGCAGGTCCATGAGTGCAGCCTCCCAGTGATGATGGGCCGCCACCCTCATCATGGCCACGTCTGCCCCCAAATCGCCCAGCCTTCTCTGACCTGTTTCCCTCACTGCTAAGAAAGCAACTCTGCTGCTTTCTTTCTGTCACATGCTCTGTCATTGATACATCACCCCTTTTTGAGTCATGGCATTTTAACAGACTAAGGAAACCTTGAGTGAACCAAATCCTGTTGGGATTTCGGGCAGCTGGGGAGTTTGGAGGGCCTGCCTCAAACGCCCTCCTGCCCACTCTGGACCCAGGGTGGCAGCCAACTCCGTGCATCCCTTCCACTCTGATGCTGGTGTGCCTCCCGCAGGTCCCTGTGTATAAAACTTGACAGGGATCTGGACCCTGCAGGGAAGGCAGACTATCCATTTATGGCAGTTCAGAAGGTTCTGGAACTCTCCCTGGGTGCTGTAGTCACAAGCCCTGGGTCCCATACAGGCCTCTGGGACTTATATTCCTGATCACAGGACGGGCCACCCTGTTTTTCCCTCACTAGCTCTCTGCTCATACTTCACACCTTCCTCGGTTGCCCAGTGGTGCCCATGCTGACCACATTGCGCTCATGGCACCCCTAGCCCCAGGCCGAGCCCCTGTGGTCAGTGCCTTCTTGTGGAATAAATGAACAACCAGCTTGAAGCTGTGCCCAGTCCAAGTTCCGGCTCTCCCACCCGGGGCAAAGTTCAGGCCTCTGCCTTGGTTTCCCTCCCTGTAACACAAGACAATGCTGGACAGGTGCTCACTGTGCTGTCTTTGCAGCGTCAACAGCGTGTCTACCCTGGAGCCCGTGAGCCAGTGCCAGCAGCTGAGCGAGCTCTACCTGCGGCGGAACCGCATCGCCAGCCTGACTGAGCTCTCCTACCTGAAGGGCCTGCCGCGCCTGCGGGTGCTGTGGCTGGCCGAGAACCCGTGCTGCGGCGCCGACCCCCACCTCTACCGCATGACCGTCCTGCGCAACCTGCCAAACCTGCAGAAGCTGGACAACCAGGGTAGGTGTCCATGCTGAGCACCCCCAGCAGGGCCCTCCCTCTGCCTCTTCTGCAAACCCCTGACCTCTCAGGACGTCGCATATGCCGCCTCCTCTGGAGCCTCGGGAAGGAACCCCCTGGGATTCCATGGTGGGGGTGCAGCCCCGCGTTCAGAGCACAGGGCCTCAGGTGGACTTGTTTGTCCACCCACACTGGGCTGTTTTTGTTGTTTTCTCTGTTGAGACCACTGCGCCCAAACACTCATCCATATGCCCTGGAAAGTGGAAGAAGGTCCTGGTGGGCGAACGGTCACTGCTGGTCCCTGGGGACCCAGGGGGGTGGTACCCCTGTGCTCCCAGCTGTGGGTTACCTGCTGTTGCCTCTACCCTTCGGGGTGTGGAGTGTCAACTGCACCTCCTTCAGGAGCCACACACAAGCCTCTGCCCTGAGCCAAGGGCGCCGCCTCAGAGTCCCGCCCGTCCCCGGGGGCCCGGCCCTTTCTCCGGTTTGTCCAGCATCCTCTGTGTGCTGGCTCTTAGTCCTCATCTTACGTGCACAGTTCTTTTTCTCCCAGAAGAACAATTTTAATATAAATAAACTCCAGGGCAATTAAGTCAAATGGAACAAATGCACTGTATTCTGTTCTTTTTTAAATTTTAATTTGAGGTTTTTTTGTTTTGTTTTTGTTTTAACGAGAATTTGCTTTTGGGAAATGCTGAAATTCAGATTCACAAGCAGTCGTTAGCTGGCTGTTGTGTGTCCTGCCCATGCCAGGGCTGTGGAATGGCTGTCGGGTGGACAGACAGACACCTTTTTTCTAAGGCAGACTGTGCTGAGTGTCCAGCATGTGGGGCCTGCATGTGGTGGGGCCCCCCTGAGTTTTTGCCCCCTCTCCTCCCCCCCAAAGCTGTGACTGAGGAGGAACTGTCCCGAGCAGTGATGGAGGGAGAGGAGGTCACGGCCCCCAGCAGAGAGGGCGTAGGGAACGGCAGGCCCGAGCTCTCCTATGCCCTGAGTGCCATGGACACCACTGCTGAGACCCCAGGGGACCGGCTGAGCTTTGGCGATGAGGAGGAGGCAAGGTACGGGGGCGGGGGGCTCTCCTGGGTCCACCCTTCCAAGGAGAGCAGCTGCCCAGGACTCCCCTCTGCAAGGAGGAAGGGGAGCAACTGCTGCCCAGGGTGGTTCTTGCTCCTCTGACCCTCAGTGGCCAAGAGAATGCCCAAGGCATGGCCTGAGTGTGAGCTCAGAACCAGCCCTACGTGGGGTGCCTGGAGGTGGGACTTGGGAAGGTGGATTGGGGCCCCCGGGGGCCAGCTGGAGGGGGGAATGCCGACTAGAGGAGCCCCCAGGAGAGGGGAGGTGGGCTCTGAGGCTGTTCTCTGATTGGCACAGCTGGTTTCGAGCAGAAACTGACTATGGGTAATGCTGCAGGGATAGTTGTTTGCAGAGGGGCCTCCAGGTTCAGTGCACATAGCAGATGAAACCCCTTTGTTTTCCCGGAGTCTCACACCCGTCATTTTAGTGTAGTGCCCTGACCCTTGACCCTAGGCGGGAGCCCCCAGCGAATCAGAAAGAAACAGTTGCTGTAGCACCTTCCCACCCTCCCACCCAGTGCCTCTGTCCCCCCAGAACTAACATCACACTGTGGGGGCTTCCCTTCGTATGGGGGGATGTCAGGCGTCTCTTCCTTGCTGTGCTCAGAGGCTCTGGCCGTCGGCCCCACTCAGCCCTCGTGCGTTGTCATTCCCCACACCATGCAGGCTCAGCGGACAGCTCATCAGCCTGAGGCCCCCCGCCCGGGACCGGTTTCCTTCCTTCCCACAGAGGGAGGCTTCGAGCAGTCTCAAGAACAGGGTAAGTGTGATGGGGCGGCCCTGGGCTGCCTCCGCCCGGAGTGTGGCAGCTGTGTGTTTGTGGGGGGGGCGGGGGGCGTGGACACTGCAGAGACTAATGAGGCCCAGCCCCAGGGGAGAGGCGCTGCCTGGGTGTGTGGCCCGAGGCTTCAGGGAGAGCCCGAGTCTGTGGGGCCAGCGGAAGGGTCGAGGCAGCACGTCAGCTGCAGAGATTTGCTGCCATGCACAGGCCTCCGCCTGCACTTGGCCTGGGGATGCCTTGTCCTGGCCAGGTGGCTTTGTGTCACCCCACAGTGACCAGGAAGCGGGCCCGATGGCCCTGGAACCTTCCCTGTCAGGAGAATGGGTTGTTGACCTAACAAGAAGTGGGCTGTTGGGTGATGTCGCCAAAGCCCTGGTCACCTCCAGGTGTCTGCATGCTGCCCATGTCACCCTTGTGCATTTGTTTGGTGACCACTTATAACGCAAAGCTCGGGAGGAGTGGGTGGCAGGGGTGGGCAGGCTGAGGCCCCATCCGTGGAAGGTGCCAGCCACCCTCCAGGTGAAGCTTCACCCCAGAGATTTGGACAAGTGGCCGCAGACCGGAGGCCTGGGCTCCGGCACGTCGCGGTGGGGCAGACTGACCTCGCCAAGGGCAGCACTTAGCCAGCGACTCTGTGCTCCCAGGATAACGTCCTGACTGCCATCTTGCTGCTGCTGCGGGATCTGGACACTGAGGGGCTGGAGGCCGTGCACCAGACTGTAGTCAGCCGGCTGCAGGCCCTGCACAAGCAGGAGCTGCAAGAGGACATGGAGTGACCCAGCAGGGACCCTGCCCTGAAGTCCCAGCGTCTTCCCAAGCACCTGAACGATGGGGCAGACAGCCGTGCCGGACCCCAGGCTGAGCCCCAGCACACAGGATTGGGTCCTCAGGAAGCCTCAGTCCTCCCAGGAAAGCCAAGCCGCCTCTCTGGATGGCACCCGGAGAGAGCAGGAGGGGACTTGGGGGCTGGCCAGGCAGACCCCACTCCCACGCCCTCCTGTGTGGGTGGCTGGACTTGACCTGGGGCCCTTCTCCCCAGTAAACATTTTCTAAATTCTGACCTGGAAGCAGGTTTCCGAAGTGATGGACATGGCGCTCTTTGCAAAACTGAGAGCCATTGCTCATGCATTTTCCCCAGCCAGCCTCTGGCTCGGCCTTGGGGCAGATCCCTGGGCCACAGGAGCCTTCCCGCTTCATGGCCTCCTTCCTGACGGTTCCCTCCTCAGTCACACTGGCAGACATGCACAGCATAGCTGCGCCGCCACTGCCACCTTCCACCTGGGGGTGTTTCCTGTGGCTGGCAGGCTGGGCACAAGGCACTCGACTTTGTATGAGGCCTGCAGCGGTGCCGAGGGTTTGTGTGGACCCCGCGTAAGAGGCCTTGCAGGGGCAGGCCTGCCACGTCTGCCTGGGGGTTCAGGTGCAGCTGCAGGTGAAGCAGCCAGGTGGGGAAGGGTGGCCTTCTGGAAACTGCTCCTGGAAGGTTTTCTTCCTGTAGGAAGAGTGCAGGCCTTGGGTGTCACACATGATCCAGGGGGGGTTGCTGCAGCCATGGAGGCCTCCGCCTGCCCAGGGAGCAGCACGGCGCACCCCACCAAGCCATTAGAGACAAGTCCCTTCTTACCACTATGGAAATGCCCGGGGCTAGGGAGGGGGACAGGATGTCATTCCCGTTACCCCCTTCATGTGCAAGGCAAGACACCAGTGATGGCGTGCCGGCACCTGGCAGATTGCGGCGCTCCTAAATGAAGCTGCATTGTGGGGCCAGCTCTTTTCAAAGGGCTGCTGAAGGCCTCCCAGTGCTGGCCTGGGGGAGCCCCGGGCAGAGGTAGGGGATCCGTCTGTGGGGCTCTTGTGGTTTGTCAGGACAAGGGGGCGAGCTCTGAGCATGGGAGGCCAGCAGCCGCCGCCTGGGGCCATCCGGGAGAATAGCTGTACGTGGGTCTTCCTGTCTCTATGGGGTCTTGCTCTCCATAAAGCTGTGCCTTGGTCAGAACAAGTTGGGGTGGTTGTGCTGAATTATGGACGCCCTCCCTTTCCTCGCTCACCAGGTGGGGCTCACACCAGCTTCCCTCCTGCGTGCCCCATGACATGATGCACCTAGGGGACCCATGAATTGGACTGGCCAGGTGAGCTGCCTGCCTGCCTCAGCCCTTTGGCCCTTCACCGCCCCCCATCCAGCTCCCTGCCAGATCAGAGGCTCTACCAGCTCACTGGGCCCCCACTCCCTTCCACCTGCTCACTTGGTGGCCTTTGGGACCAACGATAGCGTGTCCAGCCACGGCCTCTGGTTGTGACAGGGGCACTTGGTAGTCCCCTCTCTGCCCTTCCCAAGCAGCCCTGAAATCAAGGACCTTGAACACCGCAGATCCTGGCATCATACCCAGTGTGTGTCCTGCTGGCCCCAGTTTGTGTGGGACAGGACAGGCCCAGGAGGACACGTTGCTCAGCCTGCCTGGGACAAGCCCGCACTCACGGCAGGCAGAGCAGCCCCAAGGGCCCAGCTCCAGCACCCAGGAGCTCTCAGGCTTTCAGGCCAACGTGGAGAGACTGGTGCAGACCCCCAGCATCGGGCTTGTCTAACTATGCCTGCTGCCCCCTGGAGTGACCACGGCTTCCTGCCAACATCCTGTCAGGGCATGAAAGCAGCCTGAGGGAGGAAGGGCCCAACCTGGTCCCTATAACCACCAAGCCAGGCCCTACCAGGAGACCCCCTGCCCAGAACCCCTGATGTGGCCTGTGGGCCTCCCCACAAAATCTCATGGGTCCCAGAGCCTCGTCCTGAGCCTCTGCAGCAGCTGGGGGCGGAGCACAGGCTGGAGCAGCCCTGGACTCGGTGCCCAGGCAGCCACAGTGGGGGAGAGGGCCTGGACGGGCCTGCGAGCTCAGGAGTGCTGGGTCCCGCCAAGGCGCAGCCCCTTGCAGTCCAGCTCAGCTCACCCTCCCGGGCGCCGGTGCTGGGCTGGGGGTGGAGGCTCCTCAGGGCGGCCCTGGGACTCCTGGTGGGTCAGCCCCTGTCCCTGGTGATGAGGTTCCTGGTGCCCCCCTCCCACTGCACACCTCCACGAGGGTCTCCCCCAATCTCACTCACATTAGCCACCTGCCCAGGACCCTTGACTCTGCTTCAGAGACCCCAGCCCAGGTACACCTGAGGGACCAGTAAAGGTCAGGCTGGGAGCCTGGGATGCAGGATGAGAAATCCTTGGCCTGAGGGAGGCCAGGCCTGCCACCTTGAGGACAGGGCTGACGGAGCTCAGGTCACCTGTCAATAGGGTAGGAGATGCACAGGTCACCCCTCAGGACAAGGCTGAGGGGTCTCAGGTCACCCTTAGGACAGTTGGGAAGGGCTCAGGGAAGGGCCAGGGGGGCCTCAGGCCACCCCACCAGCAGAGAGGGGCCTGCTGGTTGTGGGAGGAGAGTGTGGCTGCAGAGGGCACATGTCTCGGAGACCCAGCCCGGCCCTGAAGCCAGAGGACAGCCCCGAAGCGGACAACCCCTCTGCCAACCGCCAGCAGGCCCAGCCTCCCTACAGAGTCCCACAGGCCAGGCCCTGCTTTCCACAGATCGATGGCACTTCTCTGTTGGGGTGACTTTATTCCCACAAAAGATGACAAGCTCTGCCCAACTACAGTGCCCAGTGCTCAGGAGCAGGGGCACGGCAAGACCCCCGGGACACACCACCCTTGGCACGAAGACTCGGGCACTGGACCCCAAGGGCTGGTGAGGGTGAAGGGCCATGTGGGGGACCAAGGAAGGGCAGTGTGTCCAGACTAGGATGCCCCATGTCCCCTGGGGCTGGAAGGTAAGTGCCCAGGGTGCTCTGTCCTGGAGGCAGGGCCGTGAGCCCCCCAGGGCCGGGCTGAGAGAGGGCCACAGCCTACCCACCGCCTGCCTGCCTGCAGGTTCCAGGCGGCGGCCTGGCAGGGAAGGGCCTGCTGGCCAGAAGGGTGGCGGGGCAGCCTCAGAAGCCCTTGTCCACGCTCAGGGTGCGGCGGGTGACGTGCTCCAACTCCCCAGACACGTAGTCAGCCATGCTGACGTGGTAGTGGGCCAGCATCTTCAGCATCAGCCGCAGGTTCAGCCACCACTGCTCCCGGGGCATGCGGTGCCTGGGGCGGGGCAGGGCCGGGCAGGGTTGGGGCACCTCCTCAGCCACGGCCTCCACCAGGGACCACACCCCCTCCTCCGAACCCTGGCCCTGCCTGCTCCCACAGGAGTAGCCCTCAGTGGTGGTGCCAGGGGTCCCTGGCCCTCTAGGGCGTGCACCCAGGACTGACTCAGGACCCCCACCAGGGACAAAGCGGGGAGTGTGTGCACTCAGATCTGACAGCCCCGCTGGCCCAGCTCACCCCTTCCCGTCCCGGCACACTCGCCCGGGGAAGCCTGGACCCAGCTGGCCACCCTCACTTGGGAGGGACTCACTCAAAATCAGTGTCCTTCTTGAGCTCGGTGACAGGGCTAAAGGCCACTGACTTCTTCTGAAGGCCGATCACACAGGCCGAGTCAGGGGCATTGGCAAACACCCGCCCTGTGGACATAGGCACGTGCTCAGCCCCTCCCCCAGGGCCGGGGCAGAGGGCAAGGGCAGGATCAGGCACCTCCCACACACACCATTGCGGTAGACGGCCCGGAGCTTCTCGGACACCCAGAGCAAGGCCTTCACCCCCAGCTTGGTCCCGTAGTTCCGGTCAAATGGGGTTGGAGCCCCGCCCTGGAACACAGTGGGTGAGACAACAGTCCAGCCTGCAGGGTCAAGGCAGGCCTTGTCCCCACAAGTCCCCAAACCTGGCCCCACTGTGGCCTCAGGTGAGCTCTCCAGGTAGTTTCTGACACTCCATCCCCTCTGCCTGTAGCAACCCGGCCCCAGATCTGGCCCAAACGCCACTACAAGAGGGCAGGCCATGGGCAGACTAGTCACTGAATGGGGTGCCAGAAGAGGGGAGCCCTTGGGGTGCACACAGTCCTCATGTGGGGCTGGGAAACCCCACAGCTCTAGCTCCTTGCAGGGCCACTAAAAGGCTGAGATAGGGAGGGATGTGGCAGGTACAGGGGGCCTGGCCCCGCCCCTTCCTGGCCAGTGATGAGGCCTCAGCAGACAGAGCATGGTGCCCTTGTCTGAGTGATGGGGTGATAAGCACGTCGCTCTGGGCTGGGAGGGAGAAGCAGGCAATGACCTGCACCCAGGGGCCCCACGAGGCTGTGCGTGCAGAACGCCCTCACCCTGCTGCATCCTGTTGGACCCCTTGGCCCATGTGCAGATGCAGGCAGGGGCCACACTTTCCCAAGCTGTACCTGCTGCAGGTGGCCCAGGACATTGGTCCTGCAGTCGAAAATGCCCTTCCCTTCGGAGGAGTAGAGGTTGTACAAAAACTCCGTGGTATAGTGTTCATGGCACTTCTCATTTCTGGGGAGAGAAAGAGGGAACCTGAGTGACAAGTGGGAGCCCGCCCAGGCCTCCCCGATGGGGCGCCTGCTGGGCCAAGTTACAGGCCTCCGGGGAATGCCACCTCCTCTCACCCCTCCCCAAGGCCCCTCCACCTTGTTCTGACCCACGGCCGGAAGCCCCCGCCATGGCTTGGGCAGACCCTCCTCCCAGCCCAGGCCCCCCCGCAGCCTCACCGAAGCACCAGGCCCCTCTGGATTTCCGTCTTCATCTTCTCCGTCATGTGCTCCACATTGGCCTGTAGGAGCCAGGGAGCCAGTGAGCCAGTGTTGGGGCAACAGCCAGCACCGCCCCACCACAGCCAGAAGGTGGGCAGTCTGGGAAGGAACATTCCAGACCATCTGACAGGTGGAGCCAGTGTCACTCGGGGGTGATTGGAGGGGTGGACATTTGGGCTGCAGGTGACAGGAGGGCACTATGAGGTAGGACATGGGCCAGACTCCCCACAGGCAATGCAACATGGCTCCTCGGCTGGGCCCAGCCCCCATGCCAGGCTAGCTCCTATGTGCGTCTTAGGAAGGGACCTACTTAGCCCCAAAGCAGGAGAAGGTTGAGAGCCTGGCCCACCCTCCTATGTGCATCTTAGGAAGGGACCTACTTAGCCCCAAAGCAGGAGAAGGTTGAGAGCCTGGCCCACCCTCCTATGTGCGTCTTAGGAAGGGACCTACTTAGCCCCAAAGCAGGAGAAGGTTGAGAGCCTGGCTCACCTTTAAGTCTTGGATGTTAAAAGGGTCCTCAAAGACGTAGGCGGCATCTGCCCCCACAGCGATGCCGGTCACGGTGGCTAGGTAGCCGCAGTAGCCCCCCATAGTCTCCACGATGAACACCCGGCGCTTGGTCCCTGAGGCTGACTGCTTGATGCGGTCACAGCTCTGGGGGGCCAGGGGTGGTCAGGGTCCTCCCTGGTGGGCCCCAGGGACCCACCATGCGGCAGGGACCCTGTTTCTCTCCAAAGCTGACCGAGGGTCAGGAGGAGGCTGTGAGCTGCAGCCCCACCGTGAGCTCACCACAGGCCACGTAGTTGTCCCAGCCTGGGTGATTCCACCCCCAGAGGACAACAGGGGTGTCACCAGCATCTACTGGGTACGGACCAAGGACGTCACTGTTCAGGTCAGCTTGATCTATGGGGGGGGGGGGGTGCGTCCCGCTGCCAGTGTAGGCCATGGTAAACCAGGGGTCAGATGCTAATGATAACATGCGAGGTAATAATACTCCTCACTTTGAACTGAGAAAAGGGAACTAAAATAGGTAGGTAGTTGGCATCTGAACCGCGAGGCCCTACCTCCATGGCGGCGTTGACTGCAGTGTCGCAGCCCAGGCTGAAGTCCGTGCCCGGCACGTTGTTGCTGATGGTGGCGGGGATGACGCACATGACAATGCACAGCTCCTCGTAGCAGCCGCGGGCCTCCACCAGCTGCAGCACCCCCTCGTAGGCCTGCAGCGGGCAGGTGCTCAGGGCCTGGGAGGCTGGGCCCCAGGAGGCTGGGCCCCGGCAGGTGGGGGGGGGCAGCAGGCAGGACCCCCCCAGGAGCTCTGCAGCCCCTTTGGCCAGGGAAAGTGGGGTTCAGAGAGGACAGGAAGGAGGCCTGCAGGCACTGCCCTGACCCTGATCCACTCCCTACAGACGGGGGCAGTTCAGGGTCCTCCAGGGAAGAGCAGGAATGTCTGCCTGTCACTAGGGTTACCAGCACCAGAGTCACACAACAGCACCCGTGGCTCAAAATCTGCCTGACAGCCACACTGTGCGTGACCACCACACAGGCAGGAGTGAGGCCACTCAGGACCCCTGCCCAGAGTGCCCACCCCCTCCGCAGGGACCAGATGGGCACTGCTTCCTGTCCCTCAGCCAGAGCTGCCCCTGCTCTTGCCTGCCACCTCCCACCAGCACCCAGATCGCCAGCTTTAACCCGAGCTGCGAAGCCTCAGAAGGTAAATGCCTCCCAGAGCCCAGCACCACTTTCCTTGGGCCCTGGCAATAACTTCCCTGCACATGGGGGTTTCTGGAAGGGCCACCTCAGTCCCCAGACAGAGGGAGACGCTCTCAGCGCCCCTCCCCAGGCTCAATCCCCTGCGGGGGCCTCACCTCGAAGCCTCCGATGACCAGCAGGGCATGGATGTTGTATGTGCGTATGTTTTCCACGATTTTCTCCAGGTAGCTCTTGGGCAGCGTCCTGCAGTGAGGGACAGTGAGATGAACATGTGGTATCTGCACAGACCGCCAGGCTGGAAAGACACACACAGCCTGCACCTGACCGCAGGAGAGTGCAGGCCCCAGGGTGGGGGCAGGGTGCATACAACCCCTGGGTAGAGGCAGAAGCAGAGGCTCAGTGCCTGAGTCCAGTGGGGCCTGCCGGTGGGGGCGCAGCCTGGCACCCGCTCAGTGCCCTTGCCAGGTGATGGAAAAGCCCCTCACTCCTGGGGCCTGTGTGAGTTCTCTGCAGGCATGGGGCAGCCTAGCCACCTCCCCCTACGCAGGTGACCCCAGGTGAGCCTGCAGCCAGGAAGCCCCAGGCAGGGGGGTCTGTAGCCCACTCTGGTCACCTGCTGGAAGGGGGACCTAGCCCAGAGCCCAAGATAGGTTTCCCTTTGCACCCCCTCCCCACTGAGCTTGCACTCTGGGTCTCCCAGCGGCCAGCTGCTCACCTCTTGGTCCCCAGCATGGAGCCTCCTCGCCCCAGCCAGCCGGCCACGTCATGCCAGCCCACTTCTTGTACCTGCAGGAGAGAGGCACGGCTTCAGGAGCACAGGCCAGAGGTGCTGGCTGATTCCTCCTCAGGTGACAAACCTGTGCTCAGGGGGAGCATGTCCGCAGGGGAACAGAGCAGAGTCCCAGGTGCCTGGGCTGGGTGGCTAATGCGGACCCATCCCCCCATCCCCTGATCCGTTTCCTTCATGGGCCCGAACTGGCCATTCCCACATTTCCACTGCCTTGTTCCAGTCCCTGGTTTGTCTGGGAGCAAGCTGGGTGGTGGGCAGTAAGTCAGCCAACGGCCCACGGGCCCTGCCACTATGCACCTACCTGACCCTTGGCCAGGCCTTCAAAGCCATCGTGCACCACGTATACCCGGTGACCCTGGGAAATGCCGGAACGCACCGCCGAGCGTACGGCTGCGTTCATGCCGGCCGCCGGGGCCCCCACATTCAGGATGGCCAGGGAGAACTGCGTCTTAGGGGAATAGAGACAAGAACATGAGCATGGGGGTGGGGAGGGACCACTGACCAGACGGAAGTCAATGAGAAGCAGCTTCTCCTGCCCGCCTGACCCCCGGAGGAGTGGCAAATATCTGTCCTCAGGATGCCACGAGCTTCTGGTGAAGAGCAAGTGCTCATAAACTGCAGGGGCCTGGCCACGGACGTTAGCAGGATGTGGTCCCTACCAGCCTAGTACCCCCACGGTGGCCACTGGACAGTTCCGGCCAGAGTCCACACCTGCCTGGCAGCCTCAGCACTCACCCCACACTCAGGGGTTAGCACTAGCGCCCCCAAGTCCTTGGTTGGTGGTGCGGAAGCACAGAGAGAAAGGGGGCCACCGCCATTGTAAGTTTTTCAGTGCCCATATTAGGTACACGCAAGCAGCTGATACTACTCAGGTTAACTTCACCTGGTGTAACCAAAATAGTATCACCTCCACCTGCAATCCAGTGTAAGGCATCACTAACAGGTTCATGTCTGTCTCACCTAAGAACCCGGCCTCATGCCAAGTGCTCTGTGGCCGCACTTGGCCAGGGGCTCCACTGGGCAGTGGGTCCTGGTGACACCCCCGGCTGCCCAGAGGCGCTTACGCCCCAGCCAGTTCCAGGAGGGGACGTGCAGACCACTCTGCTGTGTGTGGCAGGAGGGGCAGGCAGAGAGGGCTGCTGCCTGTCCCTCATTAGCTCCTGGAATAAAAGGGGGGATGGGCCATGGACAGTGACAAGGATAAGGTGATGAGCACCCCCAGGCTAGAGACACACTGCAGAGGTCTCCTCAAAGTAGTGACAATGTTAGTGACAATGGCCACATCAATCATTTACCAACCCCGCAGGCTCTGCCACGAGGTGGCTCCCACTCCCCTGTTGGCCTCCCCTATGACGGCAGCTCCGGGGACAGCAGTTCCAGCACCCCACTGGCCAACCCTGTCGTGATGGGGCCCTGTCCTTGTCCCCCAGGACTTCAGAAACAAGTCCTGCCATCATTCTTCTCTTGAGAAGAGGCCATCTCCCCAGGCTTTTAGCTCTCTTGGAACAGCTCATAAATGTTGGATGCCTTCTCTCCTGAGCTAAATTTGTGGGCCTAATTTAATTTCTTATAAGTGTCTGATAAGCGAACGGCCAACGTCATCTCTAGACGGGGACACTGGACACCGGCTGTATGACAGCAGCTCGTCCAGCAGAGGCCGAGCCTGACCCCAGCTCCCAGCTCCGGCCCCACATGAGGGAGGGACCCGGCACAGCTGGGCCGACCAGGAGCTCCCTGCTCCCTGCTCCCTGGGTGGGCGGCAGCGGGCAGACCCTGACCTGGGGGCTCTGCCACTTACACCACCTCACCTTCTCTTCGGAGATCTTCTGGTGTGCAAGCAGCTTGTAAATGTTCCAATTGTTCTCGAAGTTCCTGGAACAAAAGCCGGTGAGGCATCAAGCAGCTTGCCCCTACAGTCCTCTCCCCACCCACACCCATGGCCGCAGCTTAATTCCACGGCCCACAGTCACACAAGAAAACATGGAGCCTGGCCCACTGCTAAACATGGAGGAGCCCCCTTCTCTCTTTTGTTGTCCCCAACCCAGGCCAGGTGCCATCGCTAGGTGGTGGAAGACCCCACACGACATGCGACCCCAACACCCCTCTCAGCTAAGCCAGTCCCGGAACGCAGCCTGCCCTGGGGTGGGCAGCTCCTGTGCACCCACCACCCCACAGCCGGCCTGCTTTCCTCCACGGGAACCACTGAGGCCCTTCCTAACTGCAGACTGCTTGGCCACACACATGTAAAAAGAGGGATCTCAGGAGAAATTCAGAGGCCCCCTCGACAGCTATGCATGTCCCGTGTGTGGGGGCACGGCCGTGTGCAAGCTGCCAGGAGTCTGCCATGGACCCTGCCCACAGGCCCTCACCTGCCGCGGAGCTGGATGGCCTCATCGAACCTCTTCTCATCCATGGCCTTCTGCACCTCCTTTGTCTTAAAGGAAAGGCAAGCACAGGCTGGGGGAGGCCTGGAGTGTGCACAGCAGCCACCTGACACGGTGGGCCCACCCCAGACCTGCCCAGCAGCGGTCCCTGCCAAGGCCAGCAATCGGGAGAGCTGGCCAAGGCTGGGAAGGCCCCACCTGGCCTGGCCTCGGGGTCCTTCCCAGCCACCCTGGCTCCGTCTCAGCCTCTGGGGACCCCGCCAGGGTCTTGGGAATGGAGGCTGAGGCCCATCTGGCCCCCAGACCCATAGCCGGCGCTCAGCCTGCCCAGAAGCAGGGCTGGTGGAAGTCACAACAGGAGGCTCTTCCAAGGGCAGCGTCAGGGAGGCCCAGTCCCCCGCTTCCCCTGCCTGCCCTCCCACCCTCAGCTGCAGGGTCCCTCAAACCTGCAGAGCCAGGGTCAGTGGCCCCAAGCCCAGCCTCTCAACCTCTCTGCTCTCCCTTCCCACTCCCCCTTCTGGAGGCCCCTTCTCCGGCTACATCAAATGTCCCTCACATTGTCTACCAGAAATTACCCAGTGGCTCCAGCCACCCACTCCTCCTCCTTCCCGTCTTTGCCCCAAATGCCCCCAACCACCACCCAATTTGCAAGGGAGATCCATGGCCACTGGCTCTGGGAAGCTGGGTGACCTCAGCTCAGCCCCCCCTCTCACAGGGCTCATCCCACTTTGCAGACACTCTTGTTCCCCTCTCCAGGACTGCTGGTTTCTGATACCCTGAGGCCAGCTTACGACAGGACAGACATAGGAGGGGGTGAGGCTGGGGGCGGCGCCTGTGCAGGCAGCCTGCCCGGAGCCCTGAGGGGCCTGGAAAGACAGGGGTTCTGAGAGCAGGGGAGGCCGTATACTCACCACCTGCACGCACTCCATGAGGGGCAGCCGCACGGACTGGTTCCCCGACAGGCTGACCACGTAGGCCGGCGTGTCGGGCGTGGCCTCCATAAGCGCCATCACCGCCTCCATGCCCATCTTGCTGCTCTGAGCGGGAGAGGCGCGGGACTCAGGTGCCACCCCCCCCCCGTGGGCACACACAGACACACAAACACACATGTGCACACACACTCACTTGGCCCTTCTCTGCTCTGGGGGCCACGCTGAGCCAGCACCCATGCTGTGTGAAATCCCTCAACTCAGAGCTCCCCCCACACGTACTGGTCGAAGCTTCTAAAACAAACAGTGACAGAAACAGTGACTTCATACGCCACCATTCACAACAGCTCTACTGAGGTGGTGTGGCCTGCACCCCAGGGCTGCAGTGGCGAGACACGCCCATGGTCACTCAGCCCAGCGGGAAGGGCGAGGATTGGAATGAGGTTTCCAGGGTTCTCTCCACCACAACAGGGTTTCTCAACTGGGGCTCCTTTATGTCGGGGCTCCCCTGGTATGTGTGCCACTGGGGGAGGTGGGCTGGCGGCTGAAACATTTAGGGACCGCCCTCCCTGCGCCATACACGCAGGTCCTGGCACAACCAACAGGAACAGACAGGTGTGTGAGAAAGCAAGGTCAACGCCACTGCTGTGCTCGGCTCAGGAAGGTGTGGCAGGCGGGTCCCCTGCTCCCCTGGCACCGGCAGGCAGCACCCGGGCCTCTGTTGCCTCCTGCCCCTCTGGGAGCCAGGCGCCAGCTGGGCAGGTGTGTTTCAGTAACAGCCACGGGAGAAGGCTCCGGTGCCCCTCAGGAGTGCGTGCTGGTGGTTCCCTGAGCTCGGGCTTCTCCCCACAACTCAACACACTGCACGTGCAGGTGCCACCCTGTGGGCACGGGACTTGGGGACCAGACAGAATGCTGCCACTCCGGCTGTGAACACACTCTCGTTTGTCTCTAATGCGGGCATCTCATGTCTCCCCCCAGCATCCATGGAACCACAGGCCAGCTGGTTCTCCCGAAAGCCAGGAAGACTCCAGACCCACTGTGGCCTGTCTCTGCTGCCCAGGCTCGGAGGAGGGTCGGTGCTCGGTCCTGATGTCCCAGGACCGTTAGAAGGCTGTCCTAAGGGCACCCAAGGCCTCATGCAGGGTGCAGAGGCACCTGGCCAGGTCAGCAAGGCCCCTGTGTGAGGCCAGGGTCCCGCTGCTCTGTGTGGGACTGGGAAGACCACACACTGCCTCCTGGGAAAGGCTCAGCGCAGTACAGCAGCTGCAGTTCGCTGAGGGTCCGAGCAGGTCATCCAGCCGCACACCAGCACAGTGGTCCAGGAGGTATCCATCCCCTACCCTGGGGTGACCAGCCCTCAGATACAGGCACTTGACCACCCATGGGGCTTCTCTCGCCCGAGACCCTGTCTCCATTTGTTTGCAACCTGATTCCCACTTTGCAGAGGATGAGGTGGGACCCAGCAGTCATCAGGATGACAATGGCACACTCGGGCCAGACCCCAGCACACCTCCTCCCCAGCACCTGGCTCCCCCAGGGATAAGAACTGTGGTGGCCTCGGCTATGGGCCAGGCAGCGGACCCCAGGGGGGCTGAGCTGCAGGCCTTGCACTGCTCACCCCGCCCTCCTTTCCTGGCCACAGCCACCACCAGGGGGGTCGGAAGCTGCTGACTCATGGGGCAGGGATGGGGGGCACAGATCCCCAGGTCCGAGTTTCCCACCCCCACAGAGTAATGGAGGGGCCTACCTCGGTGTTACCCACGCACACAGGCACAGTGAAGAGAGGCTCACGCACCACCCATGCACGCACCCCAAGCCACGCACACGCACTGGGAACCAGAGCGACACCCCACCTACCAGGATGCGGTCGAACGCCGAGGGGGTCCCTCCCCGCTGCACGTGGCCCAGCACAGTCACACGTGTGTCGAAGCCCAGCCTCCGAACCACCAGCTGCTCATTGGGAGACAGCGAGGCGGTTCTTAGGTTCGCTGCCCACCCCCACCGTCCCACCACCCCACAGGCCCCAAACCCTGGCCTTCACCCCTTTGCTGGGTCTGAGGGATCCCAGGGTCCCCAGAGAGCTGGCCCTGGGTTCAGGGCCTGGGTCCACGGCATGTAAGCGTGAGGATGTGTTTCTTTGTGTGTGGATGTGCGCGTGCCTCTTTCCATGGGAGTGTGTGGGTGCACAGGGGATGTGTTTGTGTGTGTGCTTCTGAGTGAGTGTGTGGATGTGTTTCTGTGTACATGGGTGTGCATTTCCATGTGAGTGTGTGGGTGCACAGGGGTATGTTTGCGTGTGTTTTCCTGGGTGAGTGTGTGGGTGGGGGGTCCCAGGTGGGCCTGGCCCTGCAGGAACACGCTCTGAATGCAGACTGGAAACCAGTGGGTGGAGGGCTCCCACCGGGTGTTGGGGGAAAGCCTTGGCCTTTGGGGCAGGACTTCTTGGACAGCCCCGGGCACCCCCCACCGGGCTGTCACTGAGGAAGCCCTCCTCAAGCCTCCTGCGCCTGGGGTAAGAGCCCCAGCAAGAGTGCTTGGGGACTGAAGATAAAGTGGCCCAACCCACTAGGCCCCACCTCCATCCCATCCACACAACCCAGCAGCTCCAGGGGCCCCTCCGCACTCACATCCTTCACGTAGTGCGATGAGATGGGCTTTCCATTGCGGTCGATGGCGCCCTCGGCAATGATGATGATGTTCAGCCGTGACCCTCGGCTTCGGGTCTGGGTCAGAGATATCCCAGGGCTCAGCGACCTCGGTCACCTGCCCCAACACAGCCGCCACCCACCAGCCCTTCCTGAGGTCCACACCACAGGGCCCACAACCCATGTGAGGAGGGGCCAGCAGGGACCCCATGGTCCTGCTGGGAGCAAGGAGGGGCTGGCTGGGTGGGTTGCTTTGCTGCAGGCCTGGGAATGGGGCCCTCCAGCCAGGGACGAGGCAAATGGTTACAAGCAAAAAGACCCTTTGCACTCACCTCGCCAAGCCTCTCACACATGAAGTTCTCCCAGCCGTCCTCGGGGGGTGCCTCTGGGATGAACAGCCAGTCGGCCCCCGAGGCCAGGGCGGACACCAGGGCCAGGTACCTAGAGGAGCAGGAAGGCCACCTGCTCGGGGCTGGACCCAGCAGCCCAGGCCCCAGACCTGTGTCACCCAGGCCTCACCGCCTTTGTCCTCACTGCATCCAGCCACAGAGGTGGACTCCCACACCCACGGTGTTCAACAAGCACCTGCCCTGGGCCAGGTGCCATGGAGGTGCCACCCCGGGTTCCTGCTCCCAGCTGCCCCCACACCCGCCCCCTTGACCAGGGCAGCCCCCTTACCCGCAGTGCCGCCCCATCACCTCCAGCACGAAGGTCCTCTGGTGGCTGTGGACAGGAACAGGACAGAGGCATCCGTGTTGAGCCTCTGTGAGCTGGGCTCCTGGCCCGGTCTCCTAGGCTGGCAGAAACAGCCGCCCTCCAGCCACAGGGGCTGAGCCACACTACCCACAGCCAGCTCTGTCTCGGGAGTGCCTGGGTGGCACAGTGAGCATGGAAGTAGCAGACAGACAGACAGCCCTTCTTATTCCCAGGTCAGCCAAGTGTCCAAGCAACATGGCGCCTTGGGTACCTGACCAGCCTTCGGGCTGGTTTTCACTGACCTCTGCTGTTAGGAATGCAGGCCATTTACCTGCCCAGACCTGGCCATGGCTGGCCAGCAGCAGTCCAAAGACCAACCCCACCCCCCTGCGGGATGCACCAGCACCCCAGGGCCCCTGCTGGCCTGCAGAGTGGCGGCCTCACCCTCACCAGGAGAACAGGTCCCCTGCTTTCTCGCCTGGAGGCCGGCCTTGGCCAGCACGGCCCGTGGGCCTCACTCACCTCTGGGCAGTGGTGGTGATGGCGTCAATGACCTCCATGATGCGATGCAGGGCCGAGTCTGTGCCGATGGTCATGTCGGTGCCGCAGAAGTCGTTGTCGATGGAGCCCACCAGCCCAGCGATGTTCAGGTGCGAGTAGGTCTGAGCTGTGCTCTCCGAGATCTTGCCTGAGAAGCAGCAGCGGGGGCCAGCTGAGGCCCACTGGCCACAGCACCGGGCAAGAGACCCCACCTCTCCCCACGTCCGCCCAGCAGTGCGGCCCAGGAAGGCCCCCAGGCCCGGTTTCCCCCTACCCCGGTCCTGCCACAGGACTCCCAAGGGGAGAGGGGACTGCCGAACCCCTAATGCTGAGTACAGACTCTTCACCCCAAGCAGGAGACCTCTAGGGCCACCTTGGAGAGCGACTGGGTACCCCTCATTCCCAGGCCCCACACAAATGGCACAGACTGAATCTCAAGAGGCCACTTCCCAATGGGCAGCCTTGTAACTATGTGCCTTGGTGTTACCAAATGTTAACAATTACACTTCTGCAAACGATGGCAGTCTGCAACCCACACCCGGGAATCGATTACAGACAAGCCTGGCCCACACAGCGTGGGGTGAATCGGCCTGGGGCGGCTGTCCACCAGGCCTGGTGGGCCCAGATGCTGGGTTCCAGGGACTCCAGCTCGACTGGCCAAACCCAGCTGAGGGCTTCTGCAGCCGCCCAGGGTCGTCCCAACCTCGGCGGGGCCAGGCCCACTACCTTCGCCCACCTCCCCTCATCCTGCCTGCGCCCCCCGCCCAGCAACGGCAAGGCAGGTGCTGTAGCCTCCATTCAACCCCCGCCCCCCAGGCAGGCCCGGCCCCCACCCCACCTTCCTTCACCAGCTCCTCCAGCAGGCTGCCCCACTCGCTGCGGAAGATGTTGGCTCCGGTGAGGCTGCCGTCCCCACCGATGACACACAGGTTGGTGATGCCGCGATGGACCAGGTTGTAGGCTGCTGCCAAGCGCCCCTCCCTCGTGGTGAAGGCCTTGCAGCGCGCACTGCCAATGACGGTGCCACCCTGCACAGAGGGGACAGCAGCCTTGGCCAACAGGGCAGCGGGGCGCCCCACGAGGACACTGCAGGGACATGGTACTGGGCGGGGGGGAACAGGTGGACCCTGCAGAACTGAAAGGGCGAGTTCCAAGTCCTCGAGAAGCCTGGGCAGGGGTCCCCACCCCCTGGGCCTTCCTCCTCCGAGAGATGAGGAGGAGACTATCCACCTGTCGAGACTGGGAAATTCAAACAAGGGAACGAAGTGAGCAGGCTCTGAACACTGAGGGTCCGCATGGGTGTGGACACACACACACACTTGAGGGCACACACGTGTGTGCATGGGCCAGGCAAGAACACGGGAGAACCCCGAGCTCCACGGGGATAGGGGCAGCTTGGGCCAATGTTCACATGGCAGCTCCCTGCTCAGCTTCAGCCGGGATCCACGTGGGAGCCCTCCCCACACACCGGCCTGCCCGCTGTGGTCCGGACAGACCACCAGAACAAAGAGCCCCACTCCCCACTCCTCCCCCCGCCCACCATGCCACTCCTGGGACACTCTGGGCCTGGCCCCAGGCGTAAATGGGCTGGCCCAGTGGCCTCACCCGGGAGGCAGGGCCCAAATCCTTCCTCCTCTGCCCCCACAGCACCCCACAGACATCCCTGATGTCCTGCCCCCACTGCTTGTTTGCTGGACCAAAGGGCCAGGGTGGCAAACGCACTCTGTCCCCAGGTGCCAAGAGAGCACAGCCTATCACTGACATCTGTTCTGGGCAGGAGTGGTGGGTGGCCCCCTCAGGGTTGGTCACGCCTGGACGAGGCCTGCCCCAGGACACCAGGCGCTGGGGTCCAGGCCTGTCTGTCTGCTGCTCCCACTGACCCATTTGTGGCTCATAATCACTGACCAGCCACTTGAATAAGCCAGGTGTCACCTGGTGGCCTGGGATAAACAGGGGACAAGTACCTGCACCACTGTGCTAGCTCTGTGGGAGGATGAGGGTCTCCCCACAGAGACATGGTTCAAAAGCCACCTCCTGAGTCCTGGCCCAGCAAGGTGCCTGCCCTCTGCCCTCAGTAAGCCAGAGGGGAACCTTGGCCTTGGTCACTGGCAGGCCAGGTGCAGAGGCCACTCAGATGCTGTGCCATGTCCTCCCCGCCCTGCACCCTTAGCTGCAACTGAGGGCAAACTGTTGCAGTGGAGATGCATCCATCGGAGCCACTGCGACTCCTCAGCCCACGGCAGCCCCATGGCACGGTCATCCTGGTGCCGAGCCCGGGCCGGACCAGGCGCGCTCCCGTGCATGCACCTGTGTGTCTGCGTGTCTCCACGTATCTGTATCTGTGTCTCTGGGTGTGCACACTCATGCTCACAGGCACAAAGGGCTCACGCAGGCCTTACCAGCTGGATGATGTTGGAGACGCTGAGCCAGTTGGCCGGCTTGATGTTCTCACCTCCCTCCACGAGGCCCTCGTAGCCCTGAAACCGGGGAGCACAGGCATGAGACAGGCACCCACAGCCGTCGGACAACACCCTCATCTGTGAGCAGGGTAACGGAAACCTGACCAAACCTGGTCCGGCAGGAAACAGGCCCGTGGTCCTGACCACCAGGCCCTGCCCTGCCCCTGCCACCCCAGGGCCTTGGATGATGAAGCTGGGGTTGGCCAAGTCAGGGGCTGGCTGTCAGGGGGTGAGGCCAGCACACCCAGATGGACCTTCTGGAACACCTCTGCAGGGCCAGCGAGGGTGTTTCACACAGTGTAATTCGCAGTGTAACTCACAGGGAATGTGCTCCTGTCACAGGTGGCCCACTAGGTGAGTGTTCTCAAGCCACACCCAGATTACCGTGCCCTGCTGAGAACACACACATCCCCTGCACAAGGGCTCTTGAGTGCGGGGCATGCGAGCTGTCATCGGTGGCTCACCGGCACCCACTGGGCTTTGTCGGCCTCCTCACCCACCAGCCACGCAGCCAGGCCTCTGGGTGCTCCACACCGCAGCACGGGGCATGCTAGTCTGTCCCAGAGGCTGCATGTGGGTCCCTGCGGGTGGCAGTGTGTGTTTCCCTGGCGACCACATGCTGTTTGTCTATGCCATAAGCCACTGGCGGTCTGAACCAGCTCTGTGAGAACTGCCTGGTGTTCTGTCTATTTCCTCTAGTCCTTTCTTATCAGTAGTTCTTTATACAGTCTGGAGAGAGGACAGGTGCATTTTATAAATGGTAAAAAGATGTAGCACCACCAAGCTAAGAGAAGCAGGGCCGCCGCCTCCAGGCAGTCTTCCGGCCCCTCCAGTGACGTAATAGATGAGCCACAACTCCTGCTTGGTGCTGGAACCCAGCTTAGCTCTGGGCATCTACTCTCTCCCTACCTCCTCCCTTTGGCCATTCCAGCCTTGTTGCTCTGTCCCCCAGGCCTGCAGGGTCCTGGGCTGCAGGCCACGGAGGGGGGTGGAGCAAATGCTCCCTGCCACCCAGGGAGTGGAGGTGGGGCACTACACAGGGAGGGTGACGTGTTTCTCCACCTCCGGGCCTACAGCCCGAGTTGGCAAGCAAGTGCCTGTCCTTCCTGGAACCAGAATTAGAAGAAGGTCCTCAGGGCCACAGGGGGAATGAGACCCCCAGTCTGGGGACCACCAAGCTACCTTCTACAGTTTAGGCCAATCTATGTCCTTCCCTTCCCTGCCTCTTTCCCTTCTCCACCCTCCGATCAGGAATTTGGCCTCCAGGACACAGCCGGCCAGCCCCGCCACCACCATCCCTGCACAGAAAAACAGGAAAATTACCCAAAAATCCAGAGCAGGCACTGCCCGGAGCAAGCGACTCCACTAATAGGCGGATCTCAGTCTGTAAAACCCAGGATTGGGCACAGAGCCAGCCTGGCCCCAGCCTGGCCCCTGCCTGCCCCCTGCGCACCAGCTCGAGTCAGTCTCTAGACACAGCTCTGTTGGAGCTGAGACCCCACCTCCTCCTGCCCTTGGACATTGGTGCTCCCGGCTCTCAGGCCTTCAGGACCAGACTGGGAACGGGACTCCCACCACCAGCGTTCCCAGTCCTGCAGACTGCAGACGGCAGATCACGGGGCCTCTCCTCCTCTATGATCCCGTGCCTGGGCTACCATGGTGGGAACTGGGAGCGGAGCAGACCTCTCCGTGTGGTAGCTCGGGCCACCCTCACAGCACGGCAGCCTCGGGGCAGTTGGACTTCTCACATGGCAGCTGGCTCCCCCCAAAAACCTCCACTGAGGGACTTGGGAGAAGGCTTTAAGACTTTTTTTTTTTTATCTAGCCTTGTAAGTTCCCGAATGTCATTTCTGCTGAATTCAGAATACAGGGAGTAGAGACTACAGCCTGCAGGCAAGATGGCAGTACAGGTAATCGGCACTCACCGCCTCCCACAACCACATCCGAATTACGAGTAAACTGCAGGACCACCATCGCTCAGAACCGCCCAAAACCTCACTGAACACAAGGCCTATAACTAAGGATGGAAAGAGGAAGCCATGCCAAGATGGCCTCACACCCCTGTGTGGTGGTTAAAAATCAGGAGGGTGTCCCGGCTGTGGAGGTCCCCTGAGGAGGGAGAGGTCCCAGCCCCACACCAGGCCCCCTGCCCAGGGATCTAGTGCCAACAAGAGAAGTCCCCGTGGCTCTGGCTGTGGAAACCAGTGGGGACTGTGGCTGAGATGGAGGGCTTCTGGAGTCCCAGGCAGTTCCTCTTAAGGGCCCCTGCACGGACTTACTCAGACTCACTCCCTCTGAGCTCTACCCCTGGGGCAGCAGCTCGAAAGGTACCAGAGACATTCGGGGAGGAACTGAACCGTCTGGCATCAGGGTGAGGGCAGCAGGGGCAGCTTTCTCCCAGACAGAAGTGCTGGCAGAAGCTGTTGTCCCTTTGCTGAGCGACCCCAGTCCCACAGAGCGAGCAGGCGGGCACCATAGCTGAACCTCGATCAACCTGGTTAACACTGTTTGCCCCATCCTGGTGATTCTCTGAGACTCCTCCCCACCCTACTTTTGGGCCCACCTAAGCCATTTCCTGTGACTTTCCCATACACACCACCCATCTTTGTTTATGCTGCGGACTTTCCTGAAATGTCTCAGGCAGGCAGCATCTGGCCTCGGCATGCCCCGCGCCTCTTGCTAAGCAGCCCCAGGCCCGGCAGGGGCAGCAGCCACCTTGGTTCACAGCTGGGCCTCTCTAAGGCCCCTCCATGCCCAGTACAAGCAGCAGCCATCTGAAGATCGCCTTGGAGCTCATACAAGGTGTCCCCAGGCAGCAGACAGGCAGCAACTGACGAGGTCTGCACCCCCCAGGTGCCCCCAGAGCCAGCGCCCTCAGGGGACAGCTTCGGACCCTCGAAGCGCCAACTACCCACCTCCAGAAGCGACACCCTCAAGGGACAGGCCCAGCGGACAACAGTGGTGTAATAACTATGTATGGTGTCAAGTGGGTACTAGCTTTGTAAGGGCAATCACTTCGTAAGTCATATGAACGTCTGGTCACTGGATTGTACACCTGACACTAATATAATATTGTATGTCAGCTTCAACTGAAAAATAAGACACTATTTTAGGAAAAATCTCACAGACACAACCCTCCTCTCCTAGCCTTGGAACCTTCCAGAATGTCTCTGCACAACTCGATCCACTTTCTGCCACCTCAACCCTCCCCACCTCCCCTCCCTTCCCCCACCCAGGGCAGGCCCCCGGCAGCCCCAGAACCGGCTGCAGGCCACGTGCATTGCAGGCAGCAATTCCATGTGGACTCCGAGACCCCAGGTCCAGTTTCAGCTCCTGGGTGAATGAAAGTCATTCCTGTTCACTGAATCCTTCTCGGTGTTGGCCGTGAAAAGTGCTTTCACTCACAACCTTGCATTAGCTTCTGTGCCCTACCTTCCCCGCAAAGAAGGAATAGGTATCCCCACTTAATAGAAGAAGAAACTGAGGGCCCAGGAGGAGAAGGGATACACCTGTCACAGGGGGACAACCTCAGGCAGGGCTGGGACCCACCCCTCCCTGCCTGGAGGCCACAAAACCGAGGCCACTCCCTGGAGAATTTCCCCCGTCCTCTAGTCCATTATCAGGGTGTGAGCCCCCCCATCCAGCAGGTGAGATTCTGAGAAGACCTGCTTGCCAAAGACAAGCTGGGGCTTTGCAGGGTCCCAGCCTCATCTGAGGGTCAGAGCCCTGCAGGAGAGAGGGGCCTGCAAACTGCTGCTCACTCATTCCCGTAGTCGAGGCTGGGTGTGGCCCGGGCCCTCGTGGGGCCAGGGCAGGGGCAGGGGCAGGGACAGCCCAAAGGCTGAGGAGGGAGGCGCAGGGAGAGCAGAGAGGCCGGGCTTTGCTACTTCTTGCCTAAAAAAATAAAAACAAAATAACACAGTGCCTCCAGAAAACCACAAGGCCATGGAGGAATTCCACTGTGTGTGTCTGGCTGGGAGTTGGCCCCCAATGTGACACAGGGGTTTAGGTGGGGGATGAGGCCACGGGGGCACCAGTTTGGCTAGAACGAAAGAGAACAATACTCTGCCACGTGGTCCAAAGGAGGCCGTTCGCTGCTGTCACCTGGAGGATTCGCACAGGCTGTATGTGTGTAAGCGGTGCAGAAGGGCAGGGGGGACAGGTGGGGACTGAGGTCCACGGCCTCCAAGGAGGAAGACAGCAGCTCACACATTCCTGTCTCCCCAGGGACACAGCCCACCCCACAAGGACCCAGGCAGGGGGAAGGGCTCCTCACCCACAGTCCAGAGAAGTCACCCACCCCTCCCTCTGGGCCTCAGCCTCCAGCCGAAACACCAGTGACCACTGTGGGATGAGGCAGGTGCGGCCCCTCCAGGGGGTCCTGTGACTCCCTGCTGGGCACATGGAGCCCACCAGTGTGGGGCCTGGTCCCCGCCCGGCCTTACCTCATAGATGAGGAAGACCTTGGCTCCCACGTAGATGCCCATTCGCGTCACGGCCCTGACAGCGGCGTTCATACCTGCCAGGAAGTCAGGTGACACCGTCAGTGGAAATGCACGAATGTTGGGACCCTGGAGCAGCCTTCTCGTGGAGGGGGGGGTGCCGAGCCGGGATGGGAGGCCCAGCCCCGGGGCACAGGGTAAGGCCCAGTCCTTTCCGAGAGTTTGGAAACAAGCTGCCTCAGGGCTGAACCAGGAAACCCCCCATTGGTCTTGACTCAGCCTGAGTGTGGCCACCAGGCGTGAGCAGACGTCCCGTCACTTCAGGCCTCGTCCAGTCCCTTGCTCCCCCTGCCATCGTCCCCGGCACCAGGCCAGAGCACACACGTACATCCTTTGGCCTCTCCTCGGCTCAGGAGCCTTTTCCAGAGAGGCCTATACAAATGTCAGTGGGGCCGGCCCCCAGGATCCCCTGCCGTTCAGGACCCCGAGCTCGCAGGGGTGGGCAGTGCCCACTGCTCAGGCATCCTGGGGGAGCACCATGGCTGCCAGGGCCCCTCGCGTGCTGTGTGGTCCACATGGAGGCTTCAATGCGAGGACTCTGGACCGCTATCCTATCTACCAGTGAGAAGCCCAGGTCCCGGAGGGGTGGTAGGAACCTGCCAGAGCCCCAGCAGCCGAATGCACCCCAACCTCTCCTCCAGCACAGTCAGCCGCCCTGTACCCCCCTGCAGCCGAGGCTCTGGCTGCCAACATGCAGCACCCAGGGCTTCTGTCGTGGGGCACCCAGGCGTCAGGGCACGGACAGCGCAGGGGCCGTACTTGCAGCTTCCACACAGGGCTGAAACCAGAGAGCCCCATTTCTAAATAAATCATGAATGGCTCATGTCCCTCCAGTGCATGGAAGTAGGGTAGCAGAGGCTGTCAATGGGGGCAGAGCCCGGCGGGCACCCCACCTCTCCCCAGACAGCAGGGCTGCCCCAAGAACCCAGATTGGAAGCTCAAAAGTTTCTGCCCGTGGTTGGAGGCCCCACAGGTGGCAGGTGCCCCGCCTGCCCTGCCTTCGAAGGTGGGGTGGGGCCGCTGAGGAAGATGGGATAGCAGTGACGGCTTCCTGCAGTCACCCCCGTCCCTGCCCCAGTGGGCACGGATATGGCAGCAGGCGGTCCACTCTACAGTATCCGCTTCCCCAGCAAGCCTCGCTGGCGAGGCCACTTTGGGCCCACTGCAGGCTCATGGTCCAGGCCCCACCATGGGCAGCCAGGAAGGAGGCTGGCAGCTGAGAACAGGGGGGGGAGAGTGGGTGGAGATGGAAGGGCAGTGGCCAGGACTCACGCCCACAGTCCCATCCAGACACCTCTCCGGTCACCTGCCCCTGACTTGGCCAGCTGGTGCACAGGCCAGCGCAGGAGCAAGGCCACCTCACTAGCCAGCCCGGTGGACTCCAGGAACCCCAGGAGTGGAGTACCGTGTTCAGCCCTTAGGAGGAGAACACGCCCAACGGAACCGGATGCCATGGAGACAGCAGCCCTTTCATCTGCTTTTCTTCCTCAAAATAATCCCTGGGCCAGTGAAATGGTGGGCAGGAGAGCAGCTCGTGTGCCAGCTGAGGGAGCACGAGACCCTCGTCCCTCTGAGAGGACCAGGGAGGTGCGTCCCATGACTTCCTGCTGGAGGAAATCCACCATGCCACCAAAGCAAGTGAGGTGGATGTGTTTGTGACTTGATCACAGGCAGCTCCCAGAAAAACAAAATGACACGGGGCTCAGCAGGACACGACATTAACAGGTGATGTGGAGACACAGCCTGGCTGGGACAAACGAGATGGGGCGGGGAGTCAGGAAGCTAAACCTTCACCTGCAAACACAGAACATCAATGTCCTTGTGATCGGCAGGACCAGGGAGGTCCTGCCTGTTCTTCAGGGGCAGGCAGGGGCCGAGCACAGGTGGCGGGCGTGGGGTGGGCTAGGTGGTGGGCAGGACAGGCTATTTCACCTGTCTCCCATTACTTCTGCACAAAATCCCCTGACATCCTCCAACCGCCATCCCTCGACTTACCAACACTTCCTGCGGTCAGTAAGGCCCCCGAGGTGGCAGAGGACACCACTTCCAGGCAGACTAGAAGGAACCTGCCAGGTGGCCTGACTTGCCTCCTTTCCCTCTGTTTACAAAAGGCGAAACTGAGGCCCATGGGAAGTGCTGGGGTCAGGTCACAGGGCTGGTCAGTGCTGGGCCACCCAGGACCTGGGTCTGGCCCTCTGCTCCTCGAGCTTGGCTGGTGTGCACATTCCGACAGCAGCAAACTAGCATTTGGGGGGGGCCAAGCGCCCACCAGAGTGCCCGTTCAGCCCAGCTGCTGTCGGCCCAGCGCCAACCAGGGAGGGCACTCACAGGACACAGGAGGACAGACGTGCAAGGGCACGGGAAGGACCCAGGCAGGCAGCCGAGGGAGGGCACACGTGGCACCATCAGGTCTGCAAGAGGCCAGCCTTCCCGGGGAAGGCCTGGGGCGAACCCAGAGTCAGCCTGAGCATCAGTGTCTGGGGCTGGATCGGAGAGGCAGCGACGGGAGCCAGTGGGGACGCACCTACCGCCTGGTTCCAGAACTTACAAGACAGAAAGGCTACGTTCTGGCCCTGTACCCACAGTCCTGTGTCTGCATTGTGGCATCGGCACAGCCCTAAACTGGGGGAGTTTGTGCAGTCCTCCCGAGTGCGGCTCCCGTGTCTGCAGGAGGGAGGTCGCACACAGGAGAGTCTGCCAGCACTCGGGGGAGCGGCACCACTTCAGAGAAAGGCATCAAGGTCAGCCGGCAGGTGAGCAGACGGCCACCCTCCAGCCATGTCCAGGAAGTGAGACCGGTTCTGTGAGAGGCACCAGGGCCACGACTCAGACGAGCTTTGCACCCTGACCGAAACGCATGCATGGTCCTTCTGACCCCCTGGGTGCTGTGTCTCCACCGTGCAGGCGGCAGCATGGGGTGGAGACCACTCTGCCCGCACCACCCGTGGGACTCGGGGCCTCACTGGCCCCTCTGCGCCTGTCTGGCGAGGTGGGTCTGGCCCTCCCAGGGTGTGCCCTCTCTCACAGTCTAATCTCACAGGAGGATGCACTTGCCCCAGCTCGGGGCCCCCTGGCCATGCTGTAGACACAGGAAGAGGCGGCCAGCACTCCGGCCGCCAGAGGCTGTGGAGGTGCGGAGGGCACACTGACTGCCAGGCCAGGCACTAAGAGTTCAGCCTAAATCCTCGGGAAGGCCCCTTGCAGGTGGGGACACAGACAGAGGCCAATTCTTTCTTCCTTCCCTGGCTTGTGAGAGTCTCTGTCCCCCTCTGAGTGGGGAATGGTGAGTCCCAGGCCTGCTGGGTGGGGGGGCATTGTCCACACTCTGATCTGGAGGGAGGTGGACCAAGCCCAGCTGCACAGCTTGGGGGTGCTGGCTCCTTCCCTTCCAGTCCTTCCTCCTGGTCTACTTAAGGTGTCTCCTGGGGTTCAGGGTGCAGCCACCTGGCCCAGCACCGCACGTGCTGTTTTTCAGAGGCACTGAAAAACAGCGGTTAGGACCAGACTAGGCTGACACGAGGGGGAGCGGCTGGAATAGCCCCCACCCCCAGGCAGGGCACCTGTTGGTCTCAGCCAAGCCTGGACTGCAGGACCCTGACAGGTTTTCCCTGTACAGGGAGTGAGAACAGGTCTAAGCTAAAAGGAACTCGCAAGCCCCAAGCCACCTCCCCAAGGTACCCCCTTCCTCAGTAGGCCTCAAAAGGAGACTGAGGGGCTGGCTGTTCTGGGTAGGTATGCCACCTCCCCCACCCCTGCCAGCTGGATTAAAGCGGGGAGAGGACTGGAGGGATGCAGGCGTCGGAGGCGCCCTGGAGGCCGTGGCTGGAGGACTCAAAGCGTCCCCAGGTCTCATTTCACAACCAGGAAGAGCCTGGCTCTCATGGAATTCCGGAACCTGCCCAGCTCAGCACGGCTTCCAGGAAACAGGTCTGCGAACACGTGCCTCGGGGAAGCGGGTGCGGAGCCTCCGGGTTCGGAGGGGAGACAGCGGCCAGTCCCTGCGCCTGCTGCGCGCCAGTATCCCCGAGCCACCGCCGAGCACAGACACACCTCCGCGGGCGCGCGAGGGCGGGGCGCGGAAGCCGTGGCGTTCGGCACGTACGCCGGAGATCGGGCGCGGCGGGGAGGGTCGGGAACCGGTGAGGAGGGTTAGGGACTGGAGGGGGACTGGAGGCGTCAGACAAGGGAAGTCCCTGAACCCAGGTCTTGGCCCACGGTGGCAGGAGCGCGCTGAGTGGCTGGGAGACAAGTGGACGCCCCCTGCCCGCCTGCGACGGGCCCCGCGCCCCGCCCACCTTGCGCGTCGCCGCCGCTGGTCAGCACGCCTATGGCCTTGCCTGCCCCGCACATCCGCAGCTTCTCCAGGTCCACAGTGGCCATGGTGGCGCCGAGTCTGGCGACTTGCGCTCTGCCTGCGCTGCTCGCTCTCCCGGGTCCCGCCTCTGCCCCGCCCCGGCCCCGGCCCCGCCCTCGTCCTCGTGTGAGGTCACCGCTGCCCACGCCAGTGGGACGACAGACGGGGCTCCAGCGCCGCCACTTGGAAAGTGCCCAGAGCTAGCCCCAGGGTCCTGGGGGTGGCCAGCACCCCCACTAGTGGGGATCTGCGACCTTGGCAGAACTTGGCAAACTGTTCTGAGTTTTTAAACCTGTTCAACAAAGGCGTCCGTTTACTGAGGTTCCGTTCAGTAATAATCCATGTGTTGTTAATCCAACTCAGTGGAGCTGCTCGAGGCGTTAGGAACGGCTTGCCCTTAGCGAAGCCCGAGGAACGTGCAGGAGTTGTAATTCTAGGCCCTATTTTAACTTTATTTCTTAGGAAGTTCATGGCCACAAGCAGTCCTTTCCAGCGGCAGCTGAGGGGCCGCCCCTTACGAGGCCCAGTGGGATTAAGACCAAGCGCAGCCGCATTCATTCATTCGTTCCTTCAGTGAGTCTGTGCTTCGCCCTTGGAAAGCTCTGGCGCAGCAGGCAGCGTAAGCGGGTGGGGACCTGGGGCGGGGCAGTGGCCTCTACCTTGGATGGTCAGAGGGTCCCGTTGATGGGGGAACTGGAGAGTTGGAAAATTTTAGTTTTCAGTAATAATGCATAAGCATAGTAATGAACAAATATAAAAAGCTGCTGTTTCAGGAACTGAAGACACGACCCACCCACAGCCCAGGAGACCACGTGCTATTTGACCTTCGTTGCCCCAGGCACGTCTGAGCCCTTGTGTTCCAGGGAGAGATATTGCCCTCCCCAGACACAGATAAAGAATCGCCCAGAACCCAGATAAAGTACCACCCGTCCACAGATGAAAGGATGCTAGGGAAACCACGGCTTTCCCTGAAGTTTCTATCTGATTAACCTTTCTCCTGGGTTTCAGATCTCTGAACTACACTCTTTCCTCCTTATAAACAAGGTTGGCTTGAAATGAAACATGTCTTTTAGGGTACATAGCCCACTGTCTTCTCAGGCCATCTAAATAAAGCACCCACAAAAAAATACAATCCCACCACCCACTCCACTTTAAAAAGAAAAAAGACAGAAAATTCAATCCCTGTCTCAGCTTATTATATTGGCTCTGGTGGTGACCGGCAGCACGAACACCGGCTTTCCCAGCTTTACAGTCAGTCGGGCTAAGTGATGGAGCCCCTCGGCTGAGTCAGGTGTCCCCCCGACCCCTACTCAGTAGGGACTCAGTGAGGTCAGCAGAAGGGACTTTGTCCCAGCCCTTAGAGAGCCTGGTAGCTGGTGGGAGCGTCCCCATGTTACTGGACTAAAAGGGTTTTCACTTGGGTGTTCTCTTAAAAAATGAAGCATGGTTGTCACAAGCTGGTTTTATTTACCGTCCTTGCATGAAGTAAAGGAGAGAGGGGTTCATATTCCAAAGCCCTGCCTCCTCAAAGGGAGGCCAAGCCATTACTTACACTCCTATTTGGTCGATTGTATGTTGATTTCTTCTTTGCAGTTGGCACCCGTCGTCCAGCTGAGTTACCTGTCAGCTCCTCCTGCTCGCCACTGCATCTGCAGAACACTGTGCTGTTTCATCATTTACCCAGAAATGACATTAAGAACTGTCCAGACCTGGAGACCCCTGCCCTATCTGACACCTGCGACCAGACCAAGGGCTGCAAGAGAAGGCATCCATCCCAGGCAGCGCTGACCCAGGGGCTGTGTCAGAAAGGCCCAGACAGCCACTAGGAGGCTTGAGGCTGGAAGAGGGTAACATTCTGTGCTGGGTGGTGACCCAGGTGTGTTTGCTTATGAAAATTTAGCAAGCCGATCATCTATGATTTGTGCATTTTTCTTTATGCATTATGTTCTAACAGAAAGTTTACTTTAAAATACCCCACTCCGGGGGATGGGGTGATGGGAGGTATTAGTGAAAGGGGACAGGGTTTCAGGTCCAGAGGCCCCGGGGCTCTGCCGAGGGACACAGCACCTGTGTGGCTGGTAATAATGCTGCAGTGCACACTTCAACCTCGCCGCGGGGGCGGATCCTCTGGGACGTGTTCTCATCCTAAATAATAATACTAAATAAAGAGGCCAAGAGAAAAAAATGTTTTATTTATTTATTTTTTTAAATTCCATTTTGCGAAGTGTTTGGAAGCCATGGAGGCGGGATCACCGAGGGCAGGGAGGGGCCGGAACCGGCGAGCACGGACACAGGCCGCTCTCGGTTCCCTGGGAAACGAAACGCGAGGACCTGGAGGAGCACGCACAGAGCCCCGGTAACGCGCGCCGCCTCTGGGAAGACCAGTGTGCTGACGTGTTTGAGCTTCGCTTCCTGGCTTTTCTTCTAGTTTTGTCGCATGTGTGGTGCGCCCCTACATGTTTTTAAAAACACATGGTTTCATGGTGAAAAGCTCAGTGGCAAAGGTCGCCCAGCAAGGGAAGGCCACCGCAGCCCCTGCTGGGTGGAGGCTCCGGGAGGAGATGGCCGTATTCGGGCCACAGGCTGGCCCATTTCCCTGGGAACTAGCAGCGCTGGATACCTGCTGCTGTGTAAGAAAGGACCCCAAAGCTCAGTGGCGGGAAGCAGCAACAAGTAGCCATTATCTCACGGTTTCTGAGGGCCGGGGCTTGGAAATGGCTCCACTGGGCTGTTGCGGTTCAGGACCTCTGGTGAGACTGCAGCCACTACTCAGGCTGGGCTGTGTCACCTGAAGGCTGGAGAAGGTGCGTCTAGGATGGCGCCCCCATGTGGCTGTTGGAGGAGGCTTCTGCCCCTCCCTATGTGGCCTCAGGGCTGCTGGGATGCTTGAGCATCCTCACAACGTGGCAGCTGGCTTCCCCAGATGCACTTGAACCCGTGGGAGAATGAAGTGGTGCTCATTCATTCCCTCACTCACTCATTTATTCATGCACAAGGTTGCCGAGACTGGCAGACCTGGGCCTGGGACGGGAGGACACTCAACCCAGCCCAGGGAGCTCACAGCCGGTTCACAGGCTGGCCGCTGACTGTCCCCCTGACGCGCATTTGCCTTTTGGAAGTCATGCTTGTGCAGTTGTTCAGAAATTAGAATGGCAGAATTAGTCACAATTTACAAAGAAAAAATCCTCTATAACCCCTGCTATAATATAACTGTCTGTGTTGTGCTTTTTTCCAGTATTTCTCTCTCTGTGTATATATATATATATATATATATATATATATATATATATATATATATATATATACACACACACACACACTGATATGTATATACACACATGCATATATGAGGTCTGTCCAGAAGGTATACAGCCATGTGATATGAAAAATAGAGACGATACAAGGTACAAGAAACAGTATACACAGGACAATGATGCCTCAGTCCCCTTCAAAGTTGGCACCTTGGGACCTCACACAGTTCTCCCAGTCACCATCAGCTGCCCTGTTGTATTTCTTTAATCTCTTCAACTATCTGAAATCTCTCCCCTTTCAAAGGTGATTTAGTTTTAGGAAAAGCCAGAAGTTGCAGGTGCCAAGTAGGGGCTACAGGGGGGCTGAGTCACCTGGGTGATTTGATGTTTTGCCAAAAAACCCTGTACTAGACGTGATGCATGAGCGGGTGTGTTGATGTGATGAAGCTGCCGATCACCAGTTGTCCATACCTGCGGCCTTCTGAACCACCCGAATAGTTTCCCAGAGGAATGTTCAAGCTCAATGCAAAATTGGATGCAGATTCACTACTCTACTCACTCAGTCATTTTGAATGTGGCAGCCATGCAGTACACATGTTCACTCAACAGGTATCTACTGCCCCCACTGACCAGTGCAGTGAAGTCGTCATTGTTCACACATGTGCATTTCAGTCCACTCTCCTTGGCTGCTGAGTTACATCAATGTCATGCAAATTGTTCTCGTCATATTAACAATGGCTGGACTTTTTCAGGACAGACCTCATGTTCTCTCTTTATACAGCATGGGACAAAATCAGGTTACGGTTGCTCACATGCAAAATAATACAACAATTAATAACTAGTAATATGAGAATAAACTCTGTGTTTTGCATACTCACAAGTATAAACCTACTTTTGCCCAATCCTGTATATACTCTCTAAATATATATACACACACTTTTTCTCTATAAATAAGTAAATAGACTAAGTATATACATCACTCTGTTTCTCTATGTATGTATATATAAATATCTACAAATGCACACTTTTTCTCTGTACATATGTAGGTAGGTAATAGATGAACTGTACCCATCTCTCTGCATATATGTATGTGTATATATATACACACACTCTCTGTGTGCATACCTAGATATTAGATATTTAAATACAGAATATAATGTAACACTTATCTGTGTTCATCACAAACCAGGCTTAAGTTTGTCATTCTTTTTTTTTTAATTCTCACCTGAGGATATGTTTATTATTTTTTAGAGAGAGGGGAAGGGGGAAAAAGAAAGGAACGTCAATGTGAGAGAGAAACACTGATCACCTTTTGGTGTTTAAGACAATGCTCCAACCCAGTAAACCACCCAGCCAGGGCACGCCTATTATTCTTACAGTTTGGCTAATACCTCAGTCTGTGGCTATAACATTACTTCTCAAAATGTTCTTGAATACTGGACACTTACTGCATTTCAATAAGGTCTTACGCACTTGTTCTGGAAGTATTTCCCCTTGAACCTGGCTCTGGATAGCCTAGGTTCTACACCATCAACAACACAAACCTGCCCCTGGCAACAGGGTTTGGCTGGGAGATGGACAGTGGACAAATAACTCCACAGAAGTGGACAGTTTGGTCACAAAGGGACTGTGCCCAGACAGAATGGAGGGAGGCCATGGCCAGCAGGTGGGAGCCCACCTGAGACTGGGTCACAGCAGTTGTCACCTGTGAGGGAAGGGCTTCCTCGGTGGAGTTCTCTGTCGGGGCGGTGGGGGCTACAGCTCGGCACATGGAATGCACTGTGAGGACTGGTCACTTATCTGCCAGCTTGGAGCTATGCCAGTTTGAAG